TCTATCCATCTGCATCTGAAATCGAGAACCCATAAGATCCTCCCTTTCTATCACTAGCGCTTCATGTTGTCTTTCGATTTCGGGAAATTCATATGATTGGATTCCTTCATTCGTAACTCCAGGGCTCCTTGCTGGTATCTCATCCAGTATCTGGGGTGAAATAGCAAATTGCGGGGGTGGTGGAGGTGGTGGGAGGTTGGCATAGCGGCCCATGTCTGAAGGCCGTACAGGTGGGTCATCTCCTCGTTCATGTGTGCGCATACTGGTATGTAGATGGTTCTCAGTGGGAGTTTGGATTTCGATTGAGGCAATGTCTTCCTCCTTACTGCTCGTGTCATTTGTGAAATCTGTCGCTTTGCCACGAGGACCGATTAAAACATAAAGGGATTGAAGCCGTTTCGCTAGATACTCATTAGTGCTCTCGTTCCACGTGTAATTTCTTTATTTGCACACCGAGTTTTTTGCGCTTTGGTAGAAAAGCAAACGACACGTTGCCTGGGCGGCTCCGTGATCGCGAAGCCATCTAGAGCGACAAGTAAATGTTAGTACTAGGGTTTCTTGAAACCGTCCGAGGGACAATATGCTATGCCCCATAGCGAGTTAGCCCCCATTTTTGGTCACCAAGGCTAACATGGTATAAGTGGTAATCTTCTCGCTGCCTTTACCACCCCTGTCATGCATGCTCCATGCACGCTGCAGGTGTTACCGATCATCACCCGGCCTGATTTCAGCCACCCCTCGGCTTCGACATGTGCTCCTCGCGAGCACCGAGATCCGACATGCATCGGCAACATCCCTATATTGATCGATGAACTCGGCAACTCACTCGCACGTGTGGAATGAGGCTCTGCTGCATTTGATGGCTCTTCTAGCTGTTTCCTTAGACTTAAAAAGGGAGGCATGCGCGACATGGCAAGCTGAATCGTCGCGCAACCGACAAGAATTAATCGGTACTACGTATATACTTGAATGAAACATGACTGAACCCGTATGGGACGCTGAACACCAGAGATATTTGCGTACACACTGGGACGAACAGTACGGGCGCTATTATAGAAACCACTATGTGGAAGGTTTGTGAACCTTCACCTGTTCTTTGTCTTTGTTTTTTTATCTTTGCTCTCTTAGGCTAATGCTACGACTACATCTAGAACAGGGCTGGGTATTCTTTGACTGGCTCCCCTTTGACTGGCTCCCGCCTCAAAGCCAACCCACTCGTACCGATTCACCGCAGGGTGTTCGAGCAGGGCCAGCTTCTACTCCGGCTATAGAAGGTCCAGAAATCAGAGGCACTTACAATTATAACCAACCCGCGCCGAACAGCCATGTGGAATCGTTGGACCATTGTATAGTGCAAACCCCCTTGTAAATTGAATAGTACTGATTGCGTGCAGCTTATTTTGTCAGACCTAGCAGTTTCTTTACTGTTGGCAAGGTAGAGTAGCGTACTTATACGCAAAGTGAACTTTCGACTCATAACATACTAGGTCTTCTCGGTCTTGTTCAGTGAAGCAGCTGGCTCGACAGCAACTGCATACAACAACTCCATCTCTATTGTGAGGTATGGAGAGTATGTGCATAGTCAGATCCGACGTTTCATCGTAGTCGCACCCAGGCATGGATTTTGCTTCGCCGTGTAAGTGACATGGCCCATCAATCTTGCGCATGTATTTGACAAGTTTAGCCCCATATTCACGTACGGTGGCCAGGGTACGAAAAAGCACGGTGTGTTACCCAGTGCACATGCGATTGCCTACTCCCTTGGCTCTATGCCTTCACTGTTGGAAGGCGAAAGCTCGCTTGATAAGGACCCTATCTGCAAGTCACCCAAGCACCAATACCTTTGAGGGCATATTCTAACACTGAAGATCGGATCAGGCATCATGATGGCGCAAGGAGTACCTCAGCTATCTCAAGCATCGCGAATTTTCTTTGGAATCCACCACCCTACTCAGCACAACGTCAAGGTCAAGGATATTGGCGACGTTCATCCTGATCACATCCACAAGCTCTTAGGTTATTGGAACACCCAGAACTACTCGCCCGGCGACTAAGATATGTTGCATCATCTTCGCATCACTGCCATTTGCGCCCATATGCAACACAATGCTCCCATCTGTCGCGTCATACCTGAGGACTGGGGGCATTCTTTCCTTCTCATCCACTATACGTTACCTTTACAACTCGCACGATGTCACCATTCGTTCGTTTTCTGCACACACACACACACACACACACACACACACACACACACACACACACACACACTATATCAACCTGGATCACGATCTCCTAATGTTCCCACAATGTAACAGCCGCTCAAATTGTATCTAATGAATATGACGTATCAGATATCCTTGTTAGCCAGGGTACATACTTAATGCACATTGCATGCTGTGATGTTTGCTACCTGTCAGATTAGATAGTATCGGGAGCCACCCTATGGATCTCTCTGCCCCATCACTGAGCTATAGGGCACGTAAAGAGCAGTCCCGATCGCCTGCTAAGTATAAGGCAGTATGGAGTATACGACAACTGCAAAGTCGCATGTAACACGTGGGCTTGCTCGAATGCCCTTGTGGGTCTGGGAACCACGTAGCTGGGAAACGCGGTCGATCAAGTGGGTTAGACGACAAGGGCATCCATGGTGCCCTTCCACTTTCTCGTGCAACAGTCCTCATCATCCTTCCTTCATATTACCACACCTTGCTAGAAGCACAAGCCTTTAAACATGCAAATGGTCACAGAGAAACAAAGACGGCTCCGCATGACATCACCAACATGATTTAGATACAAGCTCACCAATCACATATGTATCCAGTCCCCGCAACAACACTGCGCAGCCGCGCTGCATATCCATTGTATCGGTCAACCGCTCAAAAGCGGCCCGTCGGCCGGAACATCCCACACGGGGGGCCTAATAAAAGTTTACCTTATGGCACTGCAGGACTCTTATTTGCTGAAAGGAAAACGATAGACGTGTCAGTTGACGCTTCGCTGCACAGCACCCACGGCGAAGTCGCCTGATATTGTCGTTCTCATGATTCCGCTGCCGAGAATCAATGGTACACCTGTCCCAGTCACTACACATTAATTTTACGTCTGTTTATTGGTGGTCGCAGTTAATAGCATTCACAATCAGCTCCATGCATGTCTGACAAGGATGGGAACAAAAGCGAATGACAGTCGTACATGCTGGTAGCATGGCGCGTATCCCACGTCAACGTCAAGACATCATGCACCTTTTAATGGCCACAGTTGGTAGGCGACGCGCGTTACGCTCATGCCAAACATATCCTTGAGGCTTGACACGAATGAGGCTGGGAAGAAAAAGCACCAACCAACTTTCTCTAAAGCAGCACAATGTTCCCGGGTCCTGAAACATGTCAGAGTTTCCTAACTGGGCTTGTGTCCCGGAAGGACCGGCCAAGAGAGATGTCACCATCTGAACGAGATGGTTGGTGGACCACCAGGTAAATGTTACTACGGTGCGGAAGGATAAATCCGGTCTCATTTGAATGGGCGGTCTTTCCTTCTCGCCGTGCCATGACAAGTTTATTGACTGGCTCATTTCCACATCCCTTGCCTTAATTGTCGGTAACAATCAGAGGCCACGAAAAGGCAAGAAGGCATTTCGGAGCCCGAAAAATGCGGTTTCACAGGACACCATCTGATGTGCACATGGCGCAAACGAGAGATGCATAGGCATAGTGTACGTAAACGCGGTCATGCTCGAGAAGTCGCGCTGTCGGCGTTGATTATCGTACAGAAAGCCATCTAATCAGCGGCCTTTCCTCTTAGCCTCAAAGAATCCATGGCTTAGTGTAGGGCGCAAACAGATAAGGTGCCAGTCCCACGGGAACTAGGCGCGGCTTACGTACTACTAAGTGGGGTTGAATGCGGGCCGCCGGGACTCCACTTCTGAGGCTACACGCCATGCGCAACCAGCCTGTGTACACCAGCCTTGTCATTCCGACTTTCTGCATTCACGACACTGTGCAGTTTTCGTGTCCCAAAGATGAGAGCTGAAGAAATTCTGTGGCCTCCGGATGACATTCATCTTCAAAAGAACGTAAATTTGTGGCTTGAGCTCGTTCACAGATAAGACACTTGGCGAGGCCTGATTGAGTACTTGTCCCAATCCTTCCGTTGAGGGGTGTCAACCACGCGGCCGGAGAATGGTCAAGCATAACCGATAGACGCCTCGTAGAACCCGGCATCTTCATTAAGTGGTTCTATCGGACCGAAGAGAGCGTTTGCCTTGTTTACTGGATCTACCGGTGCTCCAGTGCTCACTCGCAGCCGAGAGACAGTCCTCCTGATCATGTTGTGTCACCGGCCGTCTTAAGCCAATACCCGACAGAACGGGATGGGATTGCTACTTGTGGTGGGTTACACAAAGGCATGTTGGTAAACAACCTGCCTTTCAGCCCTCTCATCTAAGCACCGCCCTTTCAGTGTCATGATATCGTCAGCCATGAAGAGGAATTGCTTTTTTATTGACATGCGGCTTGACGATAGTAATCCGATCATTACACGTGATTCTTGCTGGATTTCATGCATGCTTGAATAGGGAATGGACATCAAAATCTCAACTTCAAAGACTTTACACGTGAAATGTGAATGTCGTTGGACATCTTTCTGGGCATCTGTATAGGTCCAAAAAATACAAATCTACAACTCGATTTAAAAAAAAATAGACAAACTCACACGTTTCTCAAGGGAACACTGGCAAGACTCGTCATCATGTGATGCGTTAACCTCATGGCGATATATTTCCAAAAAGAATAAACATCACAAAACCACAAACTACATATTCTCCAAATCCAAAACTCACTGTCCAGTTCATTGCCCTCGAGTCAACCCACACCTCCAAATCACACAACTCCTTCGTCTACCCCAACCCGCCAGAGAACAATCCTACACCTCGATTCACCCAATCTCTTTTCTGGACGAACCTCCCAAGCACAAAGACACTTGAAAGCATCCCACCTCTCCAGCACAACACCTTGTTATAACCTCCCATCCCTATCTTTATCCACGGATCCAGAACTACTTTGGCTCACCGACAAATACTGCACTATCCTTTCTCTTCATCTCCAAATACAGAACTAAACCTCATTATTCTCATACTTTCAAAGTCTTTGTTATCCCTTTAGTGAATAGCCGCCAGTCACACGTTGTCTCGTCTTCTGCTCCATGCACCACATCTTCCGTTCCCTTCGGTCTACCTCAAACGCTGGCATCAGGTACTGCATGGAATGAAGAAGCAGAAAAACGAAGATAGCAAATCGAAAACTTTGACATGTGTGTCGCAACCCAAGTGAGCATTCCCATCACCCATTTTTCTGTACTGCAGTAGCACAGTAAGTGGTCCGTAGTATACATTCATGTAAGTCATGGCAGGTATATTGCATCATATTCATCTCAAAAATACCAGCTATTACCATTTTCATTTTTTTAAAACCCTTCTGACTTATCCACCTCTATTTCTTCCCCTTACCCCGTGCATTGAAGGTCTTCAATGGATCCACTTTCCCGTTCCGCTTAACCACTTTCCTCCCCCTACCCTTTACGAACCTCTTACGATCGGGTTTCGGGAGATTGAGTCCGACAAACCCGACATCCTCTGGCTTTTTACCTCCAGGTAAAAGGTAGTCTGGGACGTGCTTGAGATGCGGTTGTATCCTAAGGGGGTGGTTGAGAGTCTGGTCGTGGCGAAGATGGGCAAGGGCTTCGGGGTTTTCTTCGAACTAGAATTGATGTTAGGGTGGCTCAGCGGAATGGATGGGAGGGAATGAATGAGCTTACATATCGCGAGAGCTTCTGCGATTTGGCGAGCTCTGAGTGGATTTCTTTGATGCGGGCTTCTCGGATAGCGATTCGCGTGACTGACTTGAGCGCGTCTGCAAAGCGGTATCGGAATGGCTCCAGGCGTTTCATATCGAAGTTGTAGTTTTCTAGCTTTTGGCCTTCTTCTTGATGCTTCTCGACCTTCTTGAGAACTTCCTCGTCATTTTCGCATCCAGCGAAGCTTGTGGGCTTGTGTTTTCTGTACTTTTCCTTGGGAATGATGAATGAAATGGCGGTTCCAGACTTTCCTGCTCGCGCAGTCCTTCCTATCCGGTGGAAATAGGACTTGTAGTTGCCAGGGAAGTCGAAGTTGAGGACACAGGCAACATTCAGGAAGTCGATACCTCGAGAAACGCCTGAGTCTTTGCTGTCGTTATTCCTCTTTGCTTTCTTCTTCTTTGGCTTCGAGTCCTCGTCTTGGACTCCGACCACGTCATTCTCGTCACTGGCGATGAGAATGTTATACACATTTTTGTTGAATTCCTCCACGATGTGAGTGCGTGACGCAAGCGGAAGTTCTGAGTTGAGCACGGCGCTCTTAATTCCGAATTGTTCGAGGAAAAGCTTAACGCGATATGACCGGTCGACATCACCAACGAAGACAATCGTCTTACCCTTGATCAGTTGCAATTTGAACATGGCGTAGATCAAGAGAAACTTTTCGTCTTCAGCAACCTTCAAAACATATTGCTTTACCTGCGATGTGTCAGTATGCATTTTCAAGCTGGATATGCGCGTATGGCTTACCCTTTTCGAGTCTTTGTCAAGGTCGGCAAGCTTGAGAATAACAGGATCGGTACACAACAGGCTACCGAGAGCTTCGACGTCGGTAGAGAGGGTAGCAGAGAGAACAATCTTTTGCACGCCAACGGGTATCTCACGAGCGATGTTGGTCATGTCCTCGGCGAAACCATAGCCGTTTATCAAATCACCTTCATCCACAACCAGTGTACCAAGGTCGTTGACGGCCAATGTAGAGTTATTGATGTTGGTCCATGCCCTCGCTGGTGTAGCCACAACCACTTCTGGCTTATCGGCGAGCGCTGCTTTCACGACGGCGTCCGACTCCTTGCCCGCAATGTTCCGTACCCTAATCTCCTGGCCACAGTGTTGTGCGAGGGATTTGGCGACATTGGCAATCTGCTGGCACAACTCTCTTGTTGGAGCCAAGATGAGCGACGTCTGTTTCCGTTGCAGTGTTTTGTGTAGTATGGGAAGAAGGTAAGCAGCTGTCTTTCCTGTGCCCGTGCCTGATCTAGCCAGAATATCGCGGCCTTCTAGTGCTAGCGGTATGGCCTGTGACTGCACTGCCGTGGGCGACGCCCATTTCAGATCGCGGATTGCTCGCAACAGGCGGGGCTCCAGCTGGAGTTCGGCAAAAGATGCGACAGGCGCTGGCTCTGCCGCTTTGGCAGCTTTTGTGGATTTCTTGTTCTTCGGCGTCGCGGTGGTCGTTACGGGTTCGGTCGCGGTCGCTGCAGGTTGCGAAGGTTCGGGCGAAGTGCTGCGCTCAGAGTGTGACTCGTCACTTGACATTTCTTCTGGCACATCGTGCTCGTTCAACTTTCGCTTTGCCATTTTTAAATGTGTCGCAAAATTATGTGCTTTGCAATGGCGATGTCAATGTAGTGTCGTCCAAGTTGTGCGCGCAATCTGAAGGGCAACTTCTAACTTTTTTGACGCTAACGCGGGCAATTGGCTTGGCAAGCCCCACCGCGGAGGAGCCATGGCATTGCCGGGCGCCTACGTACACTTTAGACATTCTTCACTTGCACACATTCAATCCGGAAACATTACTTGTCATTCTAGACACATAGGTTCATTCCATTGCAAAATCCATGTTAGATCACAAAAACAACAAGTATCGTTACATCCCCACCAGAAAATGATTTGCCCAGCTGGTGGCTCATTGAACCCGACTAGTCACGTGCTCAACCTATCGATCCAATCAGGCCTTGGTTCGACTTGCAGTAATCATCACAGGTAACCTAGGTTGTCTTGTCAGCAGCTGTCGTGTCCAGTCGAAATCAGATACTAACCCTAGGCAAGTTCTTCCGTGCGCCATCTTGCGCCGTTCGGTTCAACTTGACTACCCATTCCGTAATCTCTGGACTTTCCAGATCTTTGAGCGCCTTCAGAATCGCATCGACGGTTGCCTGATCCGGTCCTTCGTTACTCGTGCTCAACAAATCGATACCTGGTAGTGTCTTTGTGAGGTTGGTCTCTGTCGAGTAGCTCGCATAGTAAGGCACTCTGTTGGCATCGCATCCCCATACCAAGATTGCGAATCGACTGGTAGCACCCTTCAGAATCCCAGTTGCTGCAAAGTCTAGCACAGCCGGTTGATGTGGGTCCGGGGTATCAACGCCGTATGTAGTGAATATGGTGCTATTGCCTAGACGCTGAAACGAAAAGAGGTCGTTTACCAAACCCGTCGGGTTCGAGGGGTCGACTGGAGTTGGGTCGTATTGTATATTACGCATTGCGACATACTGGGGATTCGTGGCGAGGATCATCCACCATGGCTTGAAGTAGAAGCCCACAGGCGGTGGGCACCATGGTTTGCTATGATGATGTTGGCCAGTGGTATTAAAAAATGGCGGGATGCGGGCGTGTACACCCTCTGGGCCAATCTTCCGCGGGCAACCGTCGGGAGCGTAACGAGCGGATGCCAGAAGCGCGAATGCGCTCGTAAGAACTGCACTGAGAATCATTGTGTTGATTTAAGAGAGTACAGCGAAGAGTGTAGGGTTGTGTGTTTTAATATATGCTTTTTCAGCTAGACAGCCAATATATACCTGGTTAGGAAAGAGACTGAGACTCGTGCATATACCCCTGGGATTACGAATAACAGGCGGCGTACATGGAATTTTGATAGGCTGCACAGGCTCGTAGTCGTACGAGATTTCAGAAGCCGTCTTCTCATTCAGCTTCTGCCGTGTATCTGCATTCGTCCGAAATTGTATGATGCTTCAGCGAGAGCCAATGGCGACAATAAGCGGACAACTCGGATGCAGTAAGAAAGTCTCCGCAAGCAAGGCTCAGGATCGTCTTTGCCGTAGAAATGGAGGAAAGCGGATCGAGCCGCCAGATCTCTCTTCAAGCAGCACAAGTTCCGCCTCTTGTGAGATATCTCGTCATTCTATGTATTAGTTTTGGATATGGACACAGAATACTGTAGGCATAGATTGGAGGACCATAGAGCGCATTGAAACTAATCGGCCATACGTGAAACTTTGGGCTAGAGGTTTTACGAATACTTGAGGAACAACATGTGTCTTCTGTATCTATTCGTAATAAGCTTTGGTCTCTGAGAAACATTATCAGCTTACGGAGTCATGGTCGACCTCGTGAGGCGCTGACAAGCCCATGCGCATGTTAGCTGAGCAGTACTATCGTCGAACAAAGTTGTAGTGAATGACAAGACTGACCCTTTAATGATAAAAGATCTAACTAGGGATACTTGACAATCTTAGCTGGATAGGTAGGATCTGACTGTGTATGGGAACAATCAGTTATACATAGCATAGCCGGTGCCTGAAAGTAGATCGACACGACCGTTGTCCGTCTCGTTGCTAACCCAGCGTGCTAACACTTATACATATTATCTTAATGACAGAGTACGAGGGCTCCACTGTAATTCAGTTATCCCTCCTCCGCGCCGCAAGAGTACTTGGAGAATGTCCAATAATGAAGCTCAAGCTTTTTGCTTACTACTGGCGGGCCGATTGGACAATGCTTGACACAACCTTATGTGCACCCGAGCATGGACAATTGCACAACCGTCGGTTCTACGCTGATCTTTACCGCCTCTTAGGTTAATCTTTCTGACGAAATCGATCTCCAAATCCGGCCTACAATCTTTCTCTCTCTCTTTCCTTGCACACATAACACGCCAACACAGCCTCCCAGGGGAATGCATGAAAGACAACCACACTTCAAGATGGACATGATACACATTTTTGTCAGAGCAATCGAGTAACAATCTACCAGTCAGATGCAGGTCCATCTGTGCCGTGGAGAAATACGGTGGCCAGGGTGCACAACCTGCACGGCCGACTTCGGGGCCCACCGTCGGCGCCATGTCATTGGATCCCAGCCCCAGCTTATCTCGCATCCTATGTTTACCTCATCGAAACCTCCAACACCATCTACATCTCGATGGGCCGAAAGTCTCCACGCCCAGCAACCATGTGCATACATATGCCGATCCCCACGCGACCGTTTTGTACATGTCAGCCACTAAGCGTTGAGATGGAAAAAATTTAGGTTCGCCATGGTAGGGCTAAGGCCGCCGCTGGTGTGGGGTTCAATCTTAGTGACAGTACGGTTACTTGGTCCCGTTCCCTTATCAGCACAAGCGAGGCCATCCCGCAAGAAAACCCCAACCAGCTCAGAAGCTGAGGGGAAGGAACTCTGCGATAAGGCCATGAATCGAAAAACCAAGCTGCGAAACCGGGGGTGGTCCGGCTTAGAATGGTTTGCAGCACAAGCCCGGCTCTTTTAGTCTTACCCCAGGTGCTGGAAGTCTAATCTTTGGCCACTCATGTGTGGCTATCAAATCTAGAAACGTGCACCTTTCATGTGTGTGCGTCTGGAGATGCTGGAGATAACAAGTCTTGGTACCAATGGATTTTTTTTCACAGATATTTAGGGCCGATGTCGACATGACGGAAATATAGATGCCCTCGATCACCCCCTTGAGGCAGAAAAAGGTCACAAAGCATTTTGGACCTCAATTCTCGTACTCCACAACATAGCTCGACATGGCCGGTGGCGGTACACCTATCGGGCCCTCAGCTTCCCCTCTGGGACAGGGTTGGGGCTACGGCATCGTTCTTGGTATCGGTTTCCTCTTTGCACTTGGCATGGTAAGTCCTTTTTTCGATGCAATACTTGAGTAACGTGCGCTGACAGCTTCAAGGTCTTTACTACCTGGGTTCTAAAACGCTACAACAATGAATTGCAAACTTCTGAGATGTTCTCGACTGCCGGACGTACTGTGAAATCTGGTCTCGTAGCTTCTGCGGTTGTGTCATCTTGGACATGGGCAGCTACGCTATTGCAAAGTTCTTCTGTCGCATTTCGCTATGGTAAGCAATGAAGCTGGTTATGCTGGCAGAACTAAAGCTGATGGTTTTCCAGGCGTTTCTGGACCCCTTTGGTATGCTGCTGGAGCTACTGTCCAGATTCTGTTGTTCGCTACTGTTGCCATTGAGCTCAAGAGACGAGCACCAAATGCCCATGTAAGCAATTGCAATCATTCACGCTAACATACATATACTAAACATGTATTAGACATTCCTCGAGGCTGTCCGTGCTCGCTATGGAAAGGCGACTCATTTCGTCTACATTACCTTTGGGCTCTTCACAAACATTCTCGTAACAGCCATGTTGCTCACTGGCGGGTCCGCCGTCATCAGCTCCCTGACTGGAGTGCCCACGGCAGCAGCCTGTTTTCTTCTTCCCCTCGGTGTTGTCGTGTACACCATGTTTGGTGGAATCAAGGCTACTTTCCTTACCGACTACGTTCACACTGTCATCCTGCTCATCATCCTTCTCATCTTTGCTTTCACGACCTACGCAACTGGTGACAGGCTTGGATCGCCAGGGGCCGTTTACGATCGACTGCAAGAGCTCGCATCCACCACACCCGTGCCCGGAAATGCTGGTGGAAGCTATCTGACGATGAGGAGCAAAGAGGGTGCTATTTTCTTCGTAATCAACATCATTGGAAACTTTGGCACTGTCTTTATGGACAACGGCTGTAGGTTTTTCCAGAGTAATTTCTCGTGTGCAGAAGCTAATTCGTGGCAGACTACAATAAGGCTATTGCTGCTTCCCCAGTCCATGCTCTTCCCGGATACATCATCGGTGGTCTTTCTTGGTTTGCCATTCCTGTAAGTTTCTTGCAAGATTTCTTCGTAAGCTTTTGTTGACATCTTACAGTGGCTCTGCGCAACAACCATGGGTCTCGCGGCCCTCGCACTCCAACACACAGAGTACTTCCCCACGTACCCTGCGGCTATGGACGAAGCATCCATCAGCGCTGGACTCACCCTTCCATATGCTGCAGTTGCTCTCCTCGGATCTGGCGGTGCCGTTGCAACTCTCCTTATTGTATTCATGGCTGTGACTTCTGCCTTTTCCGCCCAACTCATCGCCGTGTCCAGTATCTTGACATATGACGTTTATGGAACTTACATCAACACAAATGCGAGCGGTCGCCGTCTTGTATACACCTCTCACGTATGTGTTTGCGGCTTTGGACTGGTTATGGCTGCATTCTCGACAGGATTGTGGTATGCAGGTATTAGGTGAGTTACACTCAAGTCTATTTTACAACCCGAAACTCGCTAACATTGAAAAGTATGGGATGGCTGTATGTCTTCATGGGTGTCATAATCTCATCTGCCGTTCTCCCCGCCACTCTTACCCTTATGTGGAAGGGCCAGAACAAATGGGCAGCCACCCTCTCCCCCGTCCTAGGATTATGCTGCAGCATCACTACCTGGCTCGTAACCACAGCCAAACTCAACGACGGCGTCATCACTGTAGAAACTTCTGGTGCCAACAACCCAATGTTGGCTGGTAACGTCGTTGCCCTAGTATCTCCCATGATCTTCATCCCTGTCTTCACCCTGATTTTTGGAGTTGGTAAGTGCCTCTTTTTTCCGCAGACACCGATATTCCGGCTAACTCAACCCGCAAAGACAACTACGACTGGGTATCAATGAAGAACATCCGTCTAGTCGACGATTCAGACGTCACAGCAGCCGCAAACTTGGATCTCGAAGCCGTACACGGCCGACACGGCACTCTCTCCCCTGAAGCCGAAGCCGAAGAACAAAGAAAGCTCTTCCGGGCCTCGAAAATCGCAAAAACCACCACCGCAGCATTGACTTTGATCCTGCTCGTCCTCTGGCCCATGCCGCTCTACGGCACCGGCTACATCTTCACCAAGGCTTTCTTTTCCGGCTGGGTTATTGTCGGCATCATCTGGCTCATGTGCTCCACGATGGCTGTGGGTGTTTATCCGCTGTGGGAAGGTCGCCAGAGCCTCGTACGCAACTTTGGCGGCATGTGGCGCGATGTTACAGGCAAGCCGCGTCGGTCAGGTCCTGTGACGGTGGTTGAAGGGGAGAAGACGGCCGATTCCGGGGCGCAGACGCCTACAAAGGAAGCGGAGGCTAAGTCGTTGGAGAAGTAAGGTGGGAAAAGTGGGAATTTGTGTAGCTCTGTTTGAAAATACCCCCGGATGTTAGAGTACCAGATGTGCCGACTTGCAAATTCAGTCTTATTGTTTATCCGTAAATGCAAGATGTCTGGTTGTCAAAGATTTGCGAAAGAAACATCCTGGCAGCCTCACATTGGATTTCCGAATCCAAGTTACCCGTGATGATCTGTGCAAGGGCTGTTTCGCTATGACTAGCCTATCTTATGACACTGTGGAGGCGCATTGGACGCTTTCGATGTATCTAGTCCTTTGAGATTTAACCAATCTTGTATCATGAATTCCTTCGCCGACTAGTGCACGAGTCGGACCTGGCGCTTTCCAAGATCCATGAAATCAACTCCTGTGATACACAGATGTATCAGACTCCATCACTCTTTAATAGTTCACAAACTAAGCGATAGTAGCAACTGTATCAATCTTGCGTACTTCTATAAGCTTAACAGTCATCTTCGTCTATATGGCGCTTCCCTGTGCTGAACAAGACAAGCTTTTAGTAGTAAATTCTTCTCGTAACTCTCTACATTATCCTCTATCTGCAACTCTGGTGACTTTGCACATTGAATACACCATTGGTATTTGATATGGGCAGCCTGGACGAGGTTTGGGGTTTTCGCCCGTGTCAATTGCTGTAAGTTTGCACTTGTATGGCATCTTCTGTAACAATGTGATCACGTATTTAGATCACACGGTTTTTCAGCACGAGACAACCATTTGAATGTATTTATCTCATACCTATCTTGCCCTTAGCTGAACAATTGGTGTGATGTAATGTTAGTTTGCCTGACTTTATCAAGTTTCTATACTCCTTCTAGTAGATATCTATGCTCCATCTATCTATCAGGCTGCCAGTAGGTTGAAGGTAGGGGCTAGACTACTTTGGGAATCGGATATCAGCAGCCACACGCTACCACGCACCAACACAGTGAAGGTGTCTGCTGGCCGTCAAACAGCCCAGAAGCTTGGGATATTCACGAGTGATACCCGATTAAAAAAACAATCTCAAGCACGGTCCCCTCGGTTAGTATCTGGTGTGAAAGGATGCGCTGAGTCAGTCACAAAGGAAGCGTCTCGGCGCGAATAACTTTACAACGCCGGTAACAGCACGCGCCCACTTCTACTTACGTCTATAACACGCAATGCTCGGCCAAACAGCTATATCCACATTTACAACTTGATTGCGCAATCTGTTACATACTTGAAGAAAAAAAACACAAGAAGCTCCGCAATCGTTGCGGCGTAGATTCAGCTCCAACCCGGAAACGCCCCTCCTCCCCCACCATCACCATCACCATCACCACTACGTAGTAGTACTAGGATAATCAGCACATAACCTACCCCAAACCCCAGCAACCATGAACAACTCCAAATACGCGCCCAAAACCCCCGCGGAAAAACTGGCCGAATCCCACAGCACACGGCTCAAAAAAGACAAAGACCGCATAACCCGGCTCCTGACGCGACTCCAATGGAAAGCCGAACTCGTCATGCTCTCGTACCTACGCACCCTGGACCTGCTCCGGACGCCCAAAACCACCAGCACATTCGCACCGTCCATGTTCCAACTCGACTTCTTCGAATTCTACACGCTGCTCGAACGCTACCTGGTCTCTCTACTCTCGCTCTTCCACATCTCCATCTCGTCCTCGCTTCCCCAGCAAAACTTCAACTACCTGCGGTACGAAACGAATCCAGGGCTGCGCCGCACACGGCCAATGGCGGATCATGCGTTCCATGCTAATCTGCTCGAGGCGCTGGATGATCCGGACGGTCCGTTTAAGAAGTGTCTGGGGGAAGGGGAGGTGAGGGTGCAGCTGGGTAGGGCGAAGGAGTGTAGGAATATGTGGAAGGATGCGGATTGTAAAGGAGGCGGGGAGGCGGGGAGGCTGGGGCTGCAGGAGTTGGGGATTGAGGTTATGTTGAGGGGGATTTTGGCCGGGTGTGAGGAGGCGAGGGGCGTGGCGATGGGGTATCAGGGGGGCGAGGGGGATGGGGCGGGTGCGACGAGTCGGGAGTTTTTTGAAAGAACGTATGAGGGCGAGGGCATGGAGGTGGAGGAATTTCCGTATGAATATATGGATGATGCGATGGATTTGGATTAGGTTGGTGGGAACGGAGGGGAAAGTGTGTTTTGCTAGAAGAAAAGAGGTTTTTTGCTGCTTTTTTTTTTGGTTGTATGATAAAATCATAGAGTTTCTTTCTTCATGTTTAAAGCAAGTGTACTTTGGAAAAAGAATCGAGGCGATTGGGGTATTTCCATCTTCTCATATCTTTGGTAACAAAACTACTCTTGCATCAAACTATCCGCACGGAACCTGTTGCCCTCTGCTTTACCTGCTTTCTGTACACTCTTCACTCTCTTCTCCTCTTCAGCCTCCCACTTGCACCTCTCTTTGCAGTCCCAGCATACGCTCCGCTTGCAGACGCGCATATCGTACTTCCACTCATGCCTATTCAGCATCTCCTGGCAGTGGCTACAGTCCAGCGGGATGACGATAGATTCCAGATCGCCTTTTCGCCTTGCAATACTCAATCCCTTGCTCGTCCTGGTGCGAATGGTCATCTCGCCCGAGGCATCGCAGTCTATGCCGTCAAAGACGACCAGTTTGTCGAACTTGCACCACCATGCTGGGCGTCCGGTCTTTTCTGTGCATGCACGTATCGAGGAGCTGGTGAAGGCATTGGTGGCGCCACCTGGGCCGGGGATCCAGCATCCGTTTTCTGGCGTTTGCGGAGGGGTGAAGATCCGGACTTTGTTCTCGCTTCCTGGGGTCTTCTTGGGGGTTAGGTTGAGACGTTCTTCCAGGAGGGCGGTAGGAGAGCGTAGTGCGGCCTTGGATTGCGTCTTCGAGTTGCGAATTAGGGCATAGCGCTGCTCTAGTTCTGAGCAAGGTTGAGATGGAGAGAATGAAGTGGTATTTGTTGCTAGATTTAGCTCTGCAGGTCTGCGGAGACGCGCTATTGAGGTTTTCTGTTGGTGTGTGGCTGGTTTGCCCGGGGTGGCCTGCTTTGGCGACATGGATGGAGTGAAGGCTGTGGGTTGCGACGAAGGCACATGGTCGTCGCTTTTGGACATTTGGACATTGTAGTTGTTTTCTTTTGGCGTTGTTGTGGATACATCCATTGCAACCATGGGAGGGTCTTCGGGAGCAGTCTCACTGAACACGCATTGTTCGGAGACCCGAGACCGAAGAGGCGATTGCTCTACCAAACCCTCTAGAGGTGAGTCGATCCGTTCAGCAGCCTTTTCAGGTACCGGTGAAACGAACGTCTCTCTTGTGCACGCACCATCAACCTCTGCCGTCACCTGTGGGGGACACAACGTTGGTGGCTGAAGATCTAGTTCATCAAAAAGAAAAACACCTGAATCCTCTTTTCCTGGGTCGAGATCTAGGTTCTTTGGTATAATGATATTGGGAATGTCGACTTCATCACATGTTGTATGTGTAGCAAGCAGTGGTTCACGTGCCAGCTCCTCTGTCTTGGAGCTCTTCCAGAAACTAAAGGACGGCATGGTGATGAAGTAGCAAAATGAAAGAGGGTAAACGAGTGTAGAGAAAGACAACCAAGGCAAAAGCAATTCAGGAACCGATCCTGGGGTTTATATCTTATCTTACCTTTCTTTTTGTACTTCAAACACCTTGGCCACCTGTACACTTGCTTCAATGGCAGAGTATTCCCTAACCCCTACACCCCAGTGCTTTGCCCGTACATACTTACTGTGTACGTACACCCTGTCCCGTTGATGTTTCGTTTCGTAGTTTCAGGCCATAGAAACATTACTCGGGAAGGTGAGAACTTCATTTGTTTGCATACTCAGCCCCGCCAGGAAATGAGGTCGAGTATGGTTTTGAGTGAGGTCATGGCATGTCGCGACACAGTACATGGAAAAACAAGAGGCATGGTTACTTTTGCCTCTGTGGTTTGAAACATTGCGGTGGCTGTGATTGGTTGGGTTTGGTTGGTGTGGAGGGATGTTAACCAAGGTGCAGGGTAAGCGTGTGTCAGGTGGAAATTGAACGTGTTTATGCCGATGGGCGTATGGAAGAACAGTAGAAGGACAATGGACGGCAGAACGGGAAACATGTTTATGCCGTGGTAGTGGAGGTATGAGAGGAGGGAATGTTCATGCAGAGGGGCAGTGAGAGATGAGCGGTTGTTCAAGTGCGAGAAGGAGGTTATGGCGAGAGAGTGCAATGCACCTGCTGTGGAAGGCGTAATGATAAGGCAGAGGATACAAGTAGGAAAAGCAATTGGAGGCTGAGGGGACGACTTCATTGCTTGCTTTGTGGCTGCATGGGGCTTGGAGGTGTGGAAAGGGCAACTGACCAACGTCACGTGATACCCCGCAAACATCCGAACAGGAACCATTGACAAACAGATTGGCATTGTTTCACGGGTTGCATATTAAAAGGTACTCGGCTTGCTGGTGGCACTGCGGCGATGACGGTTTAGGCATGTGACTTCGAGTTACCTTGTTTCTACCCGTCCATCCGGTGGACGAAATTCCCGGCACTCCAAAACGGCTTGTACCTGATACTGAGAATAGTCAGCGGGACTGCTTACCCACGCATTTTTTACGTCTTTTATCACTGCTCTGAGTCTATAGATATTTCTTTTGAACACGGAGAAGAAAAAAGTTGAAAAAAAAACAAAATGCTATCATAATATTTTCGTGGTGCAATGACGCCCTGGAGTTGCGTACTTTCTGGTGCGTCATCGATTTTGGTGCTAGTTGGGTGGCCTGCCTGGAGTCCCGGCATTTTGTCCACCAGGTGCCGACTTCAATGCACACGCACAAGGTGGCTGTGTACGCAAGGTCTCGACCATTTGCTGACAATATCAGCGTACAACGAGACTATTTCCAGCAGCTGCAACAGCCTCGTCTAAAAAGAGCTCACGAGGACTTGGCAGGTTGGGGGCTGGTGCTCGGTATCCGGGAGAGTTGTTGGTGACGATAGGATGATGTGACGAGACCAATTCCGGGCAGATGGACGGAGAAGGAAAGATGCAGGCTGTGCTAGGAACAGCAAGTGGCTGAGTTATGTTTGCCCCCAAAAAGACGAGGCGGATGGGGGATCAAAGTGGGATTTCTGTGTTTGGAAGCGGCTCCATGTGGCTAGGTTGTGCTCTGGAGGTCCTCAAGTGCTGATCAACAATACAAACAGTGCAAGATGGTGCGAATGAGTCGTACAGCTCCGAGACGGGCCAGGACATGGACATGGTCTGGACAGGATATGCGGGCAGTGGCAATGTCCTGGATAGTCTGGTATGGTGTTATCACGGCGAGTGGGGCAGCGCATTGTGAGGCTGCAAAGTCGACCAAGCCACTAGTCATGTTGTCTGCTGTTGCGCAGGCAACCACACCGCCCACGATGATTTCAATGCGGCTCCGACGAGCAAACCATGGTTTGCAAGACAGGCGACGGGCATGTAGGGCAGAGTTTGGTCGAGACTAGCACACGCTGCTTTTGCTGCCTGTGGTGGTTCCGAGGGCGAGCAAAGTGTGGTAGTGGCGCAGACGAGTGAGGGCGAGGGGAGCTGATTCGCCCAGCTGCAGCGGCCGTCTGAGGTGAGGACGAGCCGGCCCTCGGGCACGCAGCGGCAGCGAACAGAGTGTCAGACGGCAGAGACTTGCTGTGGTGCGTGGGCGAGGGGTGGGGTGGCCGCACGTGGAGGCGTCTCAGTCGTCGTTGTTGCATGCAGCGTCTCGTATGTACGTACGACCATGTGTGGATGTGTGGTGCTGTGTGCCGGCTAGAGGCGTGCAGAGGTGGTGAGTGCGCACTAGTGAGCCTGACGTACCGTGTGTCTGGCCGAGCGCCACTCGAACGGCCAGAGGGCTCGTAATGCCTGCTTTTTTTCCTGCCCTTTGCCGTGGGTGAGCGCGAGGGGTGCGAGGCTGCTGCTACTGTTGCTGGGAGCGTCTGGCGACCATGCAGTGACAGAGGCTGCTCCCACTCGCACTCGCACTCGCACGCCCCCCGGTGGTGGCCAGACGGACGGCTGAGCTCAGCTGACAGGGCCGTGGCGGGAGAGGGCTGTCATTCTGGAGTGGTGGTTGCTTGCAAGTAAGTATGTAGATACGTACATGCGTGTGTCCATGTATGGGGCATGGAGCATGTCCTATGTAGTAATGCGGCTGTGGCAGAGGGCGGGCTGGCGGCGATGCGCTGGCAGGTTTCGGTTCGTGCCTGGATCTGGCGTGGGCGTTGGCACCAGCAGCGAGCGTCCCCGTCGCATTCACCCATCCATCCGCATCCGCCCTCCGCCCTCCGCCCCTCGCCCCATTTGCCCTGCCTGCTCCCGACTGCAAGAAAAGAGAGCCGGCGGTGCGGCGCTCTTGTCCAACGACTGCGCGCCGCGTACGCCGTCTGTTCTGCTTCCATCCGCCTCGCCTGCTTTGACCGCCCATTGCACCCGGGCCTCGCTGCTATCCAGGCCCCAGTCGACCGTCGCCAGCGAGTGACGCGCTCCAGCCAGCTCAGCATCAGGATGCCACGGGTGCTATTGCCCATTGAAGCAAAAGCACGTCCTCGACCACGCCCATCATGACCGATACCGACACCGACTCTCTACGTCCTGCCGACGACGACGCCTTCCACTCCATCTCCGGCCGCCTCGAGACTGCTGAACCCGCGTCCGCGTCCACGTCGTCGTCGTCGTCGTCGTCGACGCAGCATTCACCACGCCAGCAGCCACTGCACCTCCCAAACCACCACCAGAACCAGAACCAGCACCCACCCGCTGCATCCACTGTGCCCACCGCGCCCCACAGCAACCCCGCCAGCAATACCGCTGCCTCTGCCTCTACCGCTGCCGCCACTGCTCCTGCTACTGCCGCTGCCACTGCTGCCACTGCTGCTGCTGCTGCTGCCGCCAACAACGCCTCAACCCCCTCGATGCGGCAACACACGCTGGCGGGCCAGCGCCCTCTCAACCCGTCCATCTCGTCGTCGTCACCACTCTCCTCACGGGAAGCCTCGCCTGCCCGCCCTTACCAGCGCAGTGTAGCCGCTGCCGGCTCGGGCGTGAGGCCTGGCTTCCGCTCACGCAAGAGCAGCACCGATGCGAGCCCAAGCCGAACATCGAGTCTCGCAAACTCGACCACGCCTGGCCCGTCGCCCACGGGCCCAGTGCAGCGTGCTCACTCGGCCACAAGCATACCGGACACGACTCCCGCAACGCAATCCTCCACGCCCGACGCTGCACGCGCACCGCGTTCTATCAAGGCCGCCCCGTCCAAGTCTGCCTCGGCCGACGCAGCACCCCATTGGCCCATCTCGCCGCGGCTCAAATCACCACCGCCCTCTGAAGACAGGCTCTCACACTCTCGGAGAAACTCACTGCGCTCGCAAATCAAGAGGCCAGAGACGCAGTCGACGCCTGCCATCATCGTCCAGAGCTCGTCGCCCGCCTCGCCGCCCCGTCTGGCCGTACCCGAGCACCCCATTGCGAGCGAGCCAGACGAGCCGACGCAGACTATAAAGGCCCCCCCTGCCCGCGGATCCAGCGGCCAGCCCACCAAGCTCGAAACCGTCCAAGAGTCTAGCTTGCCTGCCACATCCGGATTCCATGGTCTAGAGCCGCAAAGGTACGCTTTTCCCCGCAATGGCCCCACTGTTTGTCATCGCGACGCACGTTAGACTAGTCGCGGACCCAATTTCCGTTACCATCCGCAAACTTTGTTAACGCATTCTAGCTTTGTTTCTTCGCTCGTCACCCACAAATCCGATACGGATCGAAATGACGTCAACTCGTCCAAAGTCACTGAAGACCTCAGCTCAAAGCACGACTCCTTCAAACACGACCACTCCAAGCACACGGAAAGCGGCAGTGACAGCGCGTCAAAAAGCGCCAAGAAGGGCAAGATGCAGGAGCAGCGCTCGACCTTTGCCCAGCGGCCACAGCATTCCGTCTCTGCAAAGCCGTCGCTGTCCTCCATGTCAACACGCGCACGCGATCCGCCGCTACGCAACATGACGGTCGAAACCGAGACCGTGCCCTCGGTTGCACAGGCGTCGATTGTAAACCAGGACCGCTCCGCCTCTGGTCGTGCCGACGGCGGCATTCGTCTGAAGCCCAGCAATGAAACCATACGTCCAAAGAAGGAGAAGAAACCCCCCAAGCGAAAAGCCGCGTCCATCAATGCTGGCACCGGTAGGTTGCAACACATCTCGTACCCTCACCATACCCACACTCGGCCCGACCCTGGTGTGTTCTCCAACACACCCTCGTCTCTAGGCAGCCCCATGTCATACCGTTCGTACGATGACCGTCGCTCTCTGTTGGCCTTGTCTCCCCCACACGCAGAAATGCGCATGTCTTCGTCTTCTTCTCGTCCTCTCCATCTCATCTATTTTTACTCAAGCACTAACGCCAGCTACCGCACAGCTTCCTCCAAGGCGGACGTCTTCGAACAAAAGGTGGCAAGTGCAGTCGATGAGGCCGACTCCTCAGACTCTGATGCCACCTTCATCTACGAGTCCAATCCCCCCGACCCGCCTCACCGCAGTCGGGGACACCATTCACGCACGCCAAGCATGACATCACTAGCAAGCCTCACCAACCCACAACTTCAGTTCCGCGATAATCAAAAGCATCCAAGCAAGAAGAGTAGCACTAAATTTAAATTCACTAATCCGCACGTATATCCTACTATCGATGGAGACGATCGAGGCGAAGGTACTGTCCGCTCAGGCTCTGGGCGGGCTGGCGGAGGCAGCCACCACCATCACATCGGCGGCAGATACAACCAGGGCCGAGGTGGGTTAAACCACTTGGTCATGGACAGCGACTCGTCGATGCCTCAGTCTTCGCGCAATCGTGGACCGACTTCGAGAAACACATCGCAACCAAATAGCCCTCGTTTCCACACTTTCAGTGTTGGCAACGGACACAGCAACGGCTCCAAGAAGAATGGAGAGTACTCAGCTGCATATGACATTGACGCTGAGAATGCGGCCGATGACGAACGTACGCCACTCATCTCTGGCCGAAGCCCACGAGCCCGGACTCCTCGCCAAAGGAATAGCGCCAATATACGCCACCTGGAACGCCGGCATCACCGCGACGGCGGATGGTGCCGACGCTTTGCTGGGTGCTTGGTCCTTTCTATCCTGCTCTTGGTCGTCGTCTTTTGCGCTGTTGGACTTGTCTTTGCGACGACGAAGCCTCTCACAAGTCTTGTGGTACGCGACATTCAAAATGTCGTGGCAAGTCAAGAGGAGGTTATTCTGGATCTCATCGTCGACGCAGTCAATCCCAACATCATTGGAGTCACTGTTGCTGATATGGAAGTTTCCGTGTTTGCTAAGAGCAAGCATGTCGGCTCCGATACATGGTGGCGTGAGCATGGCAACGGGCCGCCTGGCGATGGGCAGCCCGATGACTTGGAGGAGTGGCAACCCGTTCAAGACCAGTCCCACCATGTGGACACTATTGCCCGCACCGCCGGAGTTGACGAAGGAACTGATCCCATTGAAGGCGAGCCTCGCACCATGTTACTTGGCCGCGTTAACCGTTTTGACTCGCCCTTGACTTTTGAGGGCTCGTTTTTCCAGCGGCATCGCGCAGAGTCCATTGGCGAACTTCGATTAGGGCATCCAGGAAACAAGACCGAAGCAGGGGGAAGCGAGCGCTGGGAAGAAGTCCTCCAACATCCTTTTGAATTGATTGTCCGAGGCAACTTCAAATACACACTTCCCCTGAGTACACAGGAGTTCAAGGTCCCCGTCACAGCCTCTCACTACTACGATCCAGACGTCGAAAAGAAGAAAAAGCCCGCCGCTTTGAAGGGACTTGGAAAGAGGAGGATTCTACCACCTGTACTAACAAAGCCCTGGGGACGTTATGACCGCAGAGCACTACTGCTCTGGAATCCCCAATAGCACATACTTGCATTCTGTATCACAAAGCTCGGAGATTTGGCGGTTGCACCGGTTCAATCTTCCAAAAGAAACTGATACCCTTCTAAACATGACATTACGACCCTATAGATTTGTCCCAATCCGGCAACTGTACATCAACGATTACATTGCCAATCTTGGCTTCACAGCCTTTACGAATTTCCTTGTTACTTCTGCGTTGCAATTGCACGCCATCCCAGCACCCCTTTGAAAAGGCTGTACGCGTTCCTTCTATTGCGAATGTCAATCTTTTGAGCGTACGGCCCTGCACTTTAGCGATGGTGTTTTTTTTTTCACGAAGCCTTGTTTTTTTTTTGCATTTTGACAACACGGACTTGTCTTCTGTTCTAATCAGTTTTTGCGCTGTTTGTCCTGTTTGGATTGATGATTGAAATGGATCGGTGTTGATCCGGACACATTCATTTCGCCTTGCCTCTCTTCTATGTATTTATACACACTCAGCGTATACTTGATTTGAATATCTTGTCTTCTTTTTTTTTTTGCTTCTCAATGACCGGCTAGGGTGCATGGAATAGGTATGGACAGGAAAACAAAGACATTTGCATTGCGTGGGAAACGGGAAATCAAAAGATTTTAGTCTTCATATTATTGGCTGGTTCTCTTTTTATGATTAGGCCATGTTGACGACACCTATGTGAGATGCAGGCGCGATGCATGGACGTTGCCAACGCCCCACATTCTACACAGCTTCCAAAACTAGACTATCCCACAGCCATCCCCTCCACTGTGTGCTTTTAGTAACTCTGACGTCTAGCCTGTTCTGCCCTTCTTTGAAAAGCCCCCGCGGAACTCCAAACTCCAAGCGTCTCCACTCCCCGGCCCTCGTAGCACCACGGTACGTATCCTGGCTATTAGCCAAGCTGGCACTGGTGATATTACCGATTTTAGCCTCGTTGAGCAAAATGTCAGCGCTGGATCCTTGGGAAAAGCCGGCAAGAGACACGACAAGTCTAGCAGCGGTACTATTTGCAGAGGGGACCGGGAAAGAAACCGACCAAGTCCCCAGTTTCGACTGGCCAAAGCACCAATCTCTCGATGGCGTGCTAGTACCGACGGTATACGTTAGATTGGCGGGACATTTATCTATGCGAGCGTGCTGTACTGGAATCGCCGGGTCTGCCAGATAAAACCCGTCTGTTTTGCGGTCGAAATCTCCGATTTGGAAGATGCGTTTTGTTCTGTTTGTAACAGGCCAGGTGAGTAACGGTAACGTTGTCGTCTTTCCCTTTACGATTTCAACATCGTTGTGCGTAAAGTTCGTTATGACATCTGCAATCGGCCTGCCGTTTCCCCACGCATACAAGGCATACGTGCCCGACCGTACGTCGCGTATACAGAACGAGCCCGTATCATCCGCGTAGGCCGTATAGTAATAATTCTGGCCCTGATCCAGCGTCGACACCGTCTCGTTGCGATTATCACCAAGAAACACTGCTGCCCCAGCCGCAGGCCGTCCATCACTCAGCAGCAGCTTTCCTTGCACCGCGCCGCGAGACTGATACGCTGTATTCTCAAACCACGCATACGGCCACTCTTTCTCCTCCTTTTCCCACCGCGCAACAGCATCCTGCCTACTCCCGCCATTCAAGTACCACAGCCAAGGTCCCCAAACCCGAGCATTCGCATTCCCCGCAGCAAACGAATCGCGGGACGAGGCTTGATAATGCGTCCCGTGCAGCATATTCAACTGCACCGTATCCCCCGTCTGGGACTCGCGATGCAGCATCAACTCCTGCTTCAACTGATCCCCATTCAAGTAGTCCTTACCAGCATGCAAATACCAACTCCCCACCTCGTCGCCCCACACCCCATACGCCGTCTGCTCGCGCAGAAAAGCAGCCCAGTCGTATTTGGTTAAGAATGTGCCGTCGCTCTTCTGCCATGTCTCGTCCTGCACCTTCGTCGGGTTTTGGTACGCGGAGAATGGTGGGAGCGGCCCGCTTTTCACGTTTGTAGAGGCGTTGGGGAAGGAGGCGTTGGAGAGGCGCCAGAGCGTGCGGAATTCACCTAGTGTGGGGAGCGCGCGGTTGATGAAGTATTGGTATGCGCCCGCGAGGTCGTCGTGGAGAACCCAGTGGAAATCACCTTCGACAGCGCGGAAGCGTATGTCGAGCCAGTTGGGGCCGGATGATGCGATGGATGCTGTGGTCCAGCGGAGGTCGGATGCTGCGCCGTCTATTATATGGAGGTGAGTTTTTCTTTTGGTTTAGAGGGGAAAAAAAAATATGGCGAACTCTTGTGTAGTTTCGTGGAGCGGTTTGGAATGCATGAGACTGAATGCTATTTTACGTACTGTAACTAACATAATGCCCTACCGCCTCGCCCACACGATCCTTTCCTTTAAACATTAATTTAGTCGCATACTGTGCGTTTTGCGTTACGTTCCAGAGCTCGTTTCCTAGGATCCATGTTGCATTTCCGATTTGGCGAAAGAAGCTCTTGGGTTGCTGGGGGGAGCTGTCATGGTGCGAGTATGCAGATGCGGATGCTACTACGCCTGCGCCACCGTAAACAAGAAGAGGCAGGAGAGACTTCATTTTGCGCAAGCATGTGAAGGAGGGGGTGGGTTGGGGCGGACCGCGAAAAAGGAAATAAATTGCTTTTGATTTTAAGCATTGCACCGTAGTTTATATACGTGTTCTGCCAGGGATCAAGCGCCATGCTAATTCATGGCGATCAATGTTACTTTACTTTTACTCTCTCTCTCTCTCTCTTTTTCTCTGTTTTCTCGGTGGATGTATACACCGAACCCGCCTTTCCCCCCTTCTCCGCATACTTTTTTAGAAACTGTTACAAGCGACTTCTCGAATTCCACTGCACACCTAACCAAAAATCCCTGAGCTCATTCACACAAGCACTGGATTTTCCTGTCATCTTTTCTGTCTCTACTATCCTAGAAACAGGGCGGGCGGGGGGAGAGGGCAGGGAAGTGTGGGTTTAATGAATGGAAGTGGCATGTCACACAGAGCGTCTGTGCTTCTATTTACGGCTTTTTTTCTCTCTCTTATTTCTTCCGTCCGATCGAGACGTGGCGCGGGAATTAGATACTTCCTGGGGTTCGTATTCGTATTGCCGGATCTACAGGATAAATGGAGAGTGGTGGAGGGTGGGGTGGGGAAAAGCCTGAATGGGGTAAGCAGAATTGGCGGGCAGAGACGGTAAAAAGCTTCAGTCCGTTGGCTTCGGCGAAACTGCACGCTTCTATTTATCGGAGCTCTAGGTTTTTAAAATTTTAGTTATGTTTAAATAAAAAAAACATTCTGTACATCAGTACTGCTTGAAAGCAATGAGTTCGCGGAGGTGGGATCAAGATTCAGTTAGCACCAGATTATGATGAAGATTAGAAATAGGCTACGATTTGGAGTTTTTTTGACAGAGGAGTGGGCAGGATGGACATGGCGCTCTTTCGCCAGAGGTGGTCTTAGGGGGGTTTGCACGGAGTGAAAGTATTGGTAGAAGCTAGCGCAGAGAATTGGCATGGTGATCCGCCTAGTAGGCTTTAGGTGATTGAGAACATATTGCATATGGTCTTGATATGTTGCTTATCCTGCGATACTTAGAGATCTGTACAAGTAGGTACGACTAGTCATTCTAGCAAGAAAGTAATTGGGATTCAATTACAAGACTAAGATTGCATTCAGAGGTACCAGCCGATCAATCAAGAGATGTAAAGAGTCTTGCAAAAGCTAGACACATATAAGGCACGCTGTGTGAGACTTCAAGCAGACCAACACAATACATCCATATATTGAGCTTCTGAAAACATGGATATCATGATCATCTATTCAAACGCAAGGTAGCAACCAAACGACATGCTACGTTACACCGAATTTTCCATCACATCATCAGGCCAGCAATGAATGCCAGTAGCGGCATCGAATCCCAATACTATGCTCAAGAGCTTAAAAGGTACCAACAACTTTCTTCACTGTCCTCCGCATACCCTCACCCGTGATTTGCACAGCGCCCTCCAGCTCCGCGCTTCGTAACACCTCTAGGAACTCCTGGTTTTCTACTTGTTCGCTCGCGCCTTCTCGGACACTCTTCATCAAGTCGCTCAATCGTACGCTCTGGCCAGCAGAACCAAGCTCATCGAGCGAAGCCAAGACTGCACGCTTCAAATCCTCCTTTCTGCGACGATCGCTAGTCGAGGTGCCTTCTGTAAGGAGCGACATGTCGATCAATCCCGTGCGTGCATCAGTAGCTGCCTGCTTGAGCGCCGACTTGATGAGGCGGACGGCTTCGTGGACATCGTCGGCTGTGACCTCCTCAGAAAGACGCATCTTGGCATGGGCTTCCGAGAGTCGAATCATTGACTCCAGCTGACGTGTAGTTGCCGTGATTCTTCGTTCTTGCGAGCGGACATCAGCACCCAGTCCACGCATGGCGACATACGCATCTACAAGCGCTTTCGATGCAGGCTCAGTAATCTTGGGGTGAATGTTGGAGCGGGCATAAGAGATGTAGGCAGTCAAGAACTCAATGGGCAAAACCTCGTTCTTCGCAGCATTCTCGGGTGTGTCTTCAAGGTACATGCCAACCAAGTGACGAGCCATGCGACGATCGTTCTGCTCATCGATACGGTCCAAGACAAGGTAAACGAGATCGAAACGCGAAAGCAGGGTCGGCGGGAGATCGATATTTTGTGGGACTGGGAGGTTGACGTTGTACTTGGAGCCGATGGGATTGGCAGACGCTAAGATGGAAGTACGCGCGTTAAGGGTGGTGATAATGCCGGCTTTGGCAATAGAAACAGTCTGCTGCTCCATGACTTCGTGTAGAACAGATCGAGTAGCTTCTGACATCTTGTCGAACTCGTCAATACAGCAAACACCACCGTCTGAAAGTACTAGAGCACCAGATTCGAGGACCAGCTGTCGAGTCTCTGGGTCGCGAGTAACGTATGCAGTCAAACCAACAGCTGAGGATCCCTTTCCAGATGTGTACACACCACGCGGTGCGATTCTGTGGACGTATTGCAGAATTTGGGACTTGGCGGTGGATGGGTCACCACAGAGCAGAACGTTGATGTCGCCACGGTACTTTGGACTACCACCCTTTTCGAACTGCTTGTTGGTGCCACCAAAGAGTTGGAGCAAGATGCCCTTCTTGACGTCCTCCATCTCATAGATACTGGGGGCGAGCGACCGAGAAAGTAGCTCGTACACATCAGGACGAGCACCGGTGGCTTTGATCTTCGCTTCCTCTTCCTCGGTAACTTTGCGAGTTTCTTCCAAATCACCAGCTGCATGCTCCGCAAGTTCCTCCTCAATTGTCGATACATCAATACCCAAGCGCTTCTTATCAACTTTTTGGATATGCAGCGCATCGACATAGGTCTTAAAGATGTTTTTGACTGATCGTTGTCGTGGGTTGATGCGGACCTGGTTGCATTTGAAGATGCCAGTAATCTCTACGCGGTCACCAGCTTTGCAGACATCGACAAGTTCATCGTATGCGCAAAGGGATACTGAGTGCGGTGTTTGGCCATCTGGCATATCATCAGGAGTCTCTTGTAGCTTGATGACCTGCTTGTTGGCAAACCCGGAGCGGTTGTGCACGATTTGCATCGAGTTGGGCGACTCGCACACCGCACGCGGGCATTTGGTAGGTTCGGTGATCTTACCGCGGTCAATGTCTACCCTGACCGTATGGTTACACACAGAGCAGCGGAAGAAGGCTAGTGGTGTTAGCTACTACCGACAGATTCTCATACTTCAACTTACCATCTTTCATATCAGGAATAATTGGAGTAGTCCTAATAACCAGGCCCTTGACACTGACAAGTTTGTCCATATCACCGGGATTCAGCTCGCGCAGATTGATGGTCTTATCCAGGCCAAATGGCCTTACGTTGTAAGTCTTTTGATCCACTTCGCTGACCAGATTGGGGATCTCCGGGAATGGAGCAGGAGACGGAGCACCAGGAGTGGGTGCATCAGAACTCGGCATTGGGGGTAGGGAACTGGAATCACGGTCTCTGGGCTGAGCACCACGTTGTTGCTGCGAAAGTTGAGTCCGCATCTCCGCCATTCGCTTCTCGGCAAGCTCGAGCATAGTGTCCTTTATAGCAACATCCATGATGGGGATGATTTCGTTGGGGTACGCCTGCAACTGGTGCCAAAGCTTCCTCGTGGGCGGATAGGCCTTGAGGTTGCGAGCATCCAAGTTCAATGGCGTGACACCAAGCTCAAGCATCATCTTCATGAGATCAACGTATTCTCGAGCCATACCTGGATGGTTCGGAGGAAGATTCATGCCTTCTTCCAGCTCACCATCCTGAATCATGCGATACTTCTTTTGAAAGTTCATGAGAAAGTCCCTCATTGCATGACGAGCATCCACCAGAGACACGTTAGTTCCCCAAATGACTCGTGAAGAGTTCCCACCCAACACGTCGGCATCAGAAGTATCTGGGTTGATATTGGAAAATGTTGCTGCATCTGAGGCATCCTGGACAGGCATGCCATTCTCGTCGACGAACAGTCTGCGGCGGCGATTGGTAGAGCTAGTCCCAAAGACATCAGAGTGGATATCATTGCGTCGACTACGTGCTGCAGACTCTGAGCCACGGACGAAGAGGGCGCTACTGCTGCTACCCGGAATATTGCTCTGGGCATTGCGGGCTCGACCAGGGCTAGAGCTGGATGCGTAGTGGATAGGCGACGAGTCTGTACATGTTAGTCATGTCACTGATGAATTGCCCGTTCTCCATACCTCCGATATTCATGGCCGACGCCTTTGGTGTTGCACCACCATCGCTTTCCTCAGCCCCATTTGCAGGGGCAGGCGAGGACTGGAAGAATAGAGGCGATTGGGTCGAAGTGGTCTGAAACCGTGCATTTCTTGGAGTTGCTTGAGGTCCACGTTGTGAAGCTTGTGTCGCCTCGGATTGGAGTTGCTCGTCCGGACCTACTGGTGCTGGACTCGATTGCATCTGAGAATTTTGGCCACGAGCGCTTCTCCTTGGCGTCGCCGAGGCCGAAGTGCGCTGAGAGCGACGCTGGGGTGGGGAAGACATTGTTGGGGCGCTCTATGCGGCAGCCAGGGTGAATGTGTTGATGTTGTACTAAGAGGGGTTGCCAGGGAGGTGGAGTTTATCGCGCCCACTCCTCCTGTGGACGCGTGGGACGCGTTCTGGTCTAGTCTGTAAAGGGACGGTTAAGTGGTCTTGGCACTACAGATATCGACCTAGCTGCACGCATATGAGAGATGTTATGCAGGGGAGTGGGTTTATCAAGGGATGTAATATCCAATTCTTTGTATTGCTGCCCGGGGACTGCCATCTTGGTGTTGGTACATGTCGAGACCAGTCTGTAGACAAGGTCAGTGGGGCAGTTTAGCCCCGCGGCCAGACGAACATTTCCAAGCAGGCAACAACCAAAGCCAGGAAGCTTAAACACAGAAAAGCCGAGTTCCTTGTGAAATTGACACCAATCCTTTCTGTTTCTACATACGCAACCCCCAAGTATCCGCTATGGCCCCTCCGTCCAAGCTCGCAATAGCAACTGGCGTTGTGCTCCGCTTAGTGAAGGAGGAAGCAAGCTACCATAAAGAGATTGAGCAGCAAGAAGCACGCGTCAAGAAGGCCGAAGCCAGTCAAGATGAACACAATGGCGAATACACACTCAAGCAAGAGGTACGCTATGTCCCTATGCCCTAGGGCTTCACCAAAACCCTGTAATCAGCCACTAACTTCATTACAGCGTCAAGCCCTTCAGGAGACCAAGAACGTACTGCCCGGCATGAAGGTCAAGATTGAGCAAGCAGTCGAGAAACTGGAAGAGGAACTTGTAAGTTGGACAACTCATGAAGTACACAAAAATGATGGTATTGACCAAACCTAGGAGAACAGCAGCGAGGCTTCCGAGGAGGAAGTCGCAAAGGCAAAGGAGGCCGTTGCAAAGGGAAAGGCTGCCATGAGTGAGGCTTCGTAAATCAGGATTGTTATGCTCCGACTAGATGATACAAGCCCGTTACGAAAGATGAAGATACATTGATACCCGAACACCGCGCTATGCAGGCAAATCATGAGAAAAGACACTGTTCCACATGTAACTACGACTCGTCCATACTCATTGATGGTCCATCGTCACCGTCATGCTCACCGTCTTCCAGGTCTTCCCCCTCTTCTAACCCATCAGAGTCATCTGCATTGGCATGGCCTGAGTTGGCAGCCAAATCTGCCATTTCAGTGTCCTCTGCCGCACCAGACCTAGCTGAGGGTGCGACACTGACGTCTCGAGATAGAGGCTTCAGCCGATCTTGGGGCGGTGCTCGTAGTGACGACCCTTCTCCGCCTTGGCTGGCATGTACGGGCGTCATACCGCCGTCCGGCCGTGGCGTACCAGCATGGCTGACATCTCCCCTGGACATGCTGCCTTCTCCCTCGCCATCCTCGTCCCCATCCTTCATCATGCCCTCCTTGCGCTCAGCCTCTTCCTTCTCATCCTTGATCATGCGCAGCATCTCCCGAGCCTCCTCTTCTATGCGGCCAAACTGTGTGCGGCGCTCACTCCATGTATCCTTGGCTGACTGTACTTCGTGCTCAAGCTCCCGTATCTCTTGATCCAGCTTCACGTGTGCATGTGCTTGCTCATCGCGCGGCTTGAGCATCTTACTGCTTGTGATCTTTTCGGTCAACTCGTCGTATGTCTTACGCACGGCGAGTGTTTCCTTGGCTTCGACGAGTCGGACGCGAAGATCTTCGATGGTCTTGCGCACATGGTCCTGCTTTGCCTCGATGGCCGTCTTTTCCACGGCGTATCGCTCGCGCTCTGTGTGATTGCTGTTTGTCGTGAATTCGGCGCGTAGAATTGCGTAGTCGAGCAGCGAAAGCTCGTTCATGATATCCTTGCGCCATATCTCAATGTTGTGTGCCTGCTGTTCGCGCTCGGCTTTCAACGCGGCTGCTTCCTCCTCAGCAGCTGTGCCGTCTGGCGGCGGCGAGGGAAGCTGTTTTGGGCGTGCATCTTCAAAGAATCCCGGCTTGAGCAGGCGACCCGCGGCGTTTGTGTATGGACGAGCCTCAACTGCTAGAAGGCGCGATACATTGTGGAGCGCATCTGCTCAGGTTAGAGGGAGACTCGAAGCAAGCAATAGCTGGTTCTACCTTCATCTGCTTGGGACAACAGGCCCCATTCCTTTGTCGCCATCGTTTCGGTGTAGAGGCGCGAATATGCGACAGCTGTTGGGGTCACTGGTGGGGGACTATTGCAGCATTCAAAGTCGCGACGCCGCAGTTTGATGGTCCATCGCGGCGTCTGGCAGGGATCTGAACTAGCGCCAGGGCCCATCCGACGTCAGATATACACCTTTGGTGCCTTCTCCTTCATTACACTCAGCTCTCTATTCTGATCATTCGCTTTGTCGCTTTGTCCATAACACTGTTCAAAAAACATTATTTTCTTTGAAGTCTAGGCTAGCGAGATGCACCCGTGAATGTTGTGGGGTTCTCGACCCCAGCCAATGCCCACGCTGCCTACGTACCACTCGTCCATGGTTGGCATAACTACAAGTGGAAACCACCCTTTCAGCGATCTTTAAAGCCCAACCGACGAGCTACACAGTACCCCAACTTCGATACCGAACCCCGCGACATATCAAATTTCAACACCTCTGCACAAACGTTTCGCAACGCCCCCGTTGCCTACACCATGCCGGCTCTTACCCTGTTCGAGCTGGCCCGTCAGCGGCTTATCAAAAACATCGACATGCTCCGCGACGTTGGCGATTTGCCCTACTCTTTCCTTCAGCCTGTTCTCCGATTCGTACAAAGCCCCGACCAGCTTATCGAGCTCGAGTCCAATTGCCCTCAGCTTCTCGGAGAGACGGGTGAAATCTGGCTCCGCTTCATAAAACGAGACATACCAGACTGGGAGAAGAAGCCACATGAACCGCGCGACCCTCAGAACTGGAGTAAAGTCTACCGGAAGCTGAAGAAGGACGCGGAGCGCGAGAAACAGGCCGATCAAGAGGCGCTGAAGCAGCAGATGAAGGCGATACAAAAGGATCGCGCACAAAACAAGACCCTTATCGTGGATAGCAGGATTGGGTATGGTTCTGGAGGCAGCAGGATGTTCACGGGCCGAACTACGACAAGTTGGGGTCAACCTTCTGGTGCGCCTGCGAAGACAGGCAAAGCCGCTTTCGATAAGCTGAAACGAGGCATGTTCGACCACGGACGTGAGCGGCCAAAAGCCAGCCAGATACCTGCGCATCTCCTAGCCCAAAGGAAAAGGCCCATCCAGCAAGCTCCGGCGCGTATGGTTCGAATGGCAGAGAGCGAGGCTCCTCGGAGCATGGTCTTGTCCAAACAGGCCTCTACATCCATGGCAAACAGACCGGAGCCTTCAAGACCTGTGCCCTCTACAAGCCGTCCCAACATCACACAGCGACCAGCGCCGCAACAGCGCAACCCACCGCCACCGTCACGAACCTCGCTACCTGCAGGGCAGCAGTTTAGCGCGCCGAAGCCAAGGCCAGCAAGTGGAGGTGTAGCTCCCGCTCCCAAGAGAAAGAGGGAGGAATATAGCATGTTTCATACAAAGAAGAAGAAGGTGTAAGAGCAGGATGAATTACGATCCTCTTTTATGGAGTGTCGGAGGATTATTGGCATGCCAAGGATACCGATAGATCGACCATGGACTGCCTGGGAATACGATATGTGGCTTTATATGCACAGCAAACAGGGCGCTTTAGTGTTGGACAATACTTTATAGGATACATGGGTTGAAGTGGAATGCTCACCCAAGATCTGCATTGCGTGGCGTTTTTTTTTTCATATTAGCAGTTGTCTGCTTTTTGTGTTTGCCGGCGTCTCTATTTGTTGACTTGCTTCAAATGTGCACATATTTTATTGTTTTGGTGCATTTTGAGGTTTCGTTTGTTGCGAAGCAGTTGATTTCAGGGGGTCAGTTCTTTCGGATACATGCCTGTTTGCATGATAGAACTATTTACAGTAAAGCACAGTTACAGTGAACAGGTGTTCTAGAGTTTCCAGTTTCTTTGAGACTTGTTGGTTTCCCCGTGGTGACTTCTGTATGACTGATTGTCAGACGCAAATTCAGTTCTGTTTCGAGGATACGCTTTCTTTGCTGATCTCGAGAGCAAAACGTGAACATTTGAAAGCCCAAAGCATCAATCAGATCATAACTCGAAATTGCTATCCGAGTATTGTCTGATCGACGTTTATTACCGTTTTGGTCTTTTGATCGCTCAATCTAAGCCAGTGACGGACCAAGACGTCACAACTATACAAAGCTATGCGTGACGCTTGATATACAAACCCAGGACAAACATCTACTCTGTCGCCTTCTCTTTCGCCGGCCTCACCATAAGCTGTCACAAAGTTAGTTCAATATTTAATCAACCATACTCTCAATTTCCCCCCCCCCAAAAAAAACTTACAGTAAGATCAAGCGTCGTTGTTCCACCCCACTTCCTCAAATCAAAGGAAACCTCCTTCACCCTCTGAAACCCAAATCNTCCCCCAAAAAAAACTTACAGTAAGATCAAGCGTCGTTGTTCCACCCCACTTCCTCAAATCAAAGGAAACCTCCTTCACCCTCTGAAACCCAAATCGCGCATACAACGGCGCGCCCGCCGGACTCGCCTCAAGAAACGCGACCACGCCCGCCTCATCCGCCCTCTCACACCCCCATCTCACCAGCATACCCCCCGCACCCCTCCTCTCATGCTGCGGTAACGTAACCAGGGTATCAAGCACATAACACGGTTTCTGCCCCAGGACCTCCCTCTTATTCGCATTCATCACGCTAAAAACCTCGTTCCACATTTCCGGGTCGCTCTCCTCATACGGCTCGGGCAATTTGAGATCTGCATCGACTTCCTCCCAGGTGCGCAGCGCAGCGCCCTCTTGCTGCGGTTTAACGTAGCGCCAGCGGGCCCCCGCGATCATCTCGCCAGTGGAGGCGTCGACGCATTTTAAAAAGAGGACTCCGTCGGCGATGCCAGTGCGGATGGATTCCGTGACTTTGGAGAGGGTGGCTTGTGAGGGCTCGCCGCGCGGGTAGAGCATGTGGTTGACGGTGTTGCGGAAGACTTCGTGGCGGATGCGCATGTATTGCTCTGCTTCTGAGGGGTCGAGGAGGGAGATTTGGAGGTTGGGGTCCGGCATTTTTTTTGTTTGGTTAGGTGTGAGGGTTGAGGGAATATAGGGAGGGGGGGAAAGGAAAGCGTAGGTTGGAGTCACGGTTATGGGATGGTGAAGGTTGGGGAGAAGAAGTGTCGATTAAGGATGGCTGTTCACTTATGTATTGGTCTGACTAGTTTATCACTTATGATGACTCATTTTTCCCCTGTCCAGTACATGTAGCATCTGGGTTGCCTTATAGAGTCGAGGGATTGCGCCCTTTTGCTCCACGCCCTTTTGCTCCACAGTCTTGCTCTCGCGGGGCATATGTTCTCGGAATTGAAATGTCAAGTATACGGTGGATGCTGTGCATTTTGTAAGCTAGTTTTTTAGAGCCAATTGATTACTCGATTTATTGAACAGAGACGTGCAACATAAGACCACCACCACCTACCTACCTCTTTGGTGGTAAGGCTGGACTAGCGAGTGGCGGGCATGTGAGCGGGTGGTGGTCGCGTTGTTCGCTAATCCCGGTCGCGTCTGGCTGATCCCTGCAACAATTTTCTCGACGTTAGTTTTGCGACCATCCGGCCTGCACCTCTTCGCATCCACAATCCAACGGCAATGGCACCCGCAACGACGATTCCGCACAAGTCGGGGGGACACCAGCGATACAAAGCTGCGAAATCGGACGGCGCGTCAAAACATCAAGCAGACCTTGCTGCTGGCGACGGCGATGCAGAGGCAGGCGCATTGCAGCCGGTGAAGGAACCGCAGGAAGAGGATGAGTTTGAAGATTTCGGCACAGAAGGAGAGGATGAAAACAAGGGGGCTCAAAGTGAGGAGAGCGACGAGGAAAGCATAGATATACAGCTTGAGCAAAAGGAAAAGAAAAAGGAAAAGCCGGTATTGCCAAAGGATGCTGAAGAAGAGGAGCTTGAGCGTATAATATTTGGCGACTCAGAGGGCTTTCGGCAAGGATTAGAAAACTTCTCGCTCGACCGTACAACCGGCGCATATGGTGACGATTCAGACGAATCGGGAGCAGAAGAGGCATCTCTCGATGGTGTAGCAGACCAGGACTTGTTCTTCTTTGACGCAGGTCCTGTTGCTGCACCAGCAGGCTCTGTAGCACCCAAGGGTACAGAGGAATCGGATGACGAAGACGAAAAGCCTGCGTGGGAAGATAGCGACGACGAGCGGCTGGTAGTTAGTCTGGCGTCGGTACCTCAGCTGAGAAAATTGCGGGAGACAGCAGACGATGACGTAGTCAACGGTAAAGAATACTCGCGGAGGTTGCGCAAGCAGTACGAGAGGCTCTACCCTACACCCAACTGGGCGGCATATGCGACAGGCAAGGCCAATAAGAAGCGGAGACGCACAATGGAAGAGGATGAGAGTGGAAACGAGTCGGCAAGCGACATGGACGTTGATGATGAGGATCTATCTACAGCGCCGCTTGCAAAGCTGTTGAAGGATGCCGATATCCTTTCGCGGGTCTCGAGGGGCAGCGCGAAGCGAAGAAAGCTTCAAGCCGGCACCATTGACATTCAGCGTCTGAAGGATGTGTCCAAAGCCGGACCGGTAAGCAGAACGAGGTCAATACATGATTCGATAATAACTAACAGTTTCCACAGTCTGCCATTACCTCCCTATCATTTCACCCTACTTACCCGCTATTGCTTTCCTCCGGACCCAGCTCAACACTATACCTCCACCACGTCAATCCAAATCCGCCGAACCCAAATCCTCTACTGACATCACTGCACGTCAAGCGCACGCCTCTTGTCACAACGGCATTCCACCCATCTGCATCAGACTCACGCATCTTCCTGAGCGCACGTCGCCGCTACTTCCACGTTTGGAATATTGCAACCGGGCGAGTGGAAAAGGTGTCGCGTGTCTATGGTCACCAGCACGAACAACGAACCATGGAGTTTTTTGCTTTGTCACCAAATGGCAAATACATGGCTCTTCGGGGTTCATCTAGAAAGGGCGGCGGTGTCATCAACATTCTGGATGCCCGAACGCTCCAATGGACAACACAAGTGCGGATCGAATCACGAGGCGGCATTGCAGACTTTGCGTGGTGGGGCGATGGCACGGGCATGTGCATTGCAGGCAAGAACGGTGAAGTTACCGAGTGGAGCGTCGAAGACGGTATCGTAGGACGTTGGAACGACGAAGGTGCCGTGGGCACCACGGTCATTGCGCTCGGCGGCAAGAGCGGGCGCGAGAACTGGCTTGGAGGCGATCGATGGGTAGCAATCGGCAGTTCAAGCGGAGTAGTCAACATCTACGATCGTCGCGCCTGGAGCGAAAACGACCCTTCCCTCAGCACCGCGGAAGCCGATGCAAACGGCGGTATCCCTCCCGCACCGAAACCGCTGCGAGATCTCCAGAATCTTACAACGCCCATTTCGCATCTGGCGTTTACACCAGATGGACAGGTGCTCGCCATGGCGAGTCGCTGGAAGAATAATGCGATGAGGCTGGTGCATCTACCTTCTGCTACTGTGTTTAAGAATTGGCCGAGTCAGAAAACGCCGCTGGGACGGATTACGGCGGTGGCGTGGGGACGACCAAGTGAAGATGAGGAGAAGGAAGGGAGTCTGGCGCAGTTGGCAGTTGCCAATGAGGCGGGACATATTAGGATGTGGGAAATACGGGCTTGATTTTTTTGGGATGCGCGACGAATACAATTGTGTGCCTTTCCAGAGAAGCTGTGATTGTGGTCCCTCCTCTTGTTTGCATTGGATGTGTTTGTACGCGTCTCTCATCGCAACCGTAGTTCGCTATTCTGCTGCCTTCGTCGCAACCGCAGTTCGCTGTGCTGCTGCCTTGGTCGTAACCGCATTTTGGTTATCGTACCNTACGCGATTCTGGCAGGTTGGGGTGTGGCCTGCCATTCTTTTCTGAGATAATTGATCTGATACGCTATACAGCAAACAGAGAGAAAAAAGTCAAGCGATACGACAAACATGGACAATAACGAATACCAACAGATTTTGAATAACATTCACCGTAGACAAGAGTCTTTTTTCCGCAAAGTATCAACATAGCCGGCAGCAGTTTTCGACGTATACTACTAGGGGCGAGGATATCCTTTCTTTTCGGGGTTGAACCATGGGCAAGAACAGAAATCGGAACAAGAACAAGAATAGAGCCAAGCGAGCAAAAGGTGCTGGAGGCGACGATGGCGAGACGAGTAAGACACAGGCGGCGAGTTCGAATGTCAATCAGACGCGTGGGGGCAATACGAAGACAGTGGCAGACGAGCAGAAAGAGATCAAGGAGCTGGAAGAAACACGGGCCAGCGATGCACAAGATGCGGTTATTCCAAAAGCTCCAGCAGGCACGCTCAAGGCCAAATGCGATTCGGTCATTTCGAACGCTTCGGGGGGTCCTGCAGATGAAATCAAAGTCGCAGCGCAAGTGGCTGGACGGCCAAGGTGGAATTTGCGAATCCGTCGATGGCTCTGGCGGTGCTGGCCCTGTCGCTTGGTACGATGGACGTATCGTTTTCTAGTTGCGTTGGTGCGAATCGACTGGAACGACCAGCAAAGGGCGGCAGATGTGGTGCTGGCGGTGGGACTTGGTGGATCAGTCGTATTTGGAGTCTACGTGGTTGGTGATTTCCTGCTCAGGCATTGGGGGGAGCTCATGGCAGTCTTTCCTTTGGAGTGGTTCCAGGTACGATGTGGCTGGTTGAGGAGCCAAGTGGACCAAGCAGTCGATTGTCTGGGGGATATTTGGAGACGTCTTGTTGGTCTGCTGGAGAGGGGAGCATGCTCCGGTATACGAGCCAAGATGTCGGTGCTACAGCTTCACTGCCAGAATGTGCTGCGAGGTCATGGACCTTGGCTGGCTGCCTGGTCAGCATACCCCGACGCAGAGGACGGCATTTGAGAGCACCATGGCCGGCAGACAGGCAGGTGGTGGTGGTGGTGGTGTGTCGGATATCGCCTAACGCGGGTTGTATCGAGTGATGGGATGGTTTGATGTTCGCGTCGAGTCTAGCGCCGAGTGCACGTGAGGGCTAGTGCAGGAAGTTTAGGCGGTGCTGCCGCTGTCGCGACATGGCAATGCAGCAGGCCGAGGGCGAGGGCGTGTGTCTGGCTGGTGCGTGTGCAGGGCGGGGGAGCACAATGCAGACGGGCGTGTGTCTATGTGTAGTAGATATGTGCACACTGCTTGCGAGGAGAAGGACGGTGACGTCAGACAGGCACATGGCCGGGTGCCGCATGGAGCGTTTCAGCCGGGAGGTGCCATGTGAGTGTCGAGGCACGCGTCGGGGCCCTGTCGAGCCTGTGTATGTGTACATGTGTATGCATCACGCGGCGGCGGCCGAGGCCACGGCTGGGATATTCTGGTGTATATGTATATCCACGCAAAGGCCTCCAAGAGTCCGAGTGTGTATGCATGCATGCAGCCCCGGCAACTGGCCTCTCTGCTTCCTTTTTCCCACTGCCCCCCCCCCACACGCGCACTCGCAGTCGTTTGCGCATCCCATGCCCCAACGCTCGCTGCCCGCCCCAAGCGACCAGCCTAGTCCGCGCCCGGCCTAGCCACCGCCGCCCGAGACGTGCCCCATCCACGCCTGCACCCAGAGTCTGCCCTCGGGTGCGCTGGTGCGAGGGAGAAATCTCTCACCCTCTGCTGGCCCCAGGTGGACCGCCGACTCCGGACCGAGACGCGCAGCAGCAGCAGCAGCCTCTGTCTCTGCCACCCAAAGCGCCAGCGCCATGGCGACTTTTGCGCCCTCGAATTTTGCCCTCGACGCCGGCGACGACAAACCCCACCACGAGCCCCCACCACCGCCTCTCCCACACGGACCCTTTGCCCACCAGCTTAACCCTCCCCCAACACAGCCCTACTCGTCGGCCACGCCCAAACTCTCCCCACGACCCTCGCGCGACCTCCGCCACCACCTCTCCTCTGGCGCAATGGCTGGCGCAAACACTCACGCGCCCATGGCCGTCCCAGGCGGCCGCATCAACCAGCCCGCCCACGACCACCGCCCAAACCTGCGCGACATGGGCTTCGCCGGCCCCCGCAGCCCCCCAAACAACAAGAGTACGTCTTCACTCATTCGCCCTCCTCTCCCTCTCCCTCTCCCTCTCCCCCCGCCCCTTGCTGACCATGCCCAGATACCTCACACGTCCCATGCAAGTTCTACCGCCAGGGCGCATGCCAGGCAGGCAAGGCCTGTCCCTTTCTGCACTCGGACGAGCCGCTGACGGAGCGTGCGCCTTGCAAGTACTTCACAAAGGGCAACTGCAAGTTTGGCCAAAAGTGCGCCCTGGCCCACATCCTGCCAAACGGCCATGTCGTCAACCGCGGAAACGCTGCCAGCCACTTTGGCCGCATGAACGTCCCCCACCACCAGGAGCTGCCCATCAACAGCTCCCTGCTGACCATGCAGGCACACATGGGCGGCATGCAGCCAGCCTACCCCTACGCCCTCCAGGACGACTACGTCAACCACAAGAACCAGTACGACATGATTCCCACCATCGACACCACCTTTTCCTCCCACCCCGGCTCAAACTACGGCTCGCCGCCAAACGACAACGGCCGCCTCCCCATCTCGCCCACACACAAGGGTCTTAGTGTCATGGACGTCGGCTTGCCTGCCTCTTTTGACAGCCAGGGTGTCTCTACCATGGCCCGCTATGGCCCCATCGCCTCGTCTGTACCAGCAAAGTTTCTCGCAAACTCGCCCCCGTCTTCGTACCAGGCTGATTCGCCTGCGCTCCGCAACCTGCACGACTCTGCATTTGGTGATGGTTCGCGAAGAGGAATTGGCGCGTTGGGCTCTTCGCCACCAGAGTCGGTAGAGCAGCCCACGGGAAGAAGAATGCTGCATTCTGAGCTCGCCGCCAATCGTTCTCGTGGTATCATGTCATCTAGTCTGGGCGCACGGCCTGCTTTCAAGGACGAGGAATGGGATGAGACGGATATGATTGGCAAGTTCGAGGAGGATCTGCTGCCAAACTCGCTGAGCGACCTGCTCACCCCACAGGAAAAGATGCGCCGCTTCTCGCGCGACCAGGGTGAGAACGAGAGTTCCTTCTCCCAACGTGCTGCACAGTCTAGGCTCGGTGTGTCGCCAACCGCATCCGACCTCAAGTATGGATCTCCCTCGGCAGCGACTGCTTCTCCTTCCAGGTTCCAGTCCATGTGGGCCAAGCCTCGCGGGCCAACATATGACAATGCATTCGAGTCCGGCTCATTGCCGGGACAGTCGGCCTTTGGACACGTTGGCTCGCCGCTACGCAACTCAAGCCTCCACCCTGGAGCGAGTCCTTCACTACGCGCCATCAGCCGCCCTACCACCGGCGACGCGAGCCCCTACCTATCTTCGCCTCCCCGCCAAGCTTCGATGAGCATGATCAGCCAGCAATTACAGCGAACTCGTCTGTCCACCCGAGACGAGGCAAGCATAACCAGCAACCCGGTCCATCCTGGCATCAACCGTGTTACCTCAGCCACTAGCATCGGGAACTCGAGTGGACGTCTTGGTATGGATCGTGCAGTTAGCAGCAGCAGCATCAATCGCGAGAGAATCGAGGAAGAGCAAGGCCTATTTAGCATGGAAGAAGAGGAGGACGTCAACAAGAGCAGGGATGGTGCATCCACCACTTCCAGTACAAGCAACAAGCGCTTGAGCGGACTGTCATGGGGCAGCGGAGGTGGCAAGGCCAGCCCCAACCTCGCACCCGTTGGTGGACACCGTACTACTGCTACTTCGGGCCTTTCAAAGGATACGGGAGTCTGGAATAAGAACACCTAGACCCTTTTTCCCCGGCTCCAGATGTTGCTCTGCCTTCCCCTTCCATACGCGACTTGTCTACGACACACCAAGAAAAAATATAGCATACCCCCTTTTCAACCCGGTAAACAGTTGGAAATATTGAGCGTTTTGGGCGAATTTTTGTTTGCATTTTTGGGGAAGACATACGACCTCTTTTGACTTTATGCGTGGTGTTTGTTTGTTTGTTTGTTTTACTTCGGCATATACAAAAAAGTCTCGGAGCTTACAGCTATTATACAGATATTTCAAGCGAGGGAGTGTGGTGCAGAGCAGGCAAAACATTGCAACACAGTGATTGCCAGATTCTAATTTCCCATTCTCGGTTTCCCCACTTTTTCACATTATTGCTTTGGAAAGAACTGGACGATTTTCCGGCAAAGGGTACCCCATTATTCGATTTTGAGCTTTGGTTTTCTTTTTCAACTTTTAGAGTTGGATGGAGTTATGGTTTTTTTTATCTCAACTCAAAGTCGCGGATATGTGGTTCTATCAATGGCAGTGTGGTGTCTGCTTTTTTTTCCCCACCAGATCTCATGGGTCATGACTTTGTTTTTATCTGTTTTCTTGCAAATCTGATATTCTCTGTTCGGTTTTACATATGAAGGAAATTAACGAAAAAGGGGGTGTGTATTGGAGAATTTTCAGCTGAGAGTGTATATTCAGAGGAGGGAGGAGGGAGGGGGACGGTGTGACGAATTCTGATATGAAAGTGGAAAGGGCGTGATGGAAGCAGAAGAGAAATCAAGGGTAGATGATGAAATAAGGGATAAATCCATGTATTCGATAATGCAATCTAGAAAGTCGAGGTACTACAATCCAATCATTTCCAACCTCGCTCATACTACTGTCGCGAAAGAAAACAACAAGACATGAAGATGAATGAGTTCGCCCAGCAAACCAACTACACGTATTCACAACTTGGCCGTAGCCCCAACCCCCAACGCCACATCCCCCTTACTCCTCTCCTTCAACACCCTCCTGAGAATCTTCCCACTCGCACTCTTAGGAATCTCGGGCACAAACACCACTCCCCCCCTCAACCACTTATGATTAGCCACCCTGCCCTCCATCCACTTGACAATCGCCCTCGCCTCCTCCTCGCCCGCGCTCGCCCGTATCCTCTCCGCAGGCACCACATACGCCCTCGGCACCTCGGTATGGCGCTCGTGGTCCTCTACCCCAATGACCGCGACATCATCCACGACCTCACTCTCCATCAACTTTCCCTCCAACTCGGCCGGCGGGACCTGAAACCCCTTGTACTTGATCAACTCCTTTACCCTATCCGTGATGTAAAAGTTATCATGTTTGTCCTGAAAGCCAATGTCGCCTGTTTTGAAGAAGCCGTCGGCGGTCAGGGCGGCGGCGGTGGCGGCGGGGTTTTTCCAGTAGCCTTTGAAGATGTTGGGGCCGCGGAGGTGGAGTTCGCCGGGGGTGGTGCCGGGGGCGAGTTCGGAGCCAGAAGCGGACATGTATTTTGCTTGCATGTTTGGGAGGAGTTTGCCTACGCTGCCTATGGAGGTATACCATTCGTCCCAGGGCTGTTTTTTTTGAAAGAGGGGGTTGGGTTAGCGGGGGGAGTGGAATGGATAGGGGGGGAGCGGAGAGGGTGGGAAAATTTACCTGAGTATGTGTAACGGGACTTGTTTCGCTCAAGCCGTATGCTTGGTTGATTTTCAGACCTAGTCGCTTGTGTACGGCGTCGACGAGACCTTTTGTGAGGGGCGCGGCGCCACTCGTGATCATCTTTATGGACGAGAGGTTGTACTGGGTCACTATGCTGTCTCGGGATAAGCGCACAATGACGGGGGGTGCTACGTATATGAAAGTGATTTTGTGCTCCTGGATGGCTTCCAGGAACATCTTTAGGTCGAAAGTGGGCATCACGACGAGCTCGATGCCTCGGTGCAGTGTCTGGTGTACGAGCCCGGTGAGACCGTAGATGTGGAAGAAGGGGAGGACGCCTAGAAACTTGTCTTCTGATGATGAGTACCAGTGGCCTACACCCCCCTTTAGAATAAGCAGGTCTGCGATGATGTTTCGGTGGCTGAGCATCACGCCTTTTGGCAGTCCAGTTGTACCAGAACTGTAGGCAAGGAATGACAGGTCTTCGGGGTTGGCTTTCCTTCTGCGATACCGTTCTAAGATGTCTGTCTTCCGAATACTGGTCCAGTGCTTGCACTGACTGGATTCATCTTTTTCAGATCCCAGCAAGATGACTCGATCGTTTGCGATGCCGACTTTCTTTGCAGCCTCCAATGCCGTTTTCAAGAACGTCTTTGTAGTGGCGAGTGCCTTGGCGCCAGAGTTCTCCAGTTGGTAGGCCAATTCATCTTTGGAATATCCAGGGTTTGCAGGTGTAACAATTCCACCTGCAAAAAAGGTGCCGTATATGACTGGCGGGACATCAATATCATTTGGCGCATAGAGGGCCAAAACATCATCTTTCTGCCAATCCCAGAGACTCCGGAGGCCCTCGCCGAATGCTGTGGCTTGGGTCTTTACTTGGGCGAATGTGTATTTTCGGTCAGAGTTGATCGCACGGTAAATGACCTTGTCATCTGAGAAGTCGCGGTCTTTCCGCTCAAACATGAGTCCCCATAGGTCGACATCCGGGATCTCCACGTCTGGAAACGGCGAATTGGAAGGCATGTTTTGTGTTGGTATTGGACAGGGGAATCAAACGGTTGTCAGCTCACGCGCAGTAATATAAAACTGGAAATTGTATGTTTGTTTTTAATTGGCGCCGTCGTGCAACCACATACACCGTAGGGTTCAAGGCGGAAGGGGATTAGTCGAGTCATCGTGGGGAACCTCGGCTTCCCCGTACCATGACGTTACCACTTCCGAATCTCGCGCCATTGCACCGGTTTGTCAGCCTCGATTTCTCAAAAAGGCCCCTGGTTTTCTAAACAATTGCCCTACTTTGAGTAATCCGACAGTTCATACTAGCTACACTAACTGGATAGAATAGTGCTACGAATGTCTACGGTCCTTTGTAATGGTTACTCAGCGAAAAAACTCTATCCTAATTTGAGCCGATTTCAGTCATCACTGAACTACGTGCCATATTGGGAGATGTGTCTGTGTCGGTTTGTTGAGTGTCTAGAAGGCAGATCATTCAAATCTTGCTATTTTATCTTTATTTTTAGGTTTTTGGTAGATGATCAATGGAAAGTTTCACGCCGTATTCAACGCATGCTTGCCTACAATGAATTGAAATAAAAGTAATCGGGGAATTCCAGAAGCTCGGATTATGCAATTCCATCTGGGTCCAAGCACGAGATAAAGGTGCGCAAGCTGCCTGAGCCAGGCCACTGTCTTCTGGTCCGTCATGCGCACGTGACTAGGCGTCGGATCCCGGAACATGTAGTAGGTACGTGAACCATCGGGAGAGCCGGAAGGCAGCCACGAAATGATATACGTGGTCAGCACAAAGGCCGAGGCTAACGGAAGGCGATCGAAATAATGTCCCGGCCATACCAGCACGGGTGTGACGGGGTTTCGTCTTGGTGCACAGCGTAGGCTCGGCGCCATGGTCCAGCTGATGATGGCAAAGTGACGATGTGGTGGTTCGGCATTGTTTTCTGGGGCTCGGGCTGCCGCCACTCAATGGCTGGCCGGTTGGATGGGCCACTGTGGGTGGGCGACAGCATTGTGTACATACATCTGCCTACGTACTCGATGCATGAGGTGTGGGTGGAAGCTAATGCTTAAAGGAATGCCGCAGACTAAGGACCGTTCCCGCATGCGCACGGTCTACCGTAATGGTGGGGGAAAGGCGCGTGCGAGCAGTCAACCGTCCGACCGAACGACCCACCCTCTCTATCTCTCCCAGTTCATCCATCAGGGTGCCTCGAGCGCAGCTCCATCTCGGCCGCATTCGCATCTGCCTCCAAGATCTGCCGGAACAATTGCTCGTCAGGCAGCGGCAGGCGTCGACTCGCTTGGGTGCAAGTGGATGCGGACCGGCCGCCTCTGGCTCCCCCCAAGGCTCGACACAGTTCACGTCGGCAGCCGCTGACCAACCGCGCTCTTGGGACTCTGCTCTGCTCTCGGATCCGGCGTGGGCGGCGTGATTGGCTGGCTGGGGCTGTGCCGTGGGGAGGGCTGCGCCGTCGAGGACGCATACGGCGTCATCGCTGAGGCGTAGGCGGAAGAAGGGCAATTTCTCTGCAGCGTGATATCTGCACCACTGCCACGACTGGGTCCTACAGGCCGTCTCAGCTGGCAGGGAGCCCGGCCTTAAGCAAGTGTCACCGGCAGCTGCTTCTCATTCCACACAGGATGGGTAAGTGCCCCTCGACTTCCCCCAATCCCCCTCCTAACGTCGCCATCCCCATCCGTCGTCCGCCCTCCGCGCCAGCGCCATCACGGTTCTGCCTCTCCTCATAACCAGGGCCGCCTTCCTGCTGACTTTTTGGCCTGCTAGATTCTGCAGGAGACACCTACCGCCCCAGTGACCGAGTGAGTACAGCCACCTCTTCTCCTTTGCCCGTCCCGTCGCCAATCGTCTGCTGCCAACCATGTCGCCAGGCGGCAAGTGAAGCGCACTGCACTGCACCGCACCGCACCGCACCGCTCCTCGCCCGCCCCTGGGCTGACCTGCTAGCCGTCATCCCGTCGAGAGCAGCCGTGGCAGACGGGCTGCTGTTCACTTCCCCTTCCCCTTCACTCCTCACTCCAACCCCCCCATGGTGCGCGGTGTTCGCTGGTGTTGGTCAGAGGCACGTGATTGGCCGGCAACTGCCGTCGCGCGTTTCGTTCGTCGTTGCCCAAGCTCCGAGCTGCTCACGCACGCTCGCCCGCTCGCGCAACCTCTCCTTCTAACCCCATCAACCCTGCGAGCCTGCACCAGCTCGCATCACCCACCCGCAACCCGCTCCAACATCTCCGCTTCGACGCATTGATCGACGCACCGTCGCAATCATGTCGTACGAAACTGACAATTATGACCAGCGCGACCGCTCCCCTCGTCGCCGTTCTCGCTCCCCGCGACGCTCCCGACGCTCCTACTCACCTCGCAGCCGCTCTCGCAGCCGAGAGGACTACCGTCGCACTGAACGCCGCTCGCGCTCCCCCAACAGCGGTGCTCAGGGTGCAGGAAGCTACCAGTCGTACGGTGCCAGCAGAGGTGGCTCATCGCGACCCACTGAGAACAAGGGCGAGATGATGCAGAACATTAGGGATTCTTCGCAACAAGACCGTCGCGTCTACGTCGGCAATCTCTCGTACGATGTCAAGTGGCATCACCTAAAGGACTTCATGCGCCAAGGTACGGATGGCATGTGTTGCGTCGCGTCAAGAGATGGGCTAATGTGGAAATAGCTGGAGAGGTCCTCTTTGCAGATGTCTTGCTACTACCGAACGGAATGTCAAAGGTAATGGATGATGGCTTGTCTTGATCGTGAGAAGGATGGAGGTTGACTGGCTTTTGCTTGGGTGTAGGGCTGTGGCATCGTGGAATATGCAACTCGGGAGCAGGCGCAGAACGCTGTTGCAACGCTCAGCAACCAGAACCTCATGGGACGCCTCGTATACGTTCGCGAAGACCGAGAGGCCGAGCCTCGATTCAGTGCCCCCGGCGGTCGTGGTGACTTTGGCGGCGGTATGGGTCGCGGCGGCTACGGTGGCTTCGGTGGTAATAATGCTGCTGCTGGAGGTCCAACCGGAGCACGACAGGTCTACGTCTCCAACGTTTGTACACCCATTTCATTGTTCCCTTGTGTTTACATTGCTGGTCTTTGCTAACCATTTTGCCTAGCTTCCCTACAACGTTGGCTGGCAGGACCTGAAGGACCTCTTCCGCCAGGCTGCCAACAATGGTCAAGTCCTTCGCGCTGACGTTCACATTGCACCTGATGGCCGCCCAAAGGGTTCCGGTGTGGTTGCATTCGAGACACCCGAGGATGCCCGGAATGCCATTACCCAGTTCAACGGCTATGACTGGCAAGGCCGAAACCTCGAGGTTCGCGAGGACCGCTTTGCCGGCGCTCCTGGTGGATTCGGCGGTCGCGGAGGCTTCGGAGGCCGCGGCGGCTTTGGTGGTGGCTTCCAGGGCCGTGGTGGCTTTGGTGGTCGTGGTGGTTACGGAGGCTTTGGAGGTCGCGGTGGCTTCAATGGCGGATACGGTGGTGGTGCCGGTGGCCCTGGTTTCGACCCCAACGCCGCTCCTCCTGCCCCGAACCCATTCACAGACTTTGCCACTGCAGGCGGAGAACCCAGCAACATCATCTACGTTCGCAACCTACCATGGTCGACTAGCAACGAGGATCTTGTCGAGCTCTTCACCACGATTGGAAAGGTCGAGCGTGCCGAAATTCAATACGAGCCCAACGGTCGCTCTCGCGGAACCGGTGTAGTTGAATTCGAGAAGGCTGCCGACGCAGAGACGTCTATCGGTATGTTCTGCAAAGCTTCTGCATGTCAATTTACTAACACGTTCATAGCCAAATTCACTGGTTACCAGTATGGCGGTAGGCCTCTAGGCCTTGCCTACGTCAAATACACCAATGTGGGCAACGGCGATGTCATGGAAGGTACCGAGCACACTGGCGGCCTGACCCAAGACCAGATCATGTAATCGGTTGTTTCATTCGCCGTGCATCTAAGACACTGAGCATCTACATGACGATACACGCACATTTTTTATTTGCTGTGGTCGCGAGCGCCTTATCGGGAATGATTTTTTTCCTTTATCTCACATTTGCATCTCTCCACAGAATGGGATCTGGAGAGAATATCTTGCGAGTCAGTTCTGGTATCGGGGAAACACTGTAGGAGAACAAAATTTCCTTGTCTACACTAAAAGCTAGCTGTTGAGATGTAGCTATAGCATCGAATGGGAACTTCGTAAGGCTTATGCACATGCCTTTGCTTGATTGTTCTATTTTTTGTGTACAAATCTTGACTCAACTTGAAGTGACCCAGATTTTGTCTATTGCAATAACTTCATCATCCACTCGTATGCGGCCCATTGCACGGCATTGACAATGAATGCGCGTACACTGCATATGCCCAAGCCACGGACGAAGACGCCTGCGCCTTCTGTCCGGTATGCTTGCCTGGCAATTTCAATTGAGCTCATTCGCTTCTTCTGTGTTTCCGGTTGCAGGAGACCACCTCGCTCTCCGTCTGTTGCCGGTGCATGTAGTACCTGGGTCTGCACTCTCGTCTTGATCATATCCAGGGGAAAAATGGACGTCCAGCTAACAACGCCAGCCAACCCACCACACATGAGTACTTTCATAGCTGTTTCCTGATCCGAATCATCCGGCGAACTCCAAGCCTGTTTAGACATTTCATACGACCAAAAGCTAAGAATTCAGTTAGTCAGCCACTTCCCTCCATACTTGTCACTCCTTCCTTGACGTGTTTTTTTTTCCTCTCAAGTGGAGAGCACGGATTTTTACGTTGTTGGGGGAAAAAAAGGGAATACTACTCACTAAAGCCCATACCCGACCGCATCCCTCACACTCGTAATCGCACCTCCATAATACAACCCCCTCACGCCCTCGGCCCGCCACACATCTCGGGCCACACTCCACGACGTCGTGCTTGAACTCGTAGAAACCTGTGCTCTGCACTTGATTAGCTCGGTAGGGGCGCTGACGACGAACGAGGCGAGGCCGCCTGTTACGCCTGCGAGAAAGACTTTGGAGAGGCTCGAGGGCGTGGTCGGGGTGTCGTGCAGGAGGGATAGGGTGCGGTTGTAGGTTACGAATAAGAGGCCATTGAGGGCGCCGTAGGTGAGGATTGGTGCTGTGGCGCCTATACTGGAGTGTTTTTGCTTGTTAGTCGGGTCTCTTTCTCTCCTTTTTCTCTCTCTCTCTCTCTCTTTCTGGGGGATGAAAGAGGGTTCAAGCAAGGAAGGGATGAATGGAGTGAAAAAATAAATAAATAAATAGGATAGAGGCTTTCTTTCTTTCTTTTCTTTGGTTCTAGCAACAAAGAATTCGTGACATTGGAGAATAGTGGTGGACGACGATGTTGAAGTTATTAGTCTCACCTCTAACTAGCGTTCCTGCATTTTCAAATTGCGCTTTGAAACCTTGCAGGGTTTGGAGTTGTGGTTGCAACGCTGCTGCTGTTGTTATTGTGGTTGTTGTTGTCGGTGTAGCTTCTACTACATGTGGTGCTGGCGTGTTTCCTGCCTGCAGACGCGTCTTTATAAGGTCCAGTGGGTTGCCGATGATGATGCCTGCTGCGCCGGAAATGTAGCCGGCCCAGAAGTCTGCGGACATGATTCTGGATTTTTTTTTTATTTGTTCCTATTGGCGTGTGGGAGGGAGAGGGAGGCGAAAATTATGTAGGAACGGTTGGGGCAAGTCTAGTACTAGGGAGGGGGATGCAGGGTCTTTGGATGTTTGGGTGTGGGGTGGGGAGGGGCAGGGATTTTGAGGATCTAGGACAGCCGAGGCTCAGATGGATGTGAGATGGGAATACGATGGTGGACTTTTTGGAAATGGAGTATGCATAATTAGTGTGTGGGTCCTGCATTTGCAGTATTGACTATCAAAGTGAGTCTGTGGTTATGCTATTGCCAAGGTTAAGACGAGTGATGGTCTGCAGAGTTTTGGTGCGACATTGTCTACCTAAACATGAAATCCTATCGCTTCACCTGTGCATGTATTTGTGAGAATATGAGGAGTAGTTTGGGTCGGTCGTATTCACTTGTTGTGCCTGCTGTGGACATCCGTTATCACGGGATGGTTCATGATATTGTTAAGATTGCGTCAGTCATTCCCTCTGCTCATTGTTTGAGTTTGCGATGCATTTGTATAAGTTATAACATAAGTCGTGAAATTTACCTCGTCTCGGTGTAGGAACTCTGGCTTGAAATTGCCCTTGAGAAAACTACTTTTCGCGTCCATAAAACTGGTACCAGGACAACCCTATCACGTTGATGCGTACCCTGGCAACCAAGCCTTGTCTGTGAGATTTGATGCGTCTTCTGTTTCTTGTACAGTGGTTGGGATTGGACTTTCAGTCGGTCATTGTTGATTGGGTTGGCGGTGCTAGAACAGCGCCAGCACATGATTACTTGTTAATTTCGGCTGCTCTTTCTAGAAAGGACAGATGATGATGGGCACGTCAGACCGCTCTCGGGCTTTCCGAACCTATGTAGCTCACAAAATCGTCCATATATTTCAAAGAGTTACAATGAATAGCCCAGGTGTGGTAACGAACAAAAGTGAATGAAGCGCCAAAGACGTTCCGATCTCCAGCATGCATGATGTGTGTCATTCTCGGTGGCGTTGGCATATCGACCCAAGCGAATAGACTAGAGCCGGTTAGAGCTCGGACCATGAGGCTGAGACAACCCCCGATGACCTTCACCCCGCCGCCACCCAAACACCAGGCATTTATCTTCACGCTCCTGCAACTCTCTTTGTTCTTACTGACACACGTGTCTCCCCAGGATTGCCCTTGTAGCTACTGTTTGAGCTTGGCAATACCTCTTTCTCTATACGTCGCCACCGTTGATCATGGGCGCGCGATTAGGACCCTTGTTTAGAGACCAATCACACAGTATGTCTGGCCATCTGCTGCGCCTCATGATACAGCCTCTACGCGCTGAGTATGCCTAGTGTAGCAAGGCTGTATCGTTGAAACGCTGCTTTTAGGGCGCCGAGCTTGCCGCCTGAGATTCCTTGTATTCATCTGACACTCGTCCAGATTCCGCCACACATTAGCATTCACCACTCACCTTCGACGAACACACTGAACTCGGATTATTTCATTATCCTACGAGGAAACTATACTCAATGCCTTCACAATCTCTTGATACCGGTTGGGACTTCAGCCCTGTTATTGATCTCATTGAATCTGCTTCCGAAGATATCTGCTCCCCAGCACTTCGGCCTACAACGCAGAACTTCACGCCAGCCTGCGAAAATGGCGGTGTACGCTTGGGCAGTTTCTCCAAGCTCTTTGAGAGCTTAGGCTTCTCGGACAATCTGGACAATCTGGCAGCACCGCTTCCACCTCTCGATCCTGACTCGGAGCTCAGCAACTCAGATGATGCTTTACTGCCGTCTCCAACTTTGAAGCCGGCTCAGGCGCCCGTTGAGTGTGTCGATAGTTCGACTGTAGAGCCAACCGGCAGCCCGGTCTTGACTAAGACCCAGCGTAAGAAGGCTCGCAGACGTGCTGAGAAGGAGTTGCTAGAAGAGCAAACCCGCCAGCGGATCATGCAGGAAACCCTTGATCAGCTCGCTGAAGAACGCGAGCAGAGGGAGCACCAAAAACAACAAGGCTCCATTGAGAAGCAATCAGACAAGCTTACCAATACCCCAGTGGAGGGTAAAGATGTTGCTGAAAAGCCGCAAAAGCCCTCCCGAACGAGTTCACGATCCAATGTTGGTGCAAAAATCCGACCTACGCTTTCTGTACAGGCGTCCGCACCAGAATCCACAGGTGCTCACGACATTCAGCCGAAGCAACCGAAGACCCCCAAGTCTCGCCCCAGTGTACTTAAGCAATCATACGCAGTACAACCAATGACTCCTCAGCCATTGGAAAAAGTACCGGTCATTACTCCCTGTAAAACACCAATACCTAATCTAGCCATACACGAAACGTCGAGCACTCCAGTGCTAGACCAACACATTGATCCCCCACCACAGCGGCCATGTCTTGTGGCGACTCCAGTACGCCATGGACTTGTGCCGCGAACTGTTCGACCAGTTACTCTACCAAGGGCTACTTCACAACCCGCTGTGGTAGCTCAGGCTCCGACGACACCGACTCGACGGGCCGGCTCGTTCAGCGGACGGCGACCGCCTCTTGTGATTCGATCGAAGACGGATCGCCATCTTCATCTGTTCAACAAACTGATGGAGAAGTTTCCGGAAGATCAAAAGTGGCTGGTGGCACCGATGCAGCTTCTGAACGAGCGGCAAAGCGAGCACGGTTTGCATGTATTCGTCGACGCCTCGAACATTATGATTGGACTCAAGGATATGCTGCGCTCGCATGGGCTTCACCATAACGCGTATGACATATCGTTTGATAGCCTTGCGCTGCTGATGGAGCGGCGCCGACCTGTAGCCAAGCGATTTTTTGCGGGCTCACACCGCGAAGCCAATCCACTTCCTCAGATTGAGAAGCTTGTGGAGACTTCGAAGGCGGTTGGGTACGACAGCGTGATGCAAGAGCAAGTGCTGATTGTACGGGAAGAGTCTGAGAAGAAGAAATTCTTCAACGATGTCAAGAAGATGGGGTGGCACAAGGCGACGCAGATGCGGTCTGGCAGCGGCAGCGACTCTGAAACGAGCGCGCCGGCTCCCAAGACGGCTGCGGCGCCGAAATGGGTTGAGCAGGGAGTAGACGAGATTCTTCACCTGAAGATGTGCCAGAGCATTATTGATTGCGAATGGCCGAGCACAATGGTGCTAGCGACGGGGGACGGGGCAGTTGCAGAGATGTCGGACGGGTTCCTAGCTCACGTGGAGCGAGCGTTGAAGCGGGGGTGGAGGGTGGAGTTGATCAGCTGGGGGCAGCAGATCAACAGTGGCTATAGGAAACGCCAGTTCCGAGCCAAGTGGGGGGAGCAGTTTACGATTATTGAGCTGGATGAGTTTTTGGAGGATTTGATTGATACGCGGTAGGGGATAGATGATGTGTTTGTAGTGCATGATGTCTTTCAGCCTTGTGGTGTTTTGACATTGTTTGGCACGGTTTTGTTTGATATTGTTTTATCTGTTTGGTGTAGTAGCACGCTAGTTTTTTTTTGTTTGTTTCTAAAATGTCTAGCAGGACAGCTGTTGCAAGACAGGTGTTCATTTGTGATGGGCCGAACACATTTTTTTATGCATGGTAAAAAAGAAGTCGTAAAGGAAATGAGGGATGTTCATGCCACGACCTTGCCAAGTCAAAGCTCGTGTCGCTATTGTCATCGTGAGCGGTACTCTAGTAAGTAGTAAGTAAGAGTTGCAGTAGTCAATCCCGGCAAGGCCCGCAGCACTTGTTGTCGCGTGGGTTCCTGATCATCGTCACATCACCCGCCTCCCCCCCTTTTTCCAACCACAACGCACCTACCTACAGCTATGCTTACTAGTCTCCACGGAACCTCTCTCTCTCTCTCTCTCATGTCCCTAAGTAGGCATATGTGTGCACATACCCACACTCTGCAAGTCCGACCGAAAGCAAGCAAGTAAGTAAGCAATTTTCAACCCGTCACCCCATCCATCACACACGCCGATGATCATCATGACCAAAAAACCCCCATCAAATCTCGGGGCCCACTATGTCCTAGCATGCATCCCCATACTCAAGTGCATAAAAACACCCAAACCTCCTGTGTCCAAAGTAAATAAATTGACTAGTATGTAGGTATGTAAGCTCGGGTACGAGGCGAGCGCTCATCTACCCTTTCTAACCAAGGGAAAAAAAAACCAACGAGGTATAGGAAACGCAGGGACAGAATGGATTGACCCGACTCCCGCGCTCGCAGGAGGTTTGCACACGGATCGCTTGGTGGCTCGTGCGTGTGAATTCGACGCGGGACGAGGGGGGGATGGGGGCCAAGACGGACGAGGAAGAGGGGAGGGGAAGGGGATTGGTAGAGCCGAACGTGTGTGTGTGTATGTGATTTGGGACTAGGATAGGAGGGTGGGTAAGTTGGTAGTAGCGAGAAAAGCCAGGGTATAGAAGTAGTTTGATAGGCAGCGAGTGCAAGTCTAGAACGGGTTTACCGTATTTGGGATTTGTGTGAATACGAGTTTTACGATGCAAGGATTGGGGGCGGGGGAGGACGAAGGCGGCCGACCTGTTAGGCTCTATTTTTCTTTCTTGCGGTGCCTGGATCGTGGTGGGTTCGGCACATCCACATCCCTCGTTCCTGGCGGTTGTGAAACACTAGGTGAAATGCTGTGGACGGGGGGGGGGCTGGGACTGGGGGGGAGACGGATTTTCGGATGTATGACAGTTCAACGGTGGAACGGTTGAGCCGGTGGGGGTGAGTGTTAGGGGATGAAGTGGATGCGTTTGCACGTTTATTTTGTTGGGCGGGGAGGGCATGGAAGGGGAGATGGGTAAAACGTAAGTAAGGTTTGTGCTTTTGACAGCGGATGGTGGTGCAGTTGGCAAAAAGGCTGTCTCGAGTCAATCGGTAGTCATGCGCACGAATCATATGGCATTTCTTGTTTTCTCAATGCGGACAGATGGGTGTTAGAGGGCAAAACGGTCGAGAGCAAGGGAAAACAGCATCACTAGAGTGGGAATAGGAGGCTGGAGGAAATTGCGATGGTCGCTGAGAATCGGCATGTAGAAGAATATTTTTTTTTCCTTATTTTACTTGTGAGGCATTTTCTTCGGGCGGCTGGCGGCTAGCGACGAAGGCGAGACGGGGAGCTATCTGTTTTGTTTTGTCTGCATTTGGTTTTTTTCCATTTGGCTTGGTGGCGTGTGTAGTAGTGGGCTTGTAAAGGGCGCTAAGCTGTATGTGAGGCTAACCATGGCGAGTCGGAGGGTCGTGCAAAGGACTAACTGTGGTCCGATAAGTCCGCCTTGCCACGGGCGAAAAGGGCATCGATGCATGCAGGGATCCAAAGTAGGGCGGGAGGCAATGGAGCACGAAGAAACAAAGAGATTACGCCCTGCATTGCACCAGGGCGGCGTGCATGAGGAAAGAGGGGGTGGGCAAGCGATGGAGGCAGATGGCCGAGACGACGGCAGTGTGCTCTGGGCGTAGGCGGCTGGTCGGAGGCTGAGGGATGGGCGGGAGCGGATCTTCCAATGTGCCGAGGCGCTTATTCAGACGACGAGGCGGACGCGACAGTCAGCGGACGCCTTTTGGTGCGCGAGCGGGCGGACAGCAGGCGTGATTGGTAACCAGGGTGTAGATGAGAATGCGACCTGCTGCAGTTTCAGGCGTGGCATCATGGCGGCCCAAGAGATGCGTTGTGTTTACCGTCGAGGCTGGGATGCTCCTGGCGGCAGGCCAAACATAACGCCGCCAAGTCACAGCGACAAGGCGAGGCTCGCCCGCACAGCCAAGTGTCGAGTGCGCAGTGTGTTGGGTTGGTACGATGGTATGGCATGGCTGATGGAGCCTCCGCTGCGGTGCCATCATGCACATGCTGCCATCATCGGCCGTGTGTTGATGTCATGGCGGGCTAAAGTAGCGTCCAGCGCATTACCGCATCATCCTGCCGCCAGCCAACGGACCATTTTTTTCTCCTTGCAGCGACCGCTTCCGGGCGATGCTGCTGCTGCTGCTGCTGCTGCTGCTGCTGATGCTGCTGCAAGGGCATCGCCTGCTTCAGGCGCGCCGTGCAGTGCAGCCTCCAAGGACGCAGGCGGCCAGCCATTACCTGCTCTGCCCCGGCGTCCAGCCGGCTGACCATACTTACTTGCAGGCAGAACGAGGGCATCTCGTCGGTGCAGCCATGGCACCCGCAGTGGGCCGGCCAGCAGCACGCATCACGCAGCCGTAATGGGCCGCGAGCGTGGTGCGTCTTGGTACGTACTTCGCAGCAGGCGCCAGGGCTCCAAACGAGATTGGCTCCTCTCCCTCGTCCCTCGTCCTAGCCCGCTCCGTCGTAGCCGCTCAAGTCGCGGTCCTAATTCGAACCCCCCGGCGCGGTGCACGCCTCAGCCATCCGGAGCTTCCCCTACCAGCTGCCTGCCTAACCTGCCTCTCTTAATCCTCCTCTAGCCCGCCCTCTTCCGCCCTGCTGCCCCGTCTCCAACCTTGCTCCAGACACTCCTCTGCTCAGGCTCGTCGTCCCCTTGCACAAAAAGAAAAACCCCCCCCGAGAGGCCCGACGACGCTCGCCCCAACCAAACGCCCCCTTCCTCTTTCTCGCTCCCTCCTTCTCCTCCGCCGCCGCCGCCCCCAGCTGCCTTTGGTCGCGTGTTCCCGTCGCCGTTGCTCCATCTCTCTCCAAAGCCGATTGCGCCACAGCCCGTTCCCCCAGGCGACCGAGTCCGCGCAGTCACCATGACCAACAAGAGCTACCTTGCATTTCTTGACAACACGACGGCTTCAGACATGCTCTCGCGCACCACCGTCCCGGGCCTCGCTGCCTTGCCCAGTCTTATCCCCCACCGCGTCCGCAGGAAATGGAGAGCCACAAAGTCCCGTATACGCAGTCGCCAGTCGCCCACGTCGTCCATCGCCTCGCTCGAGACGTCCTTCTCCCCCTCGGATACCCTGCGTTCGCTGCGCACCCACTCGTGGTCCATATACGACGCCCAGTACCTGTTCCTCGCCATTGTCGCCATCTTCTCCCTCTCCGTCAGCGAGGCTCCAGGGCCCTTTGCAAAGACGTTTATTGCGACGCTGCTCATGACGGGCTTGTGCCTTCCCATTACCCGCCAATTCCTGCTCCCATTGCTCCCTACTCTTACCTGGCTATTCCTCTTCTCGAGCTGCAAGTATGTATTTGCCCTCCAACACAACACTCGTGCGGCCCCTGCGTGCTGACTGCCATCTCTAGATACATCTCTGAAGACTACCGACCTGCCATCTGGGTCCGCGTCCTCCCCGCTCTCGAGAACATTCTCTACGGTTCAAACCTGAGCAACATCCTTTCTGCCCACAAGCACACCGTCCTCGATATCCTTGCCTGGCTGCCCTACGGTGTCGTCCACTACGTATCGCCCGTCATTGTTAGCGCATGCATGTTCATCTGGGGTCCTCCAGGAACCCTTCCTATCTGGGCTCGTGCTTTTGGATACATGAACATCACAGCCGTCCTCATCCAGATTGTTTTCCCATGCTCTCCTCCATGGTACGAAAACACGTACGGATTGGCTCCCGCAAACTACAGCATTCACGGCGACGCTGCAGGTCTCAAGGCTATTGACAAGCTTACCGGCATCGACATCTACACCTCCGCCTTCCTTGGCTCCCCAATGGTCTTCGGTGCCTTCCCCTCTCTGCACTCTGGATGGGCTACCTTGGAGACTCTGTTCATGGGACACGTCTTCCCCAGGCTGTTCCCAGTCTATGTCTTCTACACCATGTGGCTGTGGTGGTCGACCATGTACTTTTCCCACCACTACGCCGTTGACCTGGTTGCCGGCAGTCTCCGTAAGTTGCCAGTTCTTCATTTTCCTCTCCGTCCTTGCTAACAATAGCTCCAGTCGCTGGTGTCTGCTACTTCTTCGGCCGCGCCAACTTCCTACCCCGCCCTCAGGCCGACAAGGAGTTCCGCTGGGACTACGACTTTGTCGAGATTGGCGACCCAATGGACCGTGCTGGTTACAGCATGCTCGACATCTACGAGGAGTTCCCACCCAACTCCGATTCGGATGATTGGGCTACCGGTTCCTCGTCATCCTACTCCACTGGCGGTCGCAGCCCAATTGGCGCTCGTTCGCCTACTGATGACAACCAGAGCCTCTGGGATGGAGACACTGTCGGATCCGATACCGAGCACACTCTCCGCAAAGATTAGAGCCACACTCATCTACACCTTCCGCCTCATAACCTTACACCCATCTCTAAACTCACACATCACCTCATAATCTCCACAGGTGACGGCCTTTACGACCTATGCATTGGACCGGAGTTTTTTATTTTTTGTTTTGCGAAGCATTTCAGCGTTCCATGGATAAACATGGGCATTATGGCATAGAAATCACGGGCGTCCTCTACAGTGTAGAACGACGGCATGCATCCCTGTTCAGAGCCACTCGACACTTTTTTTTTCGCAGTGGATTTCTTCTAGCGCCAGAGAGCGTGGTTTGATTGTACTCCCACCTTTTTTTTTCTTTTGATACCCAAGTCAATCGCTTCCTATTGGCAGCTTTTTCTATACAAGAAAAGTTCCATTTTTATACACGTTCGCTTCAGCGCTCAGCCGCTTACCCTCTTGGTATGCATGGCATATCTGTCCATGGGCAGGTCTTTCTTCTTCTCTTTCTGACGATGATGTTGGGATAAGGGTCAAGGGGGGGGTGGGGAACGGCTGGGATGCATTGGTTGAATCAACGCATGGATTCCGACACGTACCGGAGCAAGCACAGGGCCCTGGTGGATGAATTTACACGGGCCTTGTCTCTTCCTTTTCTTCTTCTACCTCTTCTTTTTTTTCTTACCCCGTCTGCAATTGCACAGACGGGGTTCGTACCATCACACAACCCTAACGTAATGCTTAATGGAAATCAGTCATGGTTGAATGAAATCAAACAATGACAAACATGACGCCAACACTTTGGTACCAAAATCTCTATTTCTTGTGTTTTGTCTGGCACGCCAATGCTTACATGTGAAACAGATCGGCATGACCTTGAGCTGTTCGCGGACAAGTGCTTAGCTTACGTTGTTAATCCTGGGGCTGGACCCTCAACAACATGCTGGGTACTTGTGTACATGTGTGTGTGTGTGTGGCATGCGTCTCCACCCATTGGCTTACTCAGGTGAGGTGGGCTGGGGCTGGGGCTGATTAATTTTGCATCTAAACCAAGCAAAGTCGTAGTATAGTTAGTCACCGCCCGAAGAGAAAGAAAAAAAAAATTAGAGAAACAACCAAGATATGACAACGACATGATGATGCTGTCTAGTATCTATGTAAATACTATCCGTATCTTTTCCATCCCCTTAGCTTTCATCTTGTGATTCGTCTGAAAACTGGGTATTTTGGCTAGTCTTCTATGTTGTAGTTGTAATAGGTAGGCTTCGAAGTAGAAAGAAGAAGAAGAAGAAGAAGAAGAAGAAGAAAGTGGTCTACAGCACTACTAACTACTAACTACACATGTCCAGTTTAAGATAAGATGAAGGGGAGGGGAGGAGAAGTCTTGTTGCTTCGATTCAGGTTAAAAGGCGAGTTAAACACCTAGCTTATTTTTTCTCGCCTGAGTGTGGGGTGAGAGTTGACAAGGGCGTCTTGCTTTCTAATACTCACCTCTCTTACTTGTATGAGAAAGCAACCTTGCTTCCCCCCCCCCTCTCTCTCTCTTTGTAAGCTCGTTAGACTAAATAAAAATAAAAGGAGCAGTGCATTTGCCAAGACATTTTTTTTTCCACACGGAACCCACCGGAAGACTTACTTGTGTAGAATTGCGTGCTTTACTAGTGTAAATGGGCTGATGATAGCAAGCTTCTGCTATGAGATGGTCACACGACTACTTTTAAGCTTATCTCAAAGTACATAGTATCATTTCCCCACCTGGCGCATGCATGCATGCATACACTTGGTCATACACAGATAAGAACCATGTTTGCTAGTCGCCCATGCATACTCACTCACTTCCCAAGAGACACTTCTTTTTTTATCCCTTGGCCCCCTGCTAATCCAAATACACGCACAACGCACACCAACCCAGTCTAGAACAAATCAAGAAGATCCTGGTTACTCTTCTTGCCTTGTTCACCACCTGATATTTGCTGAGCTGGCGGCGGCGGCTGATTCGTCTCCATGCTCATGCTTGCAAATCCGTTCATAATGTCGTTGTTGCTCATTTGACCTGCAGGAGCAGCAGGTGCACCTCCTCCATCGCCGAACAATCCTAGCAGGTCGTCCATGTTTGATTGTGCTGGAGGCGCATTCGCCACGGGTGAGGATACGCGTTGGGGCGTACCGGCGAGGCCTTCCAATCCAGATGCCCCATGTGTAGGCTGTTTTTGCAACGAAGCAGGTGCAGAACCATCGAAATCAATGTCCAGGAGGTTTTCCACGTTAGTGGGCGCTTGTCCACTGGCGGCGGCGGCGGCTGCAGCTGCGGCAATGGGATTCTCTCGTGCTTCTTCCTGTTGCTCCTCGATTGCTGCTCGTTGCATCGCCTCCGCACCAAACCTGCCCTGTCCGAGGAAGGCCTCCGGTGGCTTGTGGTAAACTGATGCCAAAGTCGACAGCTCTGTAAGCAGGTTCTCTAGCAATTGAGGAGGCAGTGACCGTATTGTAGATGTGATCGGAGGCTTGTCTGAGAGGACGATTTCCTGATCAAGTCAGCAGTTGTCCAAACCCCACATTTTCAAAGACAACATACCTTTGTTATCTGTGGGTCGCTGGAAAGCAGTCGCCAATAGACATAGGCTCTGTCCCGGATATCTGGATTGTCATTGTCTGCTGTAGCGGCTTGTAGGACCTTTGTGACCAAGCCCTGTGCTTGATCTGGTTTCTTCAGGAACAGCTTGACGACAGCTGTGAGGATCTGAAGTTGTGTCTAAACTCTGTTAGCTTTGCCCGCGCAGACATATCGTAAGAACTTACCTGAGTGAACTCTTCAGCAAATGTGTCGACGAAATTTGATAGGATCTCGCCAGCGTTGTTGATCTTCTCTGCATACTCTCCAACAATCCAGATGAGGGAAGCCCGTGCATTCGGCTCATCCAGCTCGTCTATGCACTGGCAGAGTGTCGGTATTATACCCTCGTATCCAGGGTACTTTCGGAAAATGTCCTTGATCACTACAATCGCCTCCTGAACGACATAGTTGACCTTGGTGTTGATAAGGTCAAGCAGTGTGTTGACGCACTTCTCGCTCGCGCTTTCGATCTTGATGGCGACCTGTCCAATGGCCTTGACGGCTCGTCGCACAAAGTCCATGTCCACCTCCATAGCGTACTCCTTCAGCTCAGCCAGTAGTTGATCCACGTTCTTATCGTTTGCTATCCGCACCATGATTTCAAGCTTTTGCATCTTCAAGTATGGCGGGTCGTTGTATTTGCAGAAGAAAACACGCATTTCCTTGCTGAGAATGTCGGGCTGCTTCTGCAGGAGGAGGTCAATGTTCCGTAGCGCAACGTACTGTACTTCTGGCGCAGACGACACGAGTGTAACTATAGTATATCAGCAGCAGTCGCATGATTTCCTAATTTCAGTACGCACCTAGCGGCGGTGCCATCTTCTTCTGGTACGACTTCATCATCTCAGGCGAGATGTGCTTCATGTGCAAGAAGACGACCTTGACAGCTGCCAGTACCACACTGGGATTTACGTGCTGGAACTGCGGGACAACCCTTTCGCAAATGTGCTCCGCCTCCTTGACATCTGCCGCCTTGTAGTCTGCCAGAGTAGTGAGCAAAGTCACACGACCCCACTCTGTGCACTCGTTCAAGGCCAGAAGCATCTTCTTGAGTTGTGACGAGGTGATGACGAGAGCCTTGGTTTCCGGGGCGGTCTCCTGAATCTCCACCAAGGCTGTGACCGAGTTTGCAACTACCATAGGGTTTGGGTCTCCAACTAGTTCCTGGAGCTGCTCGAGGAAGCCATTCTCAATACACATGGCAGGAGCAAGGTCAAACAGCTTAGCTACACACAGCGCTGCCGTCTTTCGTACATATGGTGATTCGTCTCTCAGTGTTTTCCGCAAGGGTTCTTCCATGTAGTCCGTCATCTTATCAACGCGAATACATCCCATTGTCCGTATCGCCAGCGCTCGTATGAGGGGGTTTGGATCTTCCGAGTCTTGAACAAACGTATTCACGGCGAGAATGCAAAGGTCAGGGTGTGATTTGGCATAGTTCCTGAGACGTATAATTAGTATCCTGATGGTGTCCCAGCGCCGGATGCACGCACATGAGGTATAGATATACCAGCTTCTTCTGGTCCAAGTCGGCGGTTGCGATATTCTTCAGTACATCAGGAAACAGCGCAGACACATCCTTGCCGAGGGTCATTGACATGATGGTCTTTTGAATGGCCTCTTTTCTGCGACAGTCTTAGTGATTTGCTAGCCTTTGTATCCATCGCGGTACCAGGCGCTCACCGTTCGTAGGCATATTGGGAACTAGAGGCAATCGTCAGTTGTGAACAGCTGTACTTGTGCCTGGGGTAAAAGCGTACACCAGACCTGCCCGCAACTCGAATGTCTCTCCCTTGCGCGGCGGCGCAAATGCGCCCCTTATCCTGTTGACAGCCATGTTTGTTATAAGAAACGCAGCAGCCGATTGCTCAGCCTATAAACCAAACCCCTCCGATTGCGGCTCGTTCAGATGTGAATGTTCGTAGACGATCGATTCGAGGCGGGTGTCGCAATTCGGATTCCCCGGTCGTTCTGGACACGGCAGTCGGGAAATTGTCGTCTTTGAAAGTCGAGTGGCGTCGCAGGGGAGTGAATGGCTAAAGGGACAATGTTGGTGGAGCTTCGCGACTGCCACCTTGATGATAAGGCCCGTGCGTTGGGATGGCATCTAGCCCAACGCTTCGACGCTTTCGCCGCCGCCGTCACTCCGCTATCACGAGAGGATCATCATGGTGAGTTGACAAGGGGAATAATTACTCTAGGTCATGGTTCTGATGCAGAGTGATAGCCTTCGAATCTGCCAAATCTACGTCGACTCTTTGTCGACGCGCGTAGCGAAGCCGAAGAGAGCGCGTACTCCAGAAAGGCTGTATGTTCTGGCTTAGGCAACGCGATAGGCACCAACTGTTGAGCTGATTGATACTACAGTTCTACAACATCGCCATTTTCATTTCTTCCGTTGCTGTGTTTAGTCTGATGGCTCAGCGTATGACTTCTGCAAAGGCCATTGCTTCGTAAAAAAAGAATGCGCTGTGTGAATGGCTGTTTACCAAAGTGCACATGATTCTATCTGCCATGGAGTGATGGCGGTCGGTCCTTTGGAGTACAAGAACTTGAATTAATCAATTCCTTAAACTCCAATTCTATAATAGATGCGTGTGGGCTGACGTGATTTATTCCATTTCTCAATACATAGGATGCATGCTAGAACACACATGGGCAGCTATATGTCATGTTGTCCAATAGTCAATGAGCAAAAACCAACAGTTTGTGAGAAATGTGTTTAGAAAGTGACCTATTAGAAGGCGCAAAACCATACCAAAACGAGGAAAAAAGTCCTCTTCCACATTGCAAAATCCCAATCCTTCATTCCTATAAACCATGGGAACAGTATAAAATCATCAAGTCTGTACCTAGTCGAATCTTCGATCTACCCCCCTAACCCCCTCGGCTATGTTGTGCATTCCCGCCAAACTCAGCGCCTAACTACACCCAACCCAGTTTCACCCCGAGACACCCTGCCACCCACTCTCCTCACACACTCTCTCTGATTCCAACCCCCCAACCCAGAAATGACGCAATATGAGGTCCTGCATCGGAACCCTCTCAGCCCGAACGATGCCATAGCCTCCCCGGGTAAAGTGCGAGTTTTGCGACACATACGCTGCAACACCTTCGTGCCTGATCAGCACCCAGGTTGCGTTGGCTGGCGCGACGCATACTACGTTTCGGGCCAGTTTTTGAATTGTTGCCGAAGAATTTATGCGCCGAGAGAAACCCAAGTAACGGAGCCCCTCTAACAATAGTAAGAGTCAAGTCGGGCTAATTGTGTATGTGTGTCAATTCTGTCAGAACTCGTCTCTGACAGAATTGACACACTGTTAAGTTTCTCACGTAAAGGTGTGAAAAGTGCAAAGGGAAAAGATGAAGGAAGAGAGGAAAAATGTGATAATTCTACATTTCATCAATTGCATACGGCAGTGGGGATATTGGGGGATAGAAAAGCTACGTAGGGCGCAAAGCGACAAGATAAAAAAAAAGAATAAAACAAAGAAAAGATTTCTCTCTCGCCCGCTCGCGCAACCTTTAGAACCAGTCCTATGAAGCGCCTTTGCTTCAATCTCCGCAGAGTATTGACATCTTTCTCTCTTTCCTCTCCTTTGGCCCTCCTTTGCTCTTTAACCCCCCTCAACCATCATCCCATACGTGTATGTGTGTTGTTACTGTGTGATTGCTTATAACTTAACCAATTGATAAAAGATTTGGTTCCCGTTGTGTGTGTTTTCAAGAATAAAAAGCCATCCATTATAACGGCGTAAAACCGCCCTTAAAACCCCAAACCTCACTGTGTTGTTGCCAACCCCCCTAATCATGCGTGACTTCTACACTCTTGTCAAATCCGTTCGGCGTGTAGTTGTGAATGGAGCCATTTATGCGATGTAGTGGCGGCGGGAGAAGCGTCCACGACCACGACCGCGGCCACGACGTCCACCGAAGCCACCTTGGCCTCCTTGACCACCTTGGCCCTGGCCGCCGTTCTGACCCTTGTTCTGACCATTGTTCTGGCCGTTGTTGTTACCGCCGTTGTTCTGACCGTTGTTGTTACCGCCGTTGTTCTGACCGTTGTTGTTACCGCCGTTGTTGTTGCCGCCGCCGTTGCCACCAACAGTGAACCTTACACAGTCATCCTGTCCGCCACGCTGAGCAACGGGCATGATAACAGGCGCATGGTTGCTGGAGGAAGTAAGAGTGCAGGCACGGTAGACGCCAGCAGGAAGACCGTCAGCAAGGGCGGCAGTAAGTTGACCCTGGCCGTTGGCAGCGGTGTTGATACCCTTAAAGAAAGCAAATGTCTGTGGATCAGGAGGGTTCTCGGTGTTGATGTCGCCATTCAGGTCCTGGACAGTGATATGAGTGTGGCCAACAATTTTTCCGCCCTTCAGAGCCTGGGGAGCAGCGTAGTAAGTGGTGTCGGGGTTCGTAAACGAGCCAGCTTCCAGGTTGGTGGACTTGACGGCGAATGTGATTGCCTGGTTAGGTTGAACAGTGTCACCATTCTTGGGGTTGACAAAGACAGTCGAGATCATGTTATTGACAGAAGGGATATCTCCGTAGACTGCGGTAATGGTTAGAAGATGATGCAGAAACGAGGAATAGAGCACACTAACCAATGCCGTTGCAAGAACCTTCTTTGACCTGAAGACCGTTGGTCTTAGTCTTGCCTTGACAGAAGTTGATGAAGTTGGCATTATCGCTGGTGATGTCAGTACTATAGTCACAGAGAATTGTGGATATGAAAACTTACGTGACGGAAGCAGCCTGTCCCGCTTCCTCTGTGCCTGCAAGTCCATTGGTTTTACTAGCATCCTGAACATTGTCCGGGTTAAGGCAAAGTTGGTTGTTGTTGTTGTTGTTGTTGTTGTTGTTGTTACCGCCATTGTTGTTGCCACCGTTGTTGTTGTTGCCACCGTTGTTGTTGTTGCCGCCATTGTTGTTGCCACCGTTGTTCTGGCGGCCGTTGTTGCGTTGGGCATTGGCGACACCTGCCGCGAGGAGGAGGGGAATGAGAGTTGAAAACCGCATGTTGAAGTCTTGAAGTGAGATCTGGAGCGAGAAAAAGAAAGTTATAAGGAGTGGAGATCCGGCTAGCGGTGGATTACAATAGAGAGAAGAGAAGAGAGGGCAGATACGTTCAACGTAATCTGGTAGAAAATAATTAAGAGGAAGAGAAAGGAATGTAACCCTCGACTGCAGAACCGGATTGTGAGTAAACAAGCGACTGATGATGGCAAGAAGTCAAATACTTGTCGAGGAGAGGGTCTCTTAAGTCCTTGGCGATGTCCAAAGGACAAGGGCAGCAAAAACAACCTGGCAAGGCGGCTCCTCGTTCCTTGGGCATGAAACCCGCGATGAAGGCAGACATGTCTCACACCCACATTTTCCGGCAAACATGGGCTCACGCACGGAGCGCGGGCATCAAGTCGCGCTGCGCTACTGACTGAGGCTGTTGTGGCAGCCACGCCGATACAGGAATGCACCAGGCATTGAGGAGGAGACGCGAGAAACGGATGGTGTTAGAGGTTGCTCATGTAAAGCACAGAGTGCCGCGAAAGTCGTTCACACTAGCCGCATCGGGCTACGGCCATGCCCAAATGGGCTTGACGCCGCATGGCGCCAGGCACTTTTGTCGATCCTCCTCGTTTTCGAGCATATTGTAGTATACCCCATATAATGCTTTACTGTGTATTCAACGGTAACCGAGTGCGCCGCAGGAACGTGTAATAGATCCCTATAGCTTTTGCCAGCGTCGTAACTAGCCTTGCGGAAATTAATTGTCGCCCCTGCGCCACGAATATGTGACCCATGCCTCCTCCTCGAGCCTCACTGCTACACTGTGATATGTGATTCGTGCGTTATTGACAAGGCTAGTTGGCATTGTCGTCATCTGTCAACAACGGCGCCACAGGTGACAGGCGGAAGGCCCCAAGGCCGAAAACAGGCACTCCACAGCGCTCAAGTGTGGTCTGAGTCGCACTTTGCACACATGCACACACTAGTACTCGACAACGGCGGCGACCAAGAGCCCATGTGCAATATCTCGGCCCTGTTATCAGCAGGTATCATCCAAGGCGCTAACCATCCTGCTCTTGCATCGCCCACCAACAATTTGCAGGCTCTGCAGCGGATGCAACCCTCGCCGCACCCGTATCAGCGTAATTCTTGTTTCTTGGAATCTCCGTGCTGACGTATATACGCAACCTTGGGTTTACTTTTCTGAGGCTTGACCCAAGGCTTTTCCAAGAGAACAGTTACCCGTTGCTCCCGCATTGGCAAAACGTGCCCTCTCCGGAAACGAAAAGCTGACACGCGTTGCGTTGAACCAGCGCTATGCGTTTGGTGTGTACCTTGGGGAAGATTACTGAATCAACGTTAATTACCCCATGCGGATCGGCTTCAATGGGTCCCTCGGCAGGCCTGAGGCAAGGTAGGTTTTCAGGCACGATAGATCTACATCTGTAACCGACTTGCACAAAAACAACTCAAGTTGGACTACTCTGAAGCAGGCTGGTGACGTACGTTGGTTGGTTGATTTGGGGGGGAAGGTGGAGGGCTGGTGCGATCCCTTGCTTAATAATTTCGACTGCGCTTGTTGACTTAGACTCTAGCCACGCGTTATTCTTCGGAACTGCAAATATCCATGCCTTAGAATTGTTGGACGCTTTACCATGATCTAGAAGACGCTATCTTTGCGATTTCAGACAACTACTTGCCCCTTCATAACCTGAACCGCGCCACCTTCGAGACGGACCTCCGAAATAGACCCGTTTTCATTCATGTCAACATCGATGAGAATTTGGCTACGCCTTCCCATCTCCACGCCTTGAACAATCTCGTACTGAAATGTCTTGTTGACTCCACCTTCTGTCAGTGAGAGATAGGCTGCCAGATCACTGGCGGCACTTCCAGTAGCTGGATCTTCCAACGGGCCCTCGATCATCCGCGTCCTCAGTGTCGTCACTCCTTCGTCCTTGTTTGTCACTCGAACAAAGAAATACATGCCAACGAAGGTTATGTTCCAACCTTCATCCAGGCCGTTGACCGCAAGGGATTGGCCAGCCAATGACACCATGGCCAAGGCCTCGACGCTCTCCAGCTCGACCAGAACAAACGTCATGCCTTTGACAATGGAGACTATGGGAAAGTCAATCTTTACTTTGATCTTGTCCTGGCTATGAGCCTCTGCCAACTGAGGCTGTACTTTGAAGAGCATTTCGTTGGTATATCTCTTTTCATGAATGTGTCTGTCCTGGTCAGCCTTCATGTATAGCGCACTCGAGTTTGCATCTGTCAACTAAAAAGACAGACAGAGCACAACATTGAACGAAGACTTAAGACAGCGCCGCCACCACTTGAATCGAATGAAATCCACCAAAACGCCAGATCCGCAAATACAGACCTGACAACAAACGTAAATAGGGGGGATCAACAACGTACACATCGTGGGGTATCGAAGCCTTGGCCGTCTTCTTGGCCACGTCATATTGTAGCCGTACCGGCCCAGCTTTCAAGTTGAAGGCTGCCTCGACGACGCCATGATCAAGTCCCTGAGCCTGAGCAGTTCGTCCTAGGACATAACACGCCGTACCCACTGTGGGGTGCCCTGCGAACGGTAGCTCCCGCGATGTCATGAAGATGTCCACGGTCCATATTAGATTGGCTTCACCCTCCGCATTCTCATGCAGGAAGGTTGTCTCGGAAAGGTTAAATTCTCGTGCAATGGCCTGTTTCTGTTCCTGAGTTAGTGTGCGGCCGCTAGGTATGCGCACAATGGCTAGCGGGTTGCCTTGGTATGGCTCGGAGGTGAAGACGTCTACGGTGACGAAGTCGAGCTCAGCGCTCGTTGCCATTGTGCAAGGAGGTGGCGAGGCAGGCACTGTGTGGTAGATGTGATGGAAGCAATCCGGTGTGTCCTGGAAAACATTGGTGATATGCACCTGCCTTGGTTGGGGTGACTCATCAGGAATACGCGTAGGGCGCGCTGCCGACTTGTGCTGACCCTCCCCCTCCCCCTTCTTCCCGCTAGTCGCCCACAGAATGCAGTCGATCACTCTGCGCCTTGTGTGGTAGGGCTTTTCAATGTATCTCCGGCACTCTACATTTGTTACCACTGGCAGGTGTCATGACGTATACTAGCTGGTATCGATAACGACCCAGCGACGATGACTGGTCCGATCAGTAATGGGCGGAGAGTAGGGTCTAGAAGGCACGAGGAATAGCTAACAGGCACAGGTTCCATCCATAGGATTTGAGATGATTGTCCATCTGGACCTTCGCCCAAGTCGATCGGATTCTTTGCTTTTTCCCTGGATTGCGAGGGTCTGCTCAGCTACACTTGACCTACTGCGTATGCACTAAGATGCGCTAGAAGCTATTAGCTGGTCTTGACGTGCAGCGTACCTGATATCGGGAGGTCGGCCGACGCACAAGATTGCCTGTTTGGTAGCACGACTTGGGGGTCTAAGCCACGTTCTTAGCTACACACATACTTTGGACGCACATGGGAAGTTGGAGGTGTTGGAGACTAGACCAGACTGGCCTCCCCCTGAAGTTCGGTACTACAAATGACTATTGTGATGTGTGACGACAAGAGAACGATTAAGTTCCTGGTACCTTTTTCCATGTCGGACGAAACTCCGCCAATACATGATAGAGCGCAGTACCCCGCGGAGGCCCCGTCAAATTGCGGAGAAGAGAGGTAGCCAAGGGAGAGTAGTGATTATCGCCTAGCAATAGCCAAGGCAAAGGGAGAGTAGTGGCTATAGAAAAAACCCATAGCAATGGTAACATGGTGTTTACTTGAGGGGGACCCGGTGATTAGTGCTTTGGTGTGACGCGCAACAAGTTGAGACTTGACGAAACCGAGAGCGATGTTTGTCGCGTAGCGACGAGACGATGAGTCTCACGCGCGGGCCAGCTCTGTGTGGTTTGCTATGAACAAAGGTTGAGTGCACAATGGATACTCGTTGGGGTGTTTGCAGCAGCAGTTGTGTTGATATCAAGGGAGAGGGGGGTTAATAGAAGCTCTGACGAATCAGACCCATGGACGTTTGGCGGGGAGATGGTGGAAAAGCCGGGAAAGCGCGGAATGCTGGGCCACCCCCCGCTAGATTGATCGCCACGGAGATTATTGCAAGGGCCCAATAAGTATGGACTCGAATATGCATGTTTGGCTTGATGCGTCTGCGTCGGTGTACGCCGGCTTGTGCTGTTCACCAAGGCCGATGTCCGTAACATGAAACTGTCATCTACGGCTTACCTCGAGTAAGTACAAATGGGATCTGCACCAGGAGTATGATTCGTTCAGACTACGATGGGCATGCTTGGATACGGAGTATGCCACTCGCCAAGGGATGACAGGTTCTGGACGGATTAGGTGAGGCGGTCCTGGCTGAGGCAAGAATGGGGCTAGGCTTGGGCTCCGCCGGTAGCTCAAATGGGGATGCACTGCGAATATTAAGACTGTGAGGACTATTATTTTGCATTGTGTTGCGCTCTGAACGGCCGAAACGCATCGTCAATGCGCTTGTTTGCAGCATGGGAGGCAAGGTTGGTGCCCAAGGATGTGCTTGCCAAAGCCTATCGGACTCGGTCCGACGGGGCAGCTAGCAACGTCGAACCGTGTCGTATTAGTATGTAGCGCGGATGCACGAAGAAATTGCATACAAGACGGGATGCGGGTATGCCCATCGTGGACATGACTGCATCTTGGGGGTGCTTTTTTGTCAGAGAAGCCGCGTGTGGTGGAGACTGGGAAAAGAAAGACAGAGAGGACTTGAGTTGCAAGGGCTGGCGTGGGATTGCAGACAGGGGGGTGTGGTGACGAGGGTGCAAGGGTGGGTGCAGGTCCACGGCTGCAAGGTACACAGTTACATGAGCAGATACTTGGTCGTAGACGAAAGGAGGGAGGAAGGGAGGAAGGGGGGCGCTGGATGGTATTAGAGCAGAGTAATAGGTGAAGGTCGTTTTGGGATGTGGTGCATGTCGAAGCAACTATTGGCGGGGCTAGGGTGCGAGGGCTGCGTTGCGTGCGTAAGTATGGAAGGACGAGGGTCCAGGACCAGTGACAGACAGGCTAGACCCGGCGAGCCAGTGCAAGGCAGTAAGTAAGTAGTACAGCGTTGACAAGTGGCGGGGGTAGGTAGTGGTGCTGCAGCCATGAGTGTTCAAGGGATCATCAGGAGCAGCAGTGTTTGCAGCAGCCGGCACAGGCTCAGGCTCAGGCTCAGGCACAGGCGCATGCTAGCGGTTTGGAAACAGGCACAGGCAATGCAATTTTGTGATTGGGCCGGCGCGGAAAATGGCGGGCGTTGAGTGGGCGAGAGGGTGCATGAGGAGGTGCATGTGTAGTCTGCAAGGTGCGGCATTGACACGGTCGCCGTTCAGCGTGGAGTTTGCAGCGAAGTGGGACCGATGGAGGCAACGAGGGACAGGCAAAACAGTAGTTTGAGTTTGCCCTCGACTCGACTCGCACGCCTTTGGGCTCTCGTCGCCCTGACTCGGCCACGGAGGCTCGATACAGCCGGAACGATGGACCCTGCTGTCGCTGCTTGGCCGCCAGCCCGCTCTCATTCATTCATTCCATCAGTCAGCCAATCCGGCAGCCCGCCAGCCAGAACGACCGGCTCCCTGTACCATGATGCTGTGGCTCCTGCGCAGCGCCGGCCGCCGGGAGAGATGAAGAGAGAGGCATGGATGACGTCGCAAGGGTCCGCCGTGGCCAAGCGAGGCTGAAAGGGCTGGCGGCTGAGGGCTGCGGGCTGCGGGCTGCGGGCTGCTGGCTGAGCAAGAGGGCTGCACCATGGTCTGGCTCACGATGACGGGGCGGCGAGCGTATTTCCCAAAGCGTAGTCTGCTGCACCGGGGCAGCGTCGGCGTGGAGCCGGGCAGCCTGGGAGCGATGCAGCGCCCTAGGCCCAGCTGGTCATGGTTCTCGGGGAAGCTGGAAGCCCCTGTCACTGACGCCACTCATGCAAGTGCGACCTGCGACTCTGCCCATCACGGGCCCCGCGCAGGGATGAGGCGCGCTGCTGCCACCGTCGACTAGAGCAAACGCAAAAACCCTTTCTGTATACCTATCCGCGCTCTGCCCGCGCCTCCCCTTCGACCACTACATACCCCAACCTCCTCCCTCTTCTCTCCTCCTCCACAACCACCTCCATCCGCGACCAACAACGGCTGCGTTTGCCCTTCCTTTGTTGACGGTAACACGACTAAACGCCGGCCCATCCCCACCACTCGACTACTCACCACCACCACCACCACCACCACCAACCACAACAACAATAATAACAACAACCACTGCCGCCGCCCATAACAACACAACCACAACCACAAGCCCTCTACCACCGCACACCCTACTTGCTTGCTCTGCTTGCTTTTCTCTCCGTCCCCCTCGGACCTTCCTCGCCTCGGACCTGGTTCCAGTTCCTTCCTTTTATCGGGCTCCGCTCCCCGTCGCCGCTTCTTTTCCCTCCCACCACACTGCGGCCCCCTCCCCCTCCCCCCCACCAAAAACCCCACGTCCACTCAGCTACCTCTTGCTCTTCACCACCACCGGCAACCAGCCACTGCAACTCCCGCGGCCTCGACTGCGCTGCCACACGCACTCTAGTGCTGCGGCGTCGCCAACCTGCCAAAAACAAAAGGCGTCCTCGGTTTCCGCTCGCATTGACACACTACAAAGTCCTCGCCATGTCACCCAGTCATTCACGCACCGCCTCGGACGAGTCCAACCATTCCTCCATGGCCTATGTTCTCGAGCACGTTTTGCAATACCCCGGCAGCTATGACATTCCCCTCAAGACCATGTACGAGCTGAATCGCGTGGACCGAGCTCACCCTCTCCCCAAGAACCCATCTAGGTCTGGCAGCACATCCCCCGTCAATGGCCAGTTTGCCTGGAACAGCGCTGAAGCTGCGACCATGAGCTTCACCTCATCCCTTATGAACCAACTCAAGGCCCTGCCTACACGAACCAGCGCCCTGCCCCCCGCCTTCATCGTCAACTTTGTCACCCGTACCTTCATGCCCGACCCTTCGGAAGTCGACTGGAGCCAGGCCTTGACCGCCCTCGATTACCTCAAAGACCTCGAGACCCGCCGCCGCCGCGAAATGGCGACTACTTTTGAAGCTCTCGACGTCCACAGGGACACGTGGGAAGCCGACATGGCCCGTGTTGCGGAGACGGCTCCGGGCATTGCTCTGTGGATCAACAACCTTGAGGGCAAGAACCAGAAAGCCGAGTCATATTATGCCCAAATCTGGCTCGGTCTTCGTCGATGGGTAAGCATTCTCCCTAGCTCGCTTGGCATTGCTTCATGTACTAACGCCAATTCGCAGATTATGATCAACCACCTTTCAGACGATGAGTTCAGCAAGCTCAATTGCATCAGCTACCTCAACACTCTGTTTCCTCCTGTCCATAGCCAGATGAAACTGCCTTCCCAATATCTGGACCATGAGGTTCTCAGGGAAGAGCGCCAAGTTTTCTTCGACATGATTAGTCAGGTACAGAGAAGGGGCCCAGACGTGCTGCTTCCATTGATCAACCGGGACAAGCGCCCCGAAGACGCTACTGGCTGGCCCTCTGTTCAGCGCATCGTCGACAAGTACCTTCGTGTAGCCCAAAACATGATCCAGGACTGCATATCAACACACGGCCCAGAGTCGTTTGACCGATACATGAATGGTCCCGGAAAAGAGAAGAAGCACGACTCCGGCGTGAGCTTTGGCTCTGAGCGCAGGCCGAGCGTAGGCTCGAGCGTGTATGAAAAGCCTGCGGCTGAGCCTGTTCCAAACTATGCAACCTCGATCAAAGGGCCCAGCAAGTTGGAGAGAATCACCCGCGAGTTCAAGCGCATGCGCGTCAAGCCTCGCCCTGAAGTCGAAGAGATTACCCGCATCAAGGAACGAAGCGCTGCCGACTACGTACCCCAAACTGGCGAGAATGCCGGTAAGAAATCACTCAAAAAGGCACGGTCGCTGGCAAGCCTCAGATTCGGCAACGGCAGCTCCGCCTCACTTTCGAGCCGAAAGGGTAGTGATGCCATGCCCTTTGACGCAGAAGAGATGAAGAAGCACCGCTTGATGTACGAGGCCTCAGTCAGTAAGAAGACCAATGGCCAAAACTAGGCGGTCCATGGACCGCCCACGACTCCATTACGAATTCACGACAAGATCGTCTGGTTACAGACCAAGGTCACATGTCAGGGTTCCAAGAAAGCTCATGTTGTACCTTTTCCGGACCGAAGCCTGTACGCTGTCTATCAGGTGCAAGGAGGAACCCTGTCTCCACTGAACAACTGGACGTGTACCGTTTCTTTTATTGATTACATATTGTTTAGTCACTTTTCTTCTACCTGTTTTTTCTTTCTTTCTCTTTCACAAGGCATGGGGGGAAATTTGCCGAGGTCCTGGCTGCGGCCACGACGGCCTTGCCTCTGGGTTTAGCGGGCGTTATCATGAGAAGCATCATCCTTTGCGGGTCAAAACATTTTCTTTCTCCTTTCGTGTTAGTACGCTAGGGCTTATGTGGTCTATGACGGATAAAGCATGGTGTTCAGGAACAGGGTGCATGGTAATGGCGCTGTAGCATATATTTGTTTTGGGGATGGCTATATTGCTTCTCGTGGGCTGTACAATACATTTACATCAACACAGGCGTAAACCTGATTCAATGGCGGGCATGCTTCAAAACATGGCAAGGGCGTAGTGTAACGCTGCTATCGAGTCGAGAGTGCTCGAGTAATGAAAAGATATCTACCAGAGTCAAAGACACCCACGCGCATACCGTTTTGTGTCTAGTCGTCATGGCGATCCTACGGGTGACTTCCTAATGCATGCAGCCTTGCAGTTTTAAGCCGAGCGAGCATGGGTTGGCGTCGGAACTGCATGGCTCTTTGGAGCACAAAGTTTGTTTTGCAGGATTCGCGTCAAAGCCGACTCAGGACCCTGGCAAATGGCGAGCTTGTTTTTTTTTCCTTTTCGTCACGCAGTCAATAGAACGGATGGAGGCCGTATGCATGTGCTGCTACAGACAAGCAAGTAACCCTCCGCTGACCCGCTACGCCTTGCCGTTTGCAGGCGGCCTCCCCATGGCCCAGGCCGTTGCAGCAATAGGTGCTATGGACTATTGTCTATCGCCCTCCTCCACACGCGTTTGACGACCCTTACGCGAGGCACAGCAACACCCGATATGACCGTTGACGACCCGAGTAATACCCCGGCTCCCTTGTCGTACGATGCCAGTGATGCTGGGAGTCGATCGCGCCTAGCTGTCCCGCCCGGACAAGGGGCGTATGCATCACAACCATCCGCCCCCGCCAGACGTGCCTTTTTCGACCCCTGGAACAGTTCCAGCACTGGTCATCAGCGTGCCGAAAATCGGCTGTCTGGCTCGACATCATGGCGCGCGTCGCGTAACCTCAAACTGGGGGAGCAATTCAAGGGTGGTCGGTACGGCGGCAAGAGGATCACAGACACGGTCGGCGCAGGCAGCGACGACTCCGCCAACGTCGGTCTCCACAGTCTCAGGACCGGTGGACAAAAAAGTCTTGCCGAAGTCTGGACCGCAGGCAAGTCGTGCACACAGCCGTCTAAATACAAGGGTAATATATACACTTTGTCTTGTTACCGATATACCATGTACCTAAGTCTAATATGCACCCAGAGCCAAAGACAGACTCAGAGCTTGAACCAGATACATACTCCGAGAGCAACATTTGTGAAGATAGTTCGGTGCCTCCGGACAAACAGTTGTTCGCGGGCCTCTGCTTCTATCTCAATGGCTCGACTGCCCCCCTTGTCTCAGATCACAAGTTGAAGCAAATACTCGCCACATACGGCGCCACACACTCCATCACCTTGAGCCGACGGACAGTCACACACGTGATTCTCGGCACAGTAAATGCAAGAGGAGGAGCAGGCGGCGGTCTTGCTGCAACCAAGCTTCAAAAAGAGATTGTTAAGACTGGCGGCGAGACGGTCAAATTCATCAATACCGACTGGTAGGATACGCAGCCCCTCCATATAGCCACAGCCTAATCGTGGTGCTCGCCACGTGCCGTGATATCTCGTGCTGACAGTATGCAGGGTACTCGACAGCATCAAAGCCAATCGACGTCTACCCGAATCACGGTATTCACCACTAAAGTTTGCGCCAAAGTCCCAGGGCACCATCCTCAGCACGATGCGCGCCAGGACCCCTCCAAAGTCAAAATAGTATGTAAATCTCAGAACAAGCCAGAGCCGTGCAATGAGATTCTCCCATTCTTTTTGAATACCGCATTTTCACAAAATCACATCACACGTCACGTAATGGTCATGTGTTTCAGGGTCCCCCCATCTAAGCACACACACAAAACTCTATCGCCCATAAACTTTCAACGTCACTTCAGCACGCGCAATCCGCTGGACCCTTTTGCGCCTTTCAAGCCACATACACACAGACAGAAAATGACCTTGCGTAAGGGAGGGGGGCGGGGAACTGGGCACAAACAACCGTTTGTTACAAGCCGTTCTAGCCGTTTGTTACATACCTGAAGTTGACGCTCTGTTTTCTCGCCTCCCCCCTCCCTCAGGGCAATAAAACCATCCCATTCCACGCATATGCATATCACGAACGTTTAAATTCTCCATAGGGGTCCCCCCTCCCTTGCCTCTCTCATCTGCAGTTTACCCGCTTGGAAACTTTGAACCAGCTCGCTTGAACCCTCGCCACACGGCATACCCGGCATACACACGGAGTGCCCGCAAACCGCCATGTTTTACATAGATACACTTTTGTGCTTTCGCCCAGCAAGCCTGTTTTTTTACTCGCGTACTAGGACCGAGACCCTGTGTTTATTACTTGTTTTCCCTTTTTTTGCGACCCAACCGGCCGGGCGGGGAAGGAGAGGCGGTTAAGATGCTAACTGAATAACCTTTCAACATTGCATTTTCTGCATACTTCCACGCATAACACGGATACTAGGCGCACGCGTGTGTGTGCAAGTAAGTGTTAAACACCCGCATCACATTCCTCACTTGGAAACTGATAATTGCCAACCCCTCTTTCTTCTCCCCTTCTCTCCCCCCTCCCCCACGCTAAAATGCCTTAGCTTTGGATGATCTCACGAGATGGGAAAAGTATTATACTACTTACGCACTTCCGCAATCTTAAATCATCTTGACAACTTATCCGAGAACTCCTACACACTAGATCATCCGTTCGCTTTCTCTCTTCCGCTCTGACACCTTTTTTTTTTCTCTCCTCGTATCCACCGCATCTAGTATGTTTGCCCTCGATACTGTGCCCCCTCCCTCCCTCCCCCCCATAGCGATGATCTCTGCCACGTGCTTTTATCTTCCGAGTCGAGGTATTTTTTTTTAAAAAAAACGGTATTTTTCCTTACTTTCTGTGTACTATTGATACGGGGATGTACTACATTTTTTTTCCTTTCGATGCGGAGTATGCCGTTCAACGTAACCAGGTTTTTTCTTCGCCCACGATAAACAGCAACCAAACAAAAGCACAACCTTTTCCGTTGTTACGTATGCCCCTTTTTGCTTTTTTTTTACAATGGGTTACCAAACAAGAGGTGTGTGTGTGTGTACCTGCCGTATCTTCTGGCGTCATTGTTTCCAGTCAGACACGCCTTTTCGTCCGGCGTTGGGCTTTCTTAGCTGGGCTGAACCAAGAACTGGTGATTAAATGGTCTGACCTACACTTAGTTCAACCTGTCTAGCTTCTTAGTCCCCCTTTTTTTTTTTTTAATTTTTTTGCGAGGCTTTAAATGCTCGGCTGGGGTTTCTTTAGTTTCTTCCTCAAAACTGACTTCGGGGCTGGCTAAAGAACGCTAAGCTAAGCTAGCTTTATCAGCGAACCCAAAGTTTAAATTCCCCAGCAAAGGGCAAGAAAACGCGAGGGATGGATGGCTGTCGCTCTCTGTCTCGGGCGAGTGAAGCGAGCTTTTCCTATCTTGGAGGGTGGTTTCGGCGACATAGCTCGCTGGTACCGTGGTTACAGTTAGAGATAACTTTCCTCCCCACACATTCCCCGGGATTCCTGCAACTGGTTGGGAGGTGTACTCCGCGGGGAGGAAAGTGTCAGGTGGTGGGCTAGAGATTTTTCTGGTTGGTTGATCTGATTTGGTTTGGGGATGCTTAGTGCTGCATGTTGCTGCCCGGGGAGCGCGTAGGGATGGGGCGATGTGTTGACTCGGGGATTGAACAAGTGTTGCAAATGTTTGGGGATTAAAGTGTGGCTCATTTCAGTTTGTCTGTTTGCTTTTGTTCCCGAGTTGTAGGTTTGGATCTCGGACGCTCCGGGGACATGATGTTTACATGTTTCGCCCTTCTCCGTTAGGTGTATCAAGTAGTAAGCGTTGCTTTGAATACAAACTAGTGACTACACTTGTTCGTTGCCTTTGTTACAAGTGAGTCCAGAACTGGAGCATGGTCGGAAATAACAGTCGTGATTTATCCCTCGCACAACATCCTCTGTAAGGAAGAAAAAGGAATACCCGCTAGAAAGTAGTGTTTTCACTAGCCCTTATCACGCTACTCCATGTAGTGATTACTTCATAGAGAAATAAAAGACATGTGTAGTTGGAGTCAAACGGCACATTTGTACGTGTTGATTACAGGATGTTAACCCAATTGAGTTCTTTTACTCGTCCTGCGTGCGGGCGAAGGTTAAATAACATGATACGTGGGATGAGTTCAATGTTCTGACAATGGATGATGTAAAGAAAGAGGAGTGGGGCATATAAAACATTTGTGCCTAGGGAACATAGACCGGATGGCCGAGTTGTCTTTCAAAAGTATTAATCTTGTGTGTATACCAGACCTGTAACTACCTTTGGTGCCGTTACACGGCAAATTAATATATATTGTTTATTTACTCAAAAGAACATATACCACGTATCACGGCAAACATTGCATCGTACAGGCCTAACTCGCCTACGAGCATTTCATGTGCATACACCTGATACAAACGCCATTGCCTATCGGTATCACAATTCCATAAACGCCCTTTTTCCTTGCCTCGAATATCGGCATGTGCTTACAGATCCCAGACCGACTCATTAACCAACAGTTCTCGGCTTGGCCTTGGCCTCTTTCTTGGCCTTTGCAGTCTCCTTTTGTTTCTTCTTCTTGAGCTCAAGTTTCTCGTCGGCTTTGCGCTTCAAGGTGGCCTTTTCCTCGGCAGTCTTCTCAATAGGCTTGAAGAAACCCTCCAGCCTACTCTGCTGCGCCGTCTTCATGTTCTTCTGCAGCTTGGCCGCTCCATTTCGCACTCTGTCCTCGTTGAAATGTTTCTCTTCTACCAAGAACTTGACCAGTCCCTCCACATCTGGTGCTTCCCACTTGAAGTCACATTCTGGAGCGTCGGCAGGGAGCACGTCGGGCTCGAGGAAGAGAAGTCTCGCATCGGCAAACGGCCAGTCGTCGGGAATGGTGAGTTTCTTGGAAGATTGTGACTTGATGTGCTCGACTACACCCTCGAGATCTTTGTGCTCACGGATGAGCTTGAGAGCAGTGCTGGGACCGATGCCCTTGATAGGGTCGAGGTAATCGCAGCCGAGGAGGATACACAGGTCGATAAACTGGAAGCTGTGAGTATAAAACCATCTGATATGATGTAACCTGTCGTACCTGCTTCTGGTCCATCGCCAGGCCCTCAAGCACCTTGTCTAGATGGATTTCTAGAATGGGCTCCTTGCGCTGCTCACTGAAGGTCAAGTGTCGTAGCAGAATTGGCGATGCGAAAGTCAATGTGTCCATATCCTCTGATGCAGCGGCATACACCTTTCCTCCTTTGGCCAGCGCAGCACATTGAGCCTCGGCCTCGGTTGGCGCAATAATGTACGGGATGCCCATGAGCTTGAGCAACCGTTGACACTCCGCGTTGTGTTCTTTTGTCACCCTCACTGTTCGTCGCGAAAATTTCTCGACATCTTCAGCCGTGCCCGTCTCCTTTGCTTCTTCTGCTGCAGCCTGTGCTTCAGTCTTGCGCTGGAATCGCTTTGCAAGCTCGCCGGATTTGAGCTTGGGTGGAGCACCGTCAAAGACGTAAAGAGGCTTGATACCGTTGTCGACCATGCGCATTGTGCGGTAGAACAGACCCATGAGATGTGATGTGGTCTCGCCCGTTTCGTTCATGAGTTGCTGGCCATCGGAGCGGACTGCGATAAGAAAACTGTAGATGCTCATAGATCTACACAGTGTCAGGTTTCGTAACTCATGGTATGCTTGCATCGACGTACGCATCCTAGCCAAGTTAGTGACTGATATGATACAAAATGGTAATCTTGGACGTACTATGGCGACCTTGCGACCAAACTGGTTCTTGATCTCGCCTTTCTTGACTGCCTCTGGTGTATGCTCATCGATGAGCTGGTAGAGGTGCTTAATACCCATTGCGGTCGAGTGTAGTGTGTATTTTGGCGGGTCTGGTTTTTGTTGTATTCAACCGGTGATGTTGAGTGTGCAAGCGTAGGCAATTGCGCGGAGGCTGGAAGGTGACGCAGACGATCGTCACGTCGCGTCCGCGTCCTAAGCATGGCGCGCAATCACGGTGAGCATTGCTTGGCGCGATTACCCCACATTCTGCTTGTAATCGCTTGTGGAGGCCTCGCAAACTGCATGTGGCACATGGGTGTTCTGCACAACGTTTGAAACATTAGCAGCAACCTGGACAATCAGATACCCACATGCTTGACGGGATGATGCGTGGTCTCTTGCCACTGTGGAGTTGGTTCCGAACCGTGGCTACTTCTGGAGTTTCCGAGGCGGATCTAAGCCGATGACGGATAACTTCTCTCCGGGTAGCTTCTCCCCCCCGGATATAACAATTCCTTTTTCTTTCTAGGTCCTTACCCGGCTGTTATACAACATCCCAAGATGCTCCGCCCAGTATATAGACATGCCTCCAGGCAATTGCGTACCCCGGCCCCGATCGCGGCTATCAGGAAGCGAAATCTACATGCTCCCGTGACCTTTGACTGGCAGGATCCACTCAAGGCAAACGACCTATTGACCGAAGAAGAGCAAGCTATTTCCGAGACTGCAGAGTCATATTGTCAAGAGCGCATGCTCCCAAGGGTGCTAGGTACATGAGATGCTCAACTCACCCCTACACTTGGCTAACATACTCTTCAGAGGCATACCGTAATGAGGACTTTGACAGGAAAATCATTCAAGAGATGGGCGAGCTGGGCCTGCTTGGTGCAACCATCAAAGGCTATGAGTGTGCTGGTGTCAGCAGCGTAGCCGGTGGTTTGATCACCAGAGCAGTCGAGAGGGTTGACTCGGGATACCGTTCGGGTTACTCTGTCCAGAGCTCGCTTGCTATGGGTGGCATTGAAGAGTTTGGGTCTGAAGAACTCAAACAACGTCTTCTACCAAAGATGGCAAAGGGCCAATTGCTGGGTTGCTTTGGTCTTACTGAGCCTAATCACGGGTCAGACCCTGGGTCCATGGAGACGATTGCAAAGGAGCACCCGTCAAAGAAGGGCTACTACTCGCTATCTGGTTCAAAGACGTGGATTACAAACTCGCCCATTGCCGATGTCCTGCTCGTGTGGGCAAAACTAGAAAGCACAGGCAAGATCCGGGGGTTTGTCATTGAGCGTGACCAGTGTCCACCAGGTACTCTCGAGACCCCGCCAATCAAGAACAAGAACGGACTGCGGGCATCCATCACTGGCATGATCCAACTTGATGAATGCCCAGTTCCCGAGGCAAACATGTTTCCAGAGGTGGAGGGGCTGAGAGGGCCTTTTAGCTGCCTAAACTCGGCAAGATATGGTATCGCGTGGGGTACTATGGGTGCCTTGGAAGACTGCATCGCTAGAGCACGCACATATGCACTAGAGAGGAAGCAGTTCAAGAACAACCCAATTGCCAAGTACCAGCTTGTACAGAAGAAGCTAGCTGATGCTACGACCGATGCTGCGTACGGAATTCTCGCGGCTCATCAGGTTGGACGACTCAAGGATGAGGGCAAGGCTGCACCCGAGATGATTTCCATGATCAAGAGACAGAACTGCGATCGTGCCTTGGTCAACGCTCGGACGTAAGTTACAACAAGCATGTGTGTGCACAGCACAAGTTGACCATGACTAGGCTACAGGAGATTTTTGGCGGAAACGCAGTCTCAGACGAATACGGCATCGGACGGCACGTTGCCAATCTGTTCGTGACGCAGACGTATGAAGGACAGAGCGATATCCACTGTGAGTGTCTGCGATGAAGCTGCTGGGATATTGGCTGACATTGCATAGCGTTGATCCTAGGTCGAGCAATTACCGGTCTGCAGGCGTTCTGTTGATTAGGACATCTGATTGTAAATCATTATGCCTGGCTTGCTTTGACGTTGCTGTACAACCAAAATATGTACTCAATGGTATCATCCAACTACATGTAGCTAGCGTATAGGGAATGGTGTTTGGTTGGAGATATGCAGTAGTAGTAGAGGCACGCCAAACCCTGAGGCGGCGGACGCTCGCCTCGAACGCAGCAAGTATCATATCCCGACTCGTCGTGGCCACAGCGCAAGTCGCCACTAAGACGACCGTTTGACGAGTGAGTGATGTTATTGGATCGTGGTGGGTGAGTGAAGAGGAAGAGCCGTGAATGTCAGCCGCGATGCATCTTCTGCAGCCTTCGATAGGTTGCCACCCAAAAGTGGCTTCTGCGCAGTCATGGCTCGGTGAATTTTGTGGGCAGTGACAGTTGGGCGGCTGGGCCTGTCTCGCCTCGTGCGGTTGGTCCCGACACATAATAAATGCGACCGCCCCTGCTCAGCCCAGTCATATTTCCTCCACACTCACCTTTGCGGTTTGTCTTTTACTTGTTTATGTGAAAAGGCACAGGTACGTCAAGTTGCGTGGCGGAGGCGCGCTGCGCCGCTGAGACGCCGCACTTGCTTTCTTTGGACCCCCCCCGCTAACTAACCACCTTGTCTGTGCAGACATCCCACTTCAACTCTTCAACACCACCGACTCTCTTTACCGCAACTACCGCGATACCGCTCGACCCACCCATACCACCCACACTGCCCACACACAGTAGCCATGGCTCTCAAGCGCATCAACAAGGAGCTCACAGATCTCGGTCGGTGCGTGGCATAGCCGCCCTTTCCCCCTTCCCGGCACGAGGCTCGCACTTGGGCTCGCATGACGGCCGCCGGATTGCAGAGCGCTGTAGCAAACACGACGCAGCCTGCGTAGCCTCACATCCTCGCAGTCTCACAGCCCGGTACAGATACTATTGAGACGTTTGGCTAACATGGCACCCGTAGTGACCCTCCCTCTTCCTGTTCAGCTGGTCCTATCGGAGATGATCTGGTACGTCACTCTTTGCACACAACACCTGTGCAAGGCGCCTCTGCCAATACGGCCGTGGGCAAGCAAACTGCGTTGGACACTGATATGCTGACTATCACTGCAGTTTCACTGGCAAGCAACCATTATGGGTCCTGTACGTCCGCCCCTGGATTCTGCCACTCCCTAAGACCTTTTTTAGCCCGGCACGCCATCCCCTAGTACATGCAGCAGCTAACAAACACAGGGTGACTCACCATATTCTGGAGGAGTCTTCTTTCTAGCGATCCATTTCCCGACCGACTACCCCTTCAAGCCCCCGAAGGTCAACTTCACCACCCGTATCTACCACCCCAACATCAACTCCAACGGCAGCATCTGTTTGGACATTCTGCGAGACCAGTGGAGCCCTGCTCTGACCATCTCAAAGGGTATGTTGTTGGAGGACGACGACGTTTTGGACGAGGCCATTGCTGATAGATTTGCCTAGTGCTGTTGAGTATCTGTTCGATGTTGACAGACCCGAACCCTGACGACCCGCTTGTTCCCGAGATTGCACATGTGTACAAGACTGACCGGTCTCGTTACGAATCGACGGCACGCGAGTGGACCAGGAAGTATGCCATCTAGAGAGAGAAGGGAAAGAAGAGTAGAGTAGGAAAGGGGAAGCAGGAAAGCATCTTTTTGTCAGGATCTGCTATGGGATACAACGAGTGTGAGGAAGGATGGTCGTCAAGAACACATGCCTTTTACAGCATGGTGATTGAGGGGAGTTTTCTGTTCTACAACATGCATGCTGGATGGGTTTCATAGTACTTGCTATCAAGACGCTTAGCAGAACAGGTGCATTTCTCTTTGTGTTACACATGATTGCTTATTTTTGATGTGACACGGGTAATGATGACAGTGCAGTATGGGTTTTATGGCAAAAAAAAAAGCGGTAGTATTGTTATATGGCAGGAATCTGTTGCTCTTTTTGGAAAGGTTTAGCAGACTCGACATTATGTATGCTGGCCTGTAGAGGGGCCGTGTGTTTGTAGTCGGACTCGATCTTTTTGTCTGCATCTCTGATTGCCTTTGCCTTTGCAGCAAGAGACTTTTGTTCCTCGAGCTGTAGGCGCCTGCCGTAATCCTGCAGCTTCTCGCGGGGCTTGTAGCTGAGCATGTAGAAAGGGCCGACAAGTGGGCCGAGCAGGGATGGTCGCGTGTTCTTTTTGATGTCATCGACCAGCTGGCTATGCAGGTGGGCAAACGTTGCTTGGACGTGCTTGATGGCTATGCCTTTCCGGCCGAGGTCGTTTGTCTCATCGGCCGGGTCGCGCAGGCAGAGCATGTATGCAGGCAGGGGTTTCATTGTTCCATTCTAGCGGGCACGCACATTGTCAGCAGGCCCGAACCCGGATGCCAGGATACAAAGTAGCGCGGAGGGGAGGGGGGCTTCGTCTTACATTGAGTTTTTCTTTGACTGGCTTGGTGACAACGGGGTGTTGCGTCTTGTCGAATAACTCTACGGGGTCAATCGAGATACCGTATTTCGTAGTGTCGAAGTCGCGGTAGAAACGGAGGAAATTGAGGAGCGCACCCGCTGCGTCTTGTCGTTCGTGGGGTGCATGCTTGATGCTGGCCACTAACATCATGAAGATGGAGTATGATCCGAAGCCACCCCGAAAGACATCTGATAAGCCGCGGATGCTAAAGATGGTCTTGACTACGTAGTACAGTTTGCGCAAGTAGGGAATCTCGTCCATGTAATGCTTCATCATGGCGGTTGACATTGACGTGTCGTTGGACAAGACAATCTGGACGTCCAGGCCTGAGTTGCAGTCTTGGGTGCTGATGAGGGGGTAGCGGGCGTGACGGAGAGTAGATAAAAAGTATGACTTGTGCGTTCTAAAGGTACGGTGAAACAGGTTAAGAAGAACTTTGAGTCTTCTGGCTTGCTCCTTCTTTGCTGGTGGTAGCCTGTCTATGGCAGGATCGGCGACCCAGGACGGTTGCATAAGACGCAAGTCAATATCCGAGGTAGCAAAAGCCACGCCATTGCGTTCCGAGCCGAAGACTTGGACATCGTAATTTGACGAGACCATTTTTACATGGTTGCGCACTTGCTGGATGACATGTTGTCTGGCTAGCCGCTCGTAGTCTTTCGGCACGGCGTATTTGTAGAATCTCTCGATTTCCTCGTTTAGCCTGGAGGGTCTTGTCAGCAGGACGATTTAGCATTACAGGTTGAGGCTGCACCAACAAGTCCATGGCTGATTTATCGTGCACAGTCCTATCCAGACACCACGGCAACGAACTCTCTTTGATAGGTATTGTGCTGACCATGGGTTTGACAACAACACCCTCGTATTCCTCTGACTGTGCAAATGCCTCTCTTGCCGTAGCCAACAGCTTCTCGGGCTGCGTGAGCGACTCTCGCTGGCGGAGTTGCTTTGCTGCTTTGTTCTTGGCAATTGATACTTGGACCTTGTCTGGCAGCCATTGTCCTTTGACTGTGCTCATCCTCCTTACGCGGGATGCCGGCCCTGCGCGGGGCTTTTCTATTGTTTGCTGCGCCTCGGCCTCGGCCTGCCGGGCGCCGTTGTCGAGGGCATGTTGCGCGGGTCCGGTCGCAGTCGAGGAAAAACGCTGCGGTAGGTGGGGACAGACAAAATGTTCCCACAGGGCAATCGAGGGGGTGAAGCGGTTATGGGCGCGGCATATCAGGCGTGCGCGCGAGTGCTGCATAGGGAGGGAGACGGGCAGCGGGGGCAGCGGGGGCAGCGGGCGACAGCAAGGGAAGGATGGCGGTGGCCGGTGTGCAGTGGGTGGGTGAATTGAAGGACGACATGCACAACTGCTGACGCTGCGAGGACGCTAGTCCTGTTTGGGCAGACAGGCACTCCCGCGGCATCGAGCGTGGCTGCTGGGGCTGCTGGGGCGGTTGTGCTGGGGGGCATGCTGGCCATTGCCGGCCCAACATTGGCTGCATCTGGCTGCGACATTTGTATCGCAAAGTCGCCAGAATAGCATCCACATGGTACTCCTACACCCACCCTAGCCCCAGCGTCGTCGACGCCGCTCCACCGGCTGCACATGTCAAGGCCCACCTGCGCATTGCCATATGAAAATGGCCTGACATCATGTTGACCGGCCCAGCAAACCTCTGCAGAGCGGTCAAGCTGGCGGCGCGCGTCTTGTAGCTCGACCACGATGGGAATGGGAATGCAGCAGCCCAGCAGCCACTGTGTGCCCTGGTCCCCCGGCTCCAACGTCACAGCCGTGGTTGGTGGGGCATGAACCATCCCACCGCCAGCCAGCTTTTCTTCCCCCATTGCCCTCGTCGGCCTTCTGTGAGCTTCTCAACACATCTGCCGCCTCTGTTGACTCCCTCTCCTCCTCCCAGACCCTCTGGTTTGCCCTCCTGTGACCTGCACAATCTGCCCCGCGCCAGTGTCATAGTCCTTGGTACGTCCCCACCACCGCGCGCCTCCCTCTCTCTGTCCGCTATCTCGACCATATCACCACCACAGAGATAGCCACCAGAGTGACGTCTCGTGCCCTGCAGCGTGCCTCGTGTCGTCTGTCTTGTCAACCGTCTTCTCCTGCCTGCCAATACCCCATACCACCTCAAATCACCCAGTCGCAACCCTTCTGCCCTTACCAGCCCTCGGAGCTTATCGATATCTAACCCTTTGATATAGTGCAACAGGTGCTCAGCCTACAATCGCCATGAGCGCCCCTACAGATACCACAGACGGCAAGCCCGAGCGACCTTCAATCGCTTCCCAAGAAAGCTCTCACCCTGCACTCCATCCCGACATCACCAACGTACCCGTCACCCCCGGCGTCCACCTCTCGGGCAAGACGGCCTACTTTGACGAGTCCTCCGACAAGAAAGAGGGCAGCAGCCTGCCCTTTGATCCCGAGACGGCCACGCCCGGGCCCTCGTGGAGCGCAAACTCATACTTCTCCAACCAGCAAAGAGCCGACGGTGCGGGGCCTCAGGCAGAGAAGGCAGCAGGCGCGCAAACCGGGGAAGAAGTCAAGAGCAAGCTGAGCGATGCCCCTGGCTCGGCCCCCAAGCACAACCTGGCAGACGTGGATCCGCGTGCTGCGCATCCTGGCCTCAATCTCAGCGGCCGTGTCATCAGTGCGACTTTTGCCATACCCTACACTATCGGCTACTCTCCGGGCAACGACTGGGAGCTCAAACCACGACGAGGAACCTCTGCCCTTTTTGATTCATTCTCATATCTTGCTTCCTCCTCTTCGCCTTGGAACCACACGCTTGTCGGATGGACAGGAGAGATCTCGCATGGCACGTCGGCCGCCGCCACCGCTGCGCAGATGCCTACGAACAAGGCTGCCGCACCCATTCCCGTTGATCCCAAGAACCCGAACCAGGCAACCCAAGTCTCGAACGGCTTTCGAATCGGCCCCGACGACCGAGCGCGACTGGAAAAGCAGCTCGAGCGCGACCACGGCGGCAAGATTGTGCCAGTGTGGCTCGTCGACGAGGTAGATGATGGCAAGGACGAATACATTCTCAAGAGCCAAAGCCATTGGAGGACCTATGCTGAGCACGAGCTCTACACACTGTTCCATTACAAGCAGAACGAGCCAGCCGATGGGCGTGCAGCGCGGAAATCATGGGCCGACTACTACCGCATGAACAGGCTGTTTGCAGACCGAATCCTCGAAATCTACAGTCCAGGAGATATTGTCATGGTACATGACTTTTACCTCATGCTTTTGCCAAGTTTGCTCCGCCAACGTCTGCCAAACATCTACATTGGCTTCTATCTTCACATTCCTTTCCCCAGTAGCGAGTTCTACCGCTGTCTTAGTAGGCGCAAAGAGGTTCTCGAAGGTGTGCTAGGCGCCAATATGATTGGTTTCCAGTCGTACAGCTACGCACGGCACTTCTCGTCTTGCTGCACTAGGATTCTAGGTTTTGATTCTTCGTCCGAGGGCGTTGACGCCTATGGCGCTCACGTAGCCGTAGACGTCTTTCCCATTGGCATCAATGCCGTTTCGACACAACGGCAAGCATTCGACGATCCAGAAATCGACGAAAAGGTCAAGGGCATTAGGGAAATGTATGCAGGCAAGAAGCTCATTGTCGGCCGTGACAGGCTGGATGCGGTGCGTGGAGTGGTGCAAAAGCTCCAGGCTTTCCAACTCTTCCTGGAAAAGTACCCAGAGTGGCAGGGCAAAGTGGTGCTTATCCAGGTCACTAGTCCCAGCGGTCTCCACACCGACAAGAGCGACGGTGCACAAGAAAAGGTCGTCAACAAGATTTCGGATTTGGCAGCCAAGATCAATGGCACGTACGGTACTCTGGACTTTACGCCTGTCCGTCACTTCCCGCAGTACCTTTCCCGTGAAGAGTACTTTGCTCTGCTCCGAATCGCGGACATTGGTCTCATTACCAGTGTACGTGACGGTATGAACACGACAAGCATGGAGTACATCATCTGTCAAAAGGACAATCACGGTCCGCTTATCCTATCCGAATTCTCCGGAACGTCAAGCTCTCTCGGTAGTGCAAGCCATATCAATCCGTGGGACATGAGCGGAGTAGCCGATGCCATCAATAAAGCGCTCAAGCAGGACGTAGCAGAGCGTGCACAGACACATGCACAACTTTACAAACACGTTGTGGAGAACAATGTTCAGGCGTGGACCAATAACTACTTGAAGAGACTGATGACGAACCTATCGTCGTTTGACCAGACTTTTGCTACCCCAGCGCTTGATCGGGCTAAACTTCTGTTCCAGTACCGGCAGGCAAAGAAACGACTATTCATGTTCGACTACGATGGCACTCTGACGCCCATTGTCAAGGACCCACAAGCAGCTATCCCGTCTGACCGCGTTATTCGAACTCTGAAGACGCTGGCAGCCGACCCTACCAATGCCGTCTGGATCATCAGTGGCAGAGACCAGGCGTTCTTGGACGAGTGGATGGGCCACATTCCCGAGCTTGGTCTCAGTGCTGAGCACGGTAGCTTCATGCGGCCTCCACGGTGCCAGGAGTGGGAGAACTTAGCCGAGACGACGGATATGACTTGGCAGACGGAGGTACTCGATATCTTCCAGCACTACACGGAGAGAACACAGGGTAAGGTCGCTTTTGTGCATGATGGGACCATGTTTTACTGACCGAGTGGACAGGTTCGTTTGTGGAGCGCAAGAAGATTGCACTGACCTGGCACTATCGCCGGGCCGACCCCGAGTACGGTGCATTCCAGGCACGTGAATGCCAGAAGCATCTGGAGAGGACCGTGGCCAAGAAGTACGAGGTCGAGGTGATGACGGGCAAAGCCAACCTCGAGGTTCGTCCAAGATTTGTCAACAAGGGAGAGATTGCCAAGAGACTCGTCGAGGAGTATGGCGAAGGGCCCGGGAAAGCGCCTGAGTTTGTTCTCTGCATGGGCGATGATTTCACAGATGAAGGTTTGTCTTGTGCCCCCAATGGGATTGCTCATTTGCTGATCATGGTGGCAGACATGTTCCGATCGCTGCGCCAGTCGAAGCTGCCTACGGATCATGTGTTTTCAGTGACTGTTGGAGCGAGTTCGAAGCAGACTCTGGCGAGCTGGCATCTTGTTGAGCCGTCTGATGTGATTTCTGTAATTTCGCTGCTCAATGGCTCAGCGGATGCAGGCAACGTCGGGGCGGTGGCGATTGTGGATGGGTCGGTGCCCGAGTCGCGTGTGGTGCCTTAGGAATGCTGTGCGTAATAGGGGTGGGGGGTTGTTGGCATCTTGTGGTGGAGCACGGAGCATGGCAGAAGATTAGACGTATATAAGAAATTTACAGCATGATGGTTGCGTGGCGTCTGGCTATGGCCCGCAGTAACAGCGAGGACAGCAGCAGTGAGTCAAGAGGCGCGTATTATGTGTATTGGCTTGACAGACAAGTTCCTGGTTTTGGGTGAAGAGGTTGCAGGCCGGACAAGGATGAGATGCCGTTGGGAGAGGCAACGAAGCGAGCCCCTTGGGACGAGCGTCGGCACTGGAGCCAAGCGGGTGGGTGGTGGCGGCATCGGTTGTGTCTGTGTCTGGAGCTCCCCTCCCCCCAGTCCTCCACGTGAAGGGGCCTGACTCGACATCCACCAACCAACTCTCTGTCTGGCCATGCGGGTGATGATCATCCACTTATCCTGTCGTCCCGAAGAATTGCGCAACAACTCATGTTCGCAGCCTGTCTCCTACTCCCTCTGCCGTGTCACGCAGGAACCCTCGCTTGCCATGGCGAAAAAGACAGACGCTGCAACACGGCCTCTCGGCCACAGCGGCCCACGACTCACTAGGCTTCGACGTCGGAACTCCTTCTGCTATAGGCTTGGTCTGTCTGCGTCTTTCGGCTTCACTAGCCCGTATTCATCAGGCTTGGCCTTCGAGAACCGGCATTGCATGAAACCTGGAACGCCTAGTCCTCCTCCCATGCCCCAACAACGGCACCTGAGCACTTGCGTCCGTTACCAGCCATTTCTCTCTCTTAAACCGTATCGCTGGTCCTACCGCGCCCCGGATTTTGTTTGCTCGCTCTTCCACTTGACGCAATCCAACCCATTTTTTGTCCCGGCAGATACACCCACCGGAAGTGCACCGTCGAAGCCGCAAACTGATTCGTCACCGTCTTCCTACATACCCACATCACTCTGATACACCACCTGCATCATCCGAACAGGGACGCGGTCGTCAAGTGGGTTCCGACATCTTATCCGTGCCACGTTTTGCACTACATTTTGCTCCCTGGTATTCCTCGACTTCACACACCACACTTCTCGGCGCAACTACCGTAAGCCACGATAAACTCTACACAAAACTTCAACATGGGTATCTTCGAGAAACTTCAAGCTCGTATGTCTCGCCTCGACTCGCTTTGCTTCACATGGACCCCGTTTTTGTCGTGGAGCGGCTTATCAGCATTGAGATGACTAACATCCGCGTCTAGGCCTTGAGCTGCACCGCCTTGAACAGCGCTACACGCGCCGCGAGAAGCGTACTACCTTCATTAGCGAAGCGCAGTATGTAGACGGCGAATACGTTTATGCTTCGTCGCCTTCTTCCGCGAAGTCGTCAAGCACCGTCAATAGCAAACGTTTTAGCGTCATGCCTTCCATAAGAATAAAGGAAATTGGTCGCAATGGCACCGGACGATCTTAAGAGGCTTGTATGCGCAGTGCGCTACATCGCCATTAATACATGGACGAAAATGTCGCGGCATTTTGGCCGTCCAAAAAATATCACTACGCTGTAGTGCTCGGGGAAGATGCTGTACAACGTTCTACAAAGTTGTGTGCTCTTGCTGTGCAAATGCTAGAGCTCATGCGTGTCGGACCCCTAGGGGTCTCGCAACACATGCAGGGAAAACTAAACAACCCGAAAACCCCGAAACTACAGAGAAAAAAAACACATCATAATTCACTCGACACGCAACGACATTTAACGGCTGGATATATCAACCATCGACGAACCGGACGAGAGCGAGAGACCACATGAGCGCGCGGTTTTCCACATACTACAAAGAGGCTGGTCCACTTGACGTCGATAACGCTTCACTCATTTGATCCCCCCCCCCCCCCCCATCGATTCTTTCATTTTTTTATTCTTTACCAACTTCTTTCGACTTGTACCTATCGAACCCACCCCTGTCCACCCTTTTCCCTTTTTCCCTCTTTCTTCTTTTTTTTTCTATGTTCAAAAAATCACATTTGCAAGCTTAGCTTTCTTACTTTGCTCATCTATCTAAGGTGACACGGGAAATGGGGAAAGTGTCCTTATTTTCCGCTCCCTTTTCTTTTCTTTTTTTTTGTTTCTCAGGCCGATGACCTTTTCATTCACTCTTGATGTAGAGGGAGAAAAGTGTTTTTGGGCATATGATGAGTAGTTGTTGTGTTCAAGTGGAAATGGGGTTTCCCTCGGCTTGATGTTTACTTTTGAGGAACCCTGAGGATGCAGTATACCTAACTTGTTCTTTTTTTCTTCAGAAAAATTAAAACCATTTATTTAAAATTTCCGGTGTGGATGTGCGTGTGATGCAGATTTGCTTTTTCTCGTGAATTGGCTTGCTCGCTAAATGCATATTGCTTTTTCTTACCACAATCTTTTTTTAGTGTGAATATGGTTGGTGGTAATTAGCAGTACCATGCTAAGATTTGCCATGTTTGTTGCTTTTTGTTTATCGGGGAACATACGAGAATCCTGTGCATGACGAGAATGAGATGGAAAAAGGATGGGAGGGGGAACAAGCCTTCTTCCCTTTCCCCCCTTTACTCTATCACCTCTACTCTAACAAGACAAGGGCATGAAGAAACGAGACGTAAGTACTCCGACTGGGATCATTGTACGTGCAACTGTCCTGTGGACACAAGTAAAGTATACAAGTACACACTTCTCAGCCCAAATTAACTACACTGATCCCACTCCATTTACAAAACGCCTCCAGTACTTGCCATCCCCCATACTGCCTACCACATCAAATCCATAGCTACTCTTGACTACGCATATAAACCTTTCCAGACACGTTGCTTAAACAATACGATACAACAACTTCTCTTATCATCAAAAGGACAGTATCGCTAATCCCAAAAGTCACGTGTATCAATCCCATCACAAGTTCCATCTGCACTTCCGTCCTCAAAAAAAACTTCAATTGCTTAGGGGAAGGTAAATCCGTCTGCCAAGATACACCAACGCATTCACCCACAGTACTAGTAAAGCCATTCAACAATGCAAAAAAAAGGTCAACAGAAAGGGGGAGAGCTAGCAAGCCTACGTACCACCCACTTCCTTTACAGACCGGTGTATACTAGACGCAGAATGTAACATGCATGCACGCGCATGCTCCTTCTCTTTTCCCCGTATCTCACTATCTAATCGGCGTTTCCCCTTTCCAATACTTTTTCCATTTCTCTACCCGAATCCCCTCCCATTCACTATTGCACTCGGCTACCTGCGCCCTTCCTGCATGCTCTAAGTTGACACTCCCCAGTGCATATGCACTCAACCCTTCCGATCGCCCGCTTCCCGATCACACACACACACACACACACACACTTCGCGTTCACGCGCTCACTCGCTCGCTCATTTTGCTCGCACCTACCACGGTACACTCTATGCACCTACGTATACGCGACCTCTATCCCCACGGGAAAGGAAAAAGGATATACATGGCGCATCTACGGCTTGCCGTGCACATGCAAGTGGAAGGGGAGAGGGATTTACAGATCGGTGTGTGACTAGTGTCGAGTGTCTGCGGAGATAAGAAAAATAGTATGGGATAGGGAGACAAAAGACGGTCAATTGGGTCAAAAGCTAATTGGGGAGAGAGCAGGTAAGGGTATCGTAATATGGGCAAAGGGGACGATGAGCACCATAGGGGGGTCTGTGAACTATGAGGATCGTAGTGCGGGGTGGGTGTGTGTGTGGGGGGGGGGGGGGGGGAGAAAGGAGCCAGGGAAGGGGCCAAGGGAAAAAACGGGAAAAAGCAACGTTGAACCAACAAATAGTGCTAAAGAAAAAGCAAAAAAAGGATCCAAGATCAAGTTAGTTGCATAACCGACCAACCATAGACGTGTGCAACCTCAGAAAAGAACACGCATCGTCAGAAGAAATGTAAGATCTAACAACAATATATTTGCCAAGTAGAATCCCTATGCAAAGTACTATCTCAACAAATAAAACGAAAAGGGGGTATCTTTCGATCTATACAAATACTCTCTGGCTTCGCTTGCTTGATAACAAAAAGCAGGTGTGTGTGAAATAGAAAAAAAGGGGGATAAGGGGAATGTACGAACTGGATGAAAAGCAGAAGCAAAAAAACACATCAACAACATGTCTAGATATCCCTTTCATACCCCACACCCAGGTTTGATGAAGAAAAAAAAGAATACAAACGTCCAAAGGGGACTTCCGCCGAAAAAAAAAACGCCCAAAATATGATGATGATGTATGAACAAACACAGCCCGCTTGGGGAGAAGATTACACGGATTTCCCTTTCTCTTTGTTGTTGTGAACTAGGGAGTCGTAACGAAGGTCGTTAAAAGCCAGATATCCGCACCTGGCATGTGCGCGCGATCCAAAAAAAAGAACGAATAAAGGACGAAAGAAACAATTCGAGAACGCGCAGTCTTATGGACTATCGTAGTCGTTAAAAATCTCCTCTGGGTCCTCAGGTGGTAGCATATCAATGGTATCGCTGGTCCTGGGTCCTGTGTATTTCTTGCGCGCACCCGCATACCACCAGACGGTACTGAAGAAGCCAATGAATGCGGCGACGCAAATGGCGTAGTTCATGTTATCGAGACGCACGGGGCGGACGGTCGGGAAGAACAGGACGACACTGATGAAGATGACCCATGTGACGGCAATGGCGTTGACGGGCTTGCTCCATTTGCCCATGGAGTAAGGGCCTGGGTGGAAGACGACGCGGCCTTCGTACCATCGGTGAGCAATGATGACGGCGATGTAGCTAATGTCGAGGGCAGGCGCGGTGATGTTGAAGATGGCGGTGATGGTTAGTGTGCTTCCGATACCGATGAGATCGAGGCAGCTGCAGAAGATGACGACGAGCCAGACGGCGTTGACAGGCGTGTGCGTGTGCGTATTAACCTTGCTCCAAAAACTTCAAACAACTTGTAAGCAATTTGGTTCGTGGCCAAGAGGGGGGGTGAAAGCATCGCAGAAAAAAAAAGAACTTACTCTGAAAAAGGAAACGCAGCATCGCGGGCAAACGCCCAGGCCATGCGTGCATTAGCCAGCATGGCTGAGCATCCGGTGAAGAACTGGACCAGCATGACAAAAAACCACATGATGGTTCCACCGGTTTTACCGCCTGCGTTGAAGAAAATCTGGGCAACAGGCAGACCGGTTGGCGTCGCCATGATGGCGTCGTAGTCGGACATGCAGAAGCAAAAGGTCACGGTTAACATCCAGCCGACGACACCGGACACGAGGATTGCAGCGCGAATCGCCACGGGACCGCGGATGGCGGCATCGTGCGTCTCTTCGGACATGCTGTACGAAGGAAACTAGGGTTAGCATACATGCATGCGTGTCTGAGGCTTTCCATAGGGCTGACTTACTGCGTAGTGCCGTCGTAGTCGGTCATGGTCCATGCAACCGAGAGGAAGCTGCAAACCAATCATGTTAGTTTCAAGGTGCTTTTTTAGTCTTTAATACCGATACGAACGTACCCGAGGAGGAATGAGAAACCTTGGCTGCCCCATCCGGAGCCGTCCGTGACGGTAGTAAACACCCACTTGGGGCTTTGTTTGTTGGGCGTGAGAATGAGCAGGGCGATGCAGATGCAGATTGATGCAATAACTGGGCTTACTGTCAGCTTCTATTTTTTGTGCCCCGCAAAGCCACGGCCACGACCATAGAGGCGAAGACATGCTAGGCGAACGTACTGTTGATCGGGGCGAACCACAGGATAATGCGGTGCAGCCAATTTGTGGGGAAGGAGCAGATGGCGCCAAACATGCAGAGCACAAAAATGGCAAGGAGCACCGTCTGGTAAGCTTTCCTGCATTGATCGGTGAGCCACTACTGTGTGTGTCGCCTAGAATGGCGTGCTACTCTTACGGTTCAAAGGTTGGCCCCGCACCATCTAAAGTGTGCATGACTGCTGTCGCTAAGATCATTTGCGAGATGGTGTAGGCCAAACTGGCAACACCAGCGGCTTGACCGAGGAAGTTGCACCATCCGATGATCCACGACCAGGCAGCGACGTGCTCGGGGGGCACAACGTGTTTTGTGACATAGTACATTCCTCCGGCTGTGGGGTATGCTGAGACTAGTTCGGCAACTGGAGAGGCGTGTTGTTAGCTTCGGTGGCGAAGAGATGAGTTGGAGTAGAATACCTGAGCTGGCGATGCAGTAGGCCATGATGCTACCGATGAACCAGGCCCAGACGGCTGTTGCTGGGCCTCCTGATGACATTGGAGATCCAAAGGTAGCAGGTACTGAACCTAGCACTCCGAGAATGGAAATGGCATACGAGACTGTGGACCATCTTGAGAAATGTCTTTGGAGTACCTGCGGGCAGTGGGTGAGATGGGAGTTTGAATTGAACCCAGCAACATGCCACACTTACAGGAGCATATCCAATGCGGACAAGAAGACGGTCGTCGTCGTCTGCAATGGTCGCCATAGCGGGGGGTTGGTTGTTCTTGCTCGCGTCTGTTGTCCTGGACGACTGAGATGAAATGGTTGGTTCGAGTGCCTTGCCGTCCCCGGACTGTGCACCTGGTCCTCTGTTTCCGAATTCTGGATTACCCATGGTCAACAAGACATCAACGACTGAACATGAGATTTAGGTGAGAGAGCGAGGTGGAAGGGTGGCTCAGTGACGGAAGGCGTAGATGGGATTTAGAAGCGTGTAAAAGACGTTTGTGGGTCACTGCCGGAGAGACACTAGGGACATTGACAGCAGTAGCATAGACCCACACCAGCCCCCGGCGCCAGAAAGCGTACTTCTGCAAGTGGTAGGGATATGGTGGTCGGGGAGGTGAAGGTAGGGACGGGGAGGCGAGTAGTGGGTTTTATCGTGGGCTAGCTTGCCAAAGGGCCCAACCCTGCTGGCAGTCACAGGCCATGACTGTCCAGTAGCATCATGATGCGAGAACTGACTTACATACTGTGAGGCCTGTAATTAGTACATATGCGTGTACATGATGACACGCGCCGAGTGTGCTGCAGAATTGGTAGCTTGTGAAGGGCGTGAACATGGAAAAAGGCAAGTAAGAAAGTGGGCCGATCAGGAGCAGAAATGGGACATTGTCAATCAGCCCTGTCGTTCTGCATGTGGGCTAGTCTCTTTAGTTTCTCGCTGTCTTGCCAGGGCCCGGCGGATGCTAGTCGCGACGAGCAACCGTGGATTTGCGGTACTGTCATTTGCGCAGGGTACAAAGTCTGGTGCCGGACGTTTGAAAAGAGGAGCGTGCTCAGCAAAATGCTGCCCGCTTCGGCGACCCAGAGTGGCGGGCCGTTTACCTACCTTGCATTTTGAGCGACCAGGGTCTGCTTCAGCCCTGGGAACAATCTGCCCTCCATCTCGGAAGGAAACGAGCGATCGAAGCAAGTCTTTGTTCTTGAAGCTGCATGAGACCCAATTGCTCGCAGCAAGCCACTGTTTCATGGGAGGCTCTGATGGTGAGTCAACTGCTGTCGTGTCCATTGTGCCTGTCCCTGAACGGCATAATACGACACGACACGACACAACACGACACGACACCTCAGGCTTCTGTCGTCGCGTATTCGGGTGCGCTTGCTTAGCTACTCGAGGGCTTCGGCCAAGAGCTTGCCGCACTCCAACGCCGTCATCAGAAGAAGCTATGACGAATGCAAATTCAAGCTGCGGCTTGCCTTGGGCGAGGCTCTGGAAGCGGTACGACTCGGGGGTGCGACTACGGCCTGCCTGCAACCGGTTCCCCCTGACAGTTCGTAGCAAAACTTCAGGCCAGGCGGTGAGGCCCTCGAGGCCCATTGGCCGCGGCGGCTGTTTCTAATGCGAGTCCATCATGGCCGAGGACGAGGGCGCTTGTTGACTGGTATGTATGATATCAGAGATTCTGTCTGCTCTGCGTCTACCTGCATATCCCGCCCCGACCCGGGGCTATTATCCATGGGCCTTACATGCTCTGCAATGTAATGGTGGAGTGAGATTGTGTCAAAGAGCCTGCAGAAAACGCCCTGCTACACTCTACGTACGCACGTAGTGCTCTACGCGTACATACAGCAACATTCCCTTCTTGTCATGGCCATGGTCAGATCATCCCAGAAACTGCTGCAGCCCAGTGTGGAATTTCCCGGTCAAGTAGCGTAAGCGATGGACGCCCGCAATGGGGCACACACGTGCGTGTGGCCCGCGTGAAGGACCATGTACCGGACTTTGCTTGTTGCTTACCATTGCCCCGGTCCTGAGCCTGTCCCACGTCACCAAAAGAGAAAAAAGCGTAGCCACTGTGCTGTCCTAAGGCGCGCCACAGCACTGTCGCGGTAAGAATAGCCATCTCTTCCAGAGCCTCAGTGGCAGCAGTAGCGCGCCCTCGCCGCTTCTGAAGCCTGTATTACGGTGAGCGATCCTCCGAAGCGCCGCCTAGCCAGTATGCACATGTCCACCTGATCAAGCATCGCCCATGTCGTCGATGCCGTGATGCCTTCGATGCCCCTCGTTGCTGCTGGCAGCAGCCGAAAGAGCGGTGGGAGGGCTGCCCAGCCATGCATCCGAGAAATTACACACTGCCACACGGCCGCCCTGTTCGAGTAAGTTGGCTTGACCCGGAGTACGTACCCAGCGCCACCCAAGACGTTTGTCAGACTGTAAACGGATATCACGGGAGCTTGATGCTGCACCCATGACATTGACATGCTCCCAGTAGTTCCTCGGATAAAGACAATTCAAGGGTCGAGGTCCCTAAGAGCCATCCTAAGTCCCAATCCGGTATGTAAATCTCCGCCAGTGTTCGGTACTCGCTCGCGCAGATGCGAGTTAGGGAAGAAAGAGGCGAATTTCGGTCGCCCCACTGTGGGCATCATCGCATGCTAAGAGCTCAGTAGCTTCGTCAGTAGCGTCCTTGTCTTCACATCATCTTGACCGCGACTTTTTGGATACCATGACGCCAAATACCTAGTGTATTCTGCCCAGTTTTTCCTTTCAGTCATGTTGGCGTCACAGTGAGATAGAGAAGGGGGAATACCGCAGCATTGAAATCTCCTCAAACTACTCCTCAGTACACGGCCTGCCCGCGACAATCCTGACTCGCCATGCACTTTAGCGAACTTATCTGAGCTTCATTTTCCAGAAGATACCTCAGGCACTCGGCCGTTTCAAAAAAGCCGCCGAAACCATGTGCGGACCCGTCCGCTAGGGCCGACGATCAGCGTGGCATTCTGTAGCGCGCTGCCCAATGGCGGACCTGTGACACCATTTGCCTTTTACCATTCGACCTCACTTGGCCAATCCACGCTTCGACTAGCATATGCAGCATTTCCTTCCCACCTAGGCGCAGGGTGACCGGAAACCGGCGTCGGATCCGCATACCTTTTCAGATAACACAAAAAGCTCCATGTGTGTAGTAGTCCGGTAAATCAACGGTAGCTTACTGCTAGCACCATGTCAACGTGCAATGTGCTCAACTCATCACACACTCATCAGCCACCCAAGTGGCCGAGGTAATCAAGAAAAGAGTCTATGGGTCAGCTTCCTCCGGGTTTCTGTGTTGCTATCCAGGCTCTCACCCACAACTCAACAACCCCGTCTACAGAGCCTGCAGGGTTAAAGTCGAAAAGCAGAGATCGCATGTCATGGAACAGCTAGTAATACAGGGATTGATGTATTGAGAAGAGATAGGAACAAGATAATCACGACAAATGGATCTCTATACAGAAAAGGTTTCCCTTCAGTCACAGAAATTGATGATACGAGAGTGAAGCGAAATGACCGAAAAGACCGGACCTCTGACCGAAGATCATGATCAACATTCTATCTTTTCCAGGTTCTTGAGCTTGCATAACAAGGAAAATGTGTAAAAGCCAGGAAAAGAAGGACCGATGCTTACCATGCTTATGTTGATGGTAATTGTCCAGTCAGATGAGGGAACACATAGACACGTCTCTTTTTGCAAACGCTGTTTCTCAAAAAAAAATTACATTGCATTATACACGCTACGTGGGACTTATTGGAGTGCAGCTAAACAATCCTTACCATCCTATCAACGCAGCCCGGAAAAGAAGAAACACAGAGCGGAAACATGCAGTCACCACTTCTACATCCACATTCCCATCACCATCACCATCCTGTCCACACATAGGTTTGAAGTGGAGTCGTCGCTCAAAAAATGCAGGGCGACCTATCCTTGTCTGCTACGTGTTTGGTATATGCTGGATGTGTGTATCGAGGGGAAATCCTCTTGTGACTGTTTGTACCTCTTCCCCCCACTTCTTCTGTATCCACTCCGTGAGGCACACTACATAGGCGCCTTGGAACAGCCCACTTCTCGAATCAAACACCTCTTCTACAATCCACTTTGTGGAGAGCCTATTTTGCGGGTAATTCACTTTCGCATGCGGAACAACTGTCAGATGATCTGTACAGTCTCCACCAAATAAGGGTGGGGTGGGCGAGGAATCAGGGTCTGCTTGAGGGGTGGAAGGAAGGAGGCAGACTTGCATGGTTGCCAACTGCGCATACTGCGCGAAAGGCGGGAAAGAAGACAAACACACATAGTAGTAGTCCGGAGGGTGCTGGGTGCATAGTGTTTCTGCGTACTAACTCGACAGACATGAAGGCATACAAGATATGACTGATGAACAGAGCAAAATAGGCACGCAGTCAAAAGCCACCACGTCTATCCATTCTAACAACCCCAAAGTATATACAGAAGCAAAATATCTACAGCTAACCTCTCTCTGTATACAATTTCCCTCACACTCCACAACCTCCCCACCCCCCTTTTTCTACCTTAACATTTAGCAGGTAAACAGCTTCGGGCCAGGAATAGGATAAGTTTGCGCTGCACACATATTAGCAACCATGTCCCCACCAAAACGAACTTGAGGAAATTAAACATACCAGTATAAGCATTATACGCAATCCCCGCATCCGTCCCCTTGTATGCGCCAGGAAAGCTCACCAAGCCCGACGGCTTCGTACTGCCACCCCCAGTAACCTTGAGCTGATGGCACCCGGGATAAAACTGCGCACCAGGATACTTGTACGCGGAATGCAGCGCCAGCACCTCATGCCTCACAAGATAATAGCCCGCAGCAATGCATTTGGGGATGGTGTACGAAAGGTATCCGCCCGCCACGCGAATAGCATCAGAAGCCCACTTGTTCGATGTACCTTGGCGTCCTTCTTCTTGCACCTTGAACCACACGGCACTGTCATGCTGCGTTAGCAAAGAGCAACTCCCCATGGGTAAACATAGGACAGGGTAAAGAGGGAGGAAGAAAAAAAACGTACTCAGACTCCGGCATATAAGCATCACACCCGGTATCCGGACACCTTGCCATGTATGTAATCGAAGGCCCAACGTGGCTCTCAGGCCATAGGGTCCAGTAAAGCTTGACTTCGGAGCCTGCAGCTGCTTCGGCGTGCAGGGCCGCGGGGGAGGAGCCCTTGAAGCCGCCGGCGGTGTAGCCGCCGCATTGCAGGTCGGAAAGCGTGACGTCTTCGACGGGGCCGTTGCCTTGGATGGGGCGCGAGATGCGTTTGACGCCGGTGGTGTAGGGGTCTTGATAGGGCTGGTAGAAGGTGTAGTCTTTGCCGCCGATGGTAGCGTTGGAGACGTAGCCGTGGGCTGCGGCCGTGGCAGCGAGGCCGAGGGTAGGAAGAAGATATTTCATCTTTTGCTCTTCTTCTTCTTTATTTTTTCTGATATGTTTCCCCTAAAATCGATTGGAAGGGAAGGGAAGGGAAGAAAGGAGATGGAAGTGCAGTGAAGGGAAAAAAAAGGCCGAGACAAAGAGGATTCTTTATAGGCTGCCTCGAAAAAGATAGATCAACAGAAGTCTAGCTCGGTATAGGAAAACCAACCTAGATGCCGGAATAAATGATTACACACACGGCAGTGAAAGTTCTTATAGTAGCACCACCACACCAACCTCGGTAGGTGATTCCTCCACGATACACAAGCCGATAGTTGGCTATGCAAATAAACCACAACAAGCACTATTGCAAATGTTTCCGAGAGACTCTCCACCCCCCTCGGTTCGTGCATTGGTGCATCGAGACCAAGGAAGGGGATGGGGGGGCAGAAAACATGTAGATTAAAAACTTGGCGCGCTAAAAGGTCACCGTGATGTCGAGTAACATGCACACCTTGCCTGTTTTGGGTCCATGTAAAGTGTTTGAAGAAGCCGTTATCCCCGGTCAAAGCATTTTAGAGAGGTTAAGCGAGATAAAAGGTATTCTTCTTTTTGTTTTGTGAAAGGGCCGGCATCCTGGACAGTCGTAATTTAGCTGCAGTTGGTCGGGTTATCAGTGAAACAGCCCTTCGCAAACAGACCCAATACAGTCGAACGTGGGATGCACAGTTAGCAAGGCTCCAAAGTGGATGTCTCTGGCATGCTGTAATGACAACCACAAGACACTCTTATTTGCAGTCATGATTGGTGGTAATACGCCTTTCGATTCGGACTTGTCGTCTCGGATTGAAACGTTTACACGTGATGTCGGCTAGGGGGTTGGGGGTTGGCGGGAATCCTACACCATCGGAGAAATTAATAAAGCTTTCATATAGCACCTAGCCGGGTTGCCGGTCCAGGTTTCGCATGTCACGATAGCGGCGAGGTTGCCTTCGATACTACTATCAGCCTTTTCTGCAGCTACATTGGAATGCGGCCCGGGGACGTGGAGGAAGGGGAGTGACGCAAGCGTAAACGTTTAGATTGCAGTGCACTAGGCGAGGCCTTGGCTCTAACGGCGGGAAGCCAAATGGGATTTGGCATCACAAGGGCCTAGAAGCGGTCAACTCAACTGAGGATCAGTATCAGCTGATATAATGTGGCTTCGTGTTTGTGCTCTTGTAGATTTAGGTCGCCGCTTCTACTTTTGGATGACGTCAGTGCACTTTGTTGGGCGCTCTTGCTCCAAAGTATATGGTTATAGCGCTTGACATGTGCATGAGTATGTCTAAAGGGCCGTGGTTGCTCAGATAGTCCTGGACACGCTCATCAATCACACAGTTGGAGGAGAAGGCAATCCTTGTGTAGGTGTGGTCCAGAGCCACTGTCGAACAGACCTCGCTCTTGCATTTGCTGGTATAGGCCGAGCATAAAAGCACTCGTCAGAACTCTGAGAATAGATATTAACACAGCCGTAGCAAATAATTGGCAGCCCCTCCATGAACTCCTGGCTACACTCGGAAATGATCGCATTTTCCAAAATCATACCCTGAGCTCCGAAAATATCACGACCCAGCTGTTTTCGTCACCTAATATCCGGTTGCGCCAGGTGCTTTCTCGTCCTTCTTCAGGCTGAGGAGCAGCTCCCTGAACCGTGCCTTGTCGCTGCCCGATGCACCGCCCTTTGTGCCTTTTCCACTCAAGTCGACCAGCTTCGCAATGCGCTCCCAGCTGGTTCCGCCCGCGGTGGTGTCGTCTCGGTTTGCAAGGAACTCTTCCGCCTCTTTCCGTGTCTTAGCAATCTCCTTCTCCTTCTTGTTGTTGTAGTTCTCGTAGAAGTCGTCAATATTTTGCTGTGCCTCCTTGATGGTGCTCTGCTTGCGCTCTTCGGCTACTTCGTCGCGGTGCTGGATCTGGAGGTCGCGGCGCTCGCGCCACTCTCGAATGACATCGGGCTCTGGGGAGTCTGATCGCTGGGGAGTGAATGATGGAGCTGGCTGGCCAGGAAGAAATGGCAGGCTTGATCCAGTAATGGTGCCACCAGGGGCCATGTGCTGCTGCAGTCAGTATGGTGCCTAAAGAGAAACATCCTCTTGCAACACGTGTTACAACCAAGGACGCAGCGCATTACATACCTCGTTGGTAGTGTCAATGGCAGGGAAGGAGCTCTCGAAGCCGCTCATTTCCTCACCACCAGCCTGGGCCTGGCTGAAGCCCCCGCCCAAGAGGTCGTCGTCTCCATCCTCAACGGTGGCTGTCCGGTCGTTTTCTGAAGCAAACTGGTCGGCATCGTCGCCAAGGAGAGCGCGCTCGCGTGAAAGAAAGTCATCGGCGCCGGCAGTGTCGCCTACAAGGTCGAAGGCTGCTGAATCACCGCGCGCTTCGGTCTGGCCTGGAGATGTTCAGCACTGTGTTGCGGAGCTGCTTCGGGGGTTCAATGGCTGAACTCACCAGCGTCAATCTCGTCTAATGAAGGAAATCTGTCTGCCATTGTGAATGTGGTGTATGTGGTGGGTGTAGGGAGAAGCGATAGCGATGTGATTGGCGGCGATTGCTTGCTTCCAAGTGTCTTGTTTGTGGTTGAGTATGGCTACCGTCACCAGCCAGGAGCAGGCTTGGCAAGTGTCTAGCTACGTTTAGCCCGCATTGCTGTTAGCGTCCCCGAGCTCTCCATCACCTTCGACAGGTCTCACTCATTGTCTTCTGCCATCATCCGCTCGTCATCGCTGTAGTCGCAGGCGCTAGCAAGCCTCGAGTTGATCACCTAGAAGTATCGCCAGTTCCTACAGAGTCTGTCTCCACTTCCTTGAGAGTGTCGTGTTGGTCTGGTCGCGTGCGATTCTTGCTTCAGTAGCTACAACTATCATTCGTGAAGACATTAAGCATGGCCTTTACCGAGGACAGCCTCAAGGCAAAGCTCTCGTCGCTCAACGAGACCCAAGACGCCATCTCGACGGTTGGCCAATGGATTCTCTTTCACAGGTAAAGCCTCGCATACTTGACATTCGCTGCACTCTTGAACGCGTCTCACGCGCATGCGCGCGCACTCGTCGCATTTGCAACTTTGGAACCAGAAGCTAATACGACTATCTACAGACGACATGCTGAGCGCATTGCTGCCGTATGGCTCCAACGTATGAAGGAGTCGACGCCAAACAAGAAGCTGGTCCTAATCTATCTCGCAAACGAAATCACCCAGACATCCAAGATGCGCAAGAAGGAGGAATTTCTCAAAGCATACGAGCCCATTCTCGCCGAAGCAACGACCGTCGCTTACAAGGGCTCGCCCCACGAGATACAGAACAAGATCCGACGTGTGGTCGAGGTCTGGCGACAGCGATCCATCTTCAATCCCGCTGTCCAGCAAGCCATCGAGAGATCTATTGACGAAATCGATCGCACAAAATCCACGCGCAAGCCTGCTCTTGGTGGCTCGCTCTTCTCCAGTTCGACTGTTCCACCTGAGCTTACTTCGGTCGCCCCTCTTGCAACCGCTCTCCAAAAGGCCGATCTTGCGACCAAGCCCGCTGTCACCACCGCAAACCAGGACTATGAGAAACTCACCAACCCCAACGCTGCCATTCCCTCCCCGCCAATGCATGCGGCAGGTCTCGCCGCCCTATGCAAGAAGCTGGCACTGGCCGAGGGCGCCGTCGCAGAGAGTATCAAGGCGCGCAAGGCCCTCATCACTGGCCTGGAACAGCTGCTTGAGACGAACAAGACAAAACTGGAGCAAGAGGAGGCGCAGGCAACCGATCTGAAGACCAGAAAGGAGGCAATCGAAAGCCGCAAGCGCGAGGTCGAGGAGGCAATCCTCAAGGGCCTGTCCGCAGCAGAGCAGAACAAGATCTCCACTGCGCCTCTCCCCGTCGCCGCAACTTCACCCGCAACCGCAACCTTCCCCACCGGCCAAGGCCGCCCCGAAGTCGAAGAGCTCACTCCCCCACCCATGGAATCCTTCACTCCCACCGGCTCCCCCCAGCAGAAACCAGCACCCCGCAACGACCCCGTCCCCAATATAGGCGACGACGTCATGCCCGAACCCGCCGCCAATCCCGTCGTCCCTGAAACCGCATCCGCACCTGGCCATCACACCACGCAACCAGACTTTGCTACCACAATGGGCGATCCTAACCAGCATGTCGCTGCTGATCTGCTCAAGAGCCTCCAGCATGCTAGACCAGGTGCGGACGGTGCTGCGTACGGCCATCAGGCGTACGAGAATATTCACAAGAAGAGGAAGATGAGCCGGAATGCACCGGATGATGAACTTGCGGCTTTTGCGGGTGACAGGGATATGGCGGGAATTGATGATAATTTCGCGGAGCTGATTTGAAAGGGTTGATCGTGAGAGAGATGTATTACGTATCCTTGAGGATAAAGAGCTTTTTTTCTCTCATTATTGAGTTTCTCCAACTGTCAATGTTCATGTATATCATACACGTGGATTGTGTTGATTCTTGTCATGTCATTAAATCACGATGTTTTCCTTCCCTCCCTCGTTCTATTCGATCACTATTCAACCGTTCTTTCTTGTATTGGAATAACAACTTTGATATTCATAGATAGTAGTGGTAACTGCGTCAGGCATTGAAAATAAAAATAAAGAATAATGTACAATTAAACCTCACCTTGACATATTATGACGTCGTAAACCATATTTTCAACCTTTATCTGATCCGGACAAGAAGAACATTACTATCCCCATCATTCCTTCGCACCAGGCATAGCACGGTTCTTCTCAATCTCACTCATGACGCGCTGGCCCTCCTCAGTCGTAGCATCAATAACACCCTCTTCCAGACTCAACATGCCGCCCTGCCCCAGCTTCTCCACCACCTCTTCCGCCTCATCCACGCTCATCTTAGCAAGGACCTTGTTCACCTCATCCAGCTTGCCGCTCTCAAGCGCGCGCTGCAAGCCCGGTGGGAACGACTCGAAAATCTGTCTCGCCTGGACTTCTGCCTCTCGTTCCTCGGGATCCGTTGCTGTGGGTTCCTTGGGGGGAACGGAAATGTTGATTTGCGTGTTTGGATCCACAGCATGTAGTTGGATTTGTTCAACGCCTGCGCCTTCGCCCTGAGGGTTCTCGGCGCGCTCCTTGAGGATTTCGGCTGCGCGCGTCTTGATGCGGTGGTATGTTGAGTCGACGTCGTCGTTGAACATTTTACCGGCTTGGTGGTCTTTTGTTTGGATGCGCTTGAAGAAGAGCTCTACACCTTGTCTTCCGCCGAGTTGGCGGCAGTACTGCAGTAGCAGGCCTTGGTGTACGCATTGTCGGGCATGCTTGGGTTTGCCGTCGAGCTCGGCATTGAACGCTTCAACTAGAAGGCCGTCTGTTTCTTTTTCCGAAAGAATTTCAGGGTGTTGCATGAGGAATTGCAGACAGGCATACCAGTCTCCTGCCTTGATCTTGGCAAACGATTGTGCAAGGGGAGATGCGGTGATGTCGTCTTCGTTGTCTCCGGTGGCACCGGCAATGGTTCCTTCTTCTATGTCGGCGTCTGCACCAGAAGACTGGCCTGTGTCTGAGCGTGTGGCGTCTGGTCGTTTGGGAGCGTTGAGCAGTTCGACTGTAGTTTCTTTCTTCGAACCTGTTGACGACGATGCTGCAGTGGAGGCTTTCTTCTTGTCCTCTTCGGCTTTTTTGACGTTGGAATAGTTGAAACCCTCGTGTAAATCGTCGCTGGTGATGTGCCTCTTCTCCTCCTTCTCTAGCTCTGCTAATTTTGCAAGCAATTGGCTCTGTAGATCCTGTATCCGCTCCTTCTCTTTCTCCAGACCTTTGATGAACAAGTCATATCTAGGCTCCTCGCTCTTTTGCTCGTCGATATCCTTCTTCACCGCGTCTACCAGACTCGCCATCATCTGCGGGTATGTGGGCTTGTCTTTTATATGTTCATGCACACCCTCTGGGGGCGTTGGCGGCCTGTCTGCGCCGCCGTCTTTGCCAGCCTTCATGTCCATCATGCTCTCCATCATGGCTTGGAATACAAGTTGGTCATCGCTCGCGCCGCTGCCCTCGGTCTGCTTGTCCTTGTGCGACTTGAGCGCGGTGAGGAGTCGATCGACGCGTTCTGTGAGGCCATCGTTGATGATGCGCTCATACTTCAGTGTTTTTATTTGGTGGCGACGCTGCTCGCGCTCCTGGTGAATCTGGGCTTGTTTTGCGCGGATAAACGACTTCTTGTCAACATTGGGGTGTACTTCGATGTCGCTGTCGTCGGAGAGCTCGAGGGCGTCCTTTGCACATAATTAGAGGTTGTCGCAACGACACAGGAACCACATTGGACTTACCCACTTGCTGTAGTTGATCACCATGGCGGGCAAAATCTGGGTCGGGTATTACAGTGCTGTGTTTGTTGTTGCGACTCGACGCTGGACTTTGTTTGGGATTGCGGGGTGGTTGAAGTGGGATGTCGCGTTTGGGCCATAGCTCGTCATCGAGAATGTTCGACAGACTTCACCCTCATTCCATCTACTCCATTCACACACACACACATTGGGATGATTATGTAACTTAGCAAGCAATGATGTCTCACAGCATTTCAAGATGCTTTGGTCACTAGCAAAGACTTGAGAAAAGGCGTTACCAAGTTAGATATCTTTATTCTACTAGATGACAAGATGGCACCAAACATTTCATAACATTAAGCTTCAGACAGAAAAAAACTGCTGAACCTTCTCACATTGTCCCCATTTAACAGAACTCCTTGTAGACCATTCACCCGCCCCATAGCCCCCTCCATCATCCTCACCCCCCAGCAACCACGGCCAAGCCTTCGTAAATCTGTCTCCTAACCCGCGAAAATGTTGCCGCATCGTTGGTCCTTGGATCGAAATTTCCATATGCGCCACCGTCAATCTCAATTTGACCTGTGGCCGTCTTCCTGACCGCTACAGTGCCATTGACAACGAGTATACCCTCTCCGCGGAACTCGGCTTGCATGCCATTTGCATTCATGAGCTTTCTGAGATCAGCAAGACGCAGGTCGCCCACATGGAAGGGTTGGGCGACGGAACGAACTGCCGTCGCCATGTTGGCAGGGACAACGTCGAGGACAGGCGTGTCGTTATTGTTATCGCTCGAGACAGGGATAGCGGGAGCATCGACACGGGCCTTCTTCTTCGCAGGTGTGTCGGCTTCTTCCTTCACTTCGGGTTCCAGGCTTGCAGCTGCAAGACGGCCCGTGATGGCCACGACGCCCATGCCACGGACATTCTGCCAACGTAGGTTGCGCACCATATTTCGACTGAGCTTGACACTCCATGCATTAGTGTCGACACTGGCGTCAATTACCACGCCCACAGTGGGTGTGAAGACGCTGATAGCGCTGGCGGAATCCGTGTTGGCATTTAGCGCTATGCGGCTGATTTCTGCAAGTTCAAGGGTTTCGCCTTGCTCTCCGCCAACAAAAATCAACTTTCGCGGTTTGATCAGGGGAATCAGCTGCTGGATAGTGCGGCGGTCGTGTAGACCTGAGAAATCGACAAAAGCTATCCGACACTGGATCTGGAGCGCTTCAGACTCGATGATGACCTTTGAAGGTCCTTCGACTTTGTCGGGATCTTCCTCCG